CTACCATGAAAATATATGATATATTAAAGCTACCATGAAAAATATTAAAGCTACCATGAAAAATATTAAAGCTACCATGAAAATATATCAAAGCTACCATGAAAAAATATTAAAGCTACCATGAAAATATATTAAAGCTACCATTAAAATATTAAAGCTACCATGAAAATATATGATATATTAAAGCTACCATGAAAAAATATTAAAGCTACCATGAAAATATATTAAAGCTACCATTAAAATATTAAAGCTACCATAAAAATATATGATATATTAAAGCTACCATGAAAAAATATTAAAACTACCATGAAAAATATTAAAGCTACCATGAAAAATATTAAAGCTACCATGAAAATATATCAAAGCTACCATGAAAAAATATTAAAGCTACCATTAAAATATTAAAACTACAATGAAATATAATAATAAAGCTACCATGAAAATATTAAAGCTACCACGAAAATATATGAAATATTAAAGCTACCATGAAAACTATTAAAGCTACCATGAAAACTATTAAAGCTACCATTAAAATACTAAAGCTACCATGAAAATATGTGAAATATTAAAGCTACCATGAAAAAATATTAAAGCTACCATTAAAATATTAAAGCTACCATGAAAATATATGATATATTAAAGCTACCATGAAAAATATTAAAGCTACCATGAAAAATATTAAAGCTACCATGAAAATATATCAAAGCTACCATGAAAAAATATTAAAGCTACCATGAAAATATATTAAAGCTACCATTAAAATATTAAAGCTACCATGAAAATATATGATATATTAAAGCTACCATGAAAAATATTAAAGCTATCATGAAAAATATTAAAGCTACCATGAAAATATATCAAAGCTACCATGAAAAAATATTAAAGCTACCATGAAAATATATTAAAGCTACCATTAAAATATTAAAGCTACCATAAAAATATATGATATATTAAAGCTACCATGAAAAAATATTAAAACTACCATGAAAAATATTAAAGCTACCATGAAAAATATTAAAGCTACCATGAAAATATATCAAAGCTACCATGAAAAAATATTAAAGCTACCATTAAAATATTAAACTACAATGAAATATAATAATAAAGCTACCATGAAAATATTAAAGCTACCACGAAAATATATGAAATATTAAAGCTACCATGAAAACTATTAAAGCTACCATGAAAACTATTAAAGCTACCATTAAAATACTAAAGCTACCATGAAAATATGTGAAATATTAAAGCTACCATGAAAAAATATTAAAGCTACCATGAAATATAATATTAAAGCTACCATTAAAATATATCAAAGCTACCATTAAATATAATATTTAAGCTACCATTAAAATATTACATGTAAGTTACCATGAAATTATTAAAGCTACCATGAAAGTATTAAAGCTACTATGAAAATATATCAAAGCTACCATGAAAATATATTAAAGCTACCATGAAATATAATATTAAAGCTACCATGAATATATCAAAGCTACCATGAAAATACATGAAATATTAAAGCTACCATGAAAATATTAAAGCTACCATGAAATATTAAAGCTACCATGAAATATTAAAGCTACCATTTACATATAATATTAAAGCTACCATGAACATATATGAAATATTAAAGCTACCATGAAAATATATCAAAGCTACCATTAAATATAATATTTAAGCTACCATTAAATATAATATTTAAGCTACCATTAAAATATTACATGTAAGTTACCATGAAATTATTAAAGCTACCATGAAAGTATTAAAGCTACTATGAAAATATATTAAAGCTACCATGAAATGTTAAAGCTACCATGAAAATACATGAAATATTAAAGCTACCATGAAAATATTAAAGCTACCATGAAACATTAAAGCTACCATGAAAATATTACATGTAAGATACCATGAAATTATTAAAGCTACCATGAAAGTATTAAAGCTACCATGAAAATATATTAAAGCTACCATGAAATTATATTAAAGCTACCATGAAATATAATATTAAAGCTACCATGAAATGTTAAAGCTACCATGAAAATATTAAAATATGCTACCATGAAAATATTAAAGCTACCATGAAAATATTAAAGCTACCATGGAAATATATGAAATATTAAAGCTACCATGAAATATTAAAGCTACCATGAAATATTAAAGCTACCATTTACATATAATATTAAAGCTACCATGAAAATATATTAAAGCTACCATGAAATATAATATTAAAGCTACCATGAAAATATATGAAATATTAAAGCTACCATGAAAATATATCAAAGCTACCATTAAATATAATATTTAAGCTACCGAGAAAATATTAAAGCTACCATTAAAATATTAAAGCTATCATGCAAAAATGAAAGCTACCATGAAAATATTTGAAATATTAAAGCTACCATGAAAATATATTAAAGCTGCCATGAAATATTAAAGCTCCCATGAAAATATATGAAATATAAAAGCTACCATGAAATATTAAAGCTACCATGAAAGTATTAAAGCTACCATGAAATATAATATTAAAGCTACCATGAAATATAATATTAAAGCTACCATGAAAATATATTAAAGCTACCATGAATTATTAAAGCTACCATGAAAATATTGAAGCTACCATGAAATATCACATTAAAGCTACCATGAAAATATAATAGTCTAATTAAAATAAAACCGAACTACTGTTAGTATTTTATTAGTTTTGTTTCGAATGTTTTATAAGCTGTTAGCTTTGTACGTAACCACTACAGTAAGGTCTGTTCTTGACTTTTCATTCTGTTAACCTTTGCTTGATCTCTGTTTTAGCCAATGATGTAGCTGCCCTTTCCAGCGACGGGATAATGTGACACTAACATTAGGTGCATTCCAAGGCGTATTAGACTAGCTTATCAAGTCTAATAATTTTTGATGGGTCTCTTTTAAATACTAAACAACAAAGAAAACACACATTAAATCAAAAATATTTTAATATCAGGAGTCCATACAAATTGATTTCAAAAAGTTTATGAATATAACAAGAAATATCAATTTATATGTGTCCCATAATGAGGTAATTTTCTGGATCCAATTGATTGATGTATAAACAGAAAAAACCTGTGTACAAACCGCATAGCGGTTTCTACGTAAGTGTACACAGGTTTTTTTTTGTTTATACATCAATAAACTGAAAAAATGTTCAGGTCATTCCTTATAATTAAATCAACTCGAATATGTCTTGTAATATAGCAACAATTTAAAGCACTGAATTGGTGTCTAAATACATAAGATTTTAACATAACGTTAATGAACTGATACTGACAAAAGAGACGTGCTGGAGAACAGCCAATCAGCAATAAGTAGGTCAACTATTCATAGTCTACTGTCTATTGCATGAAAGTTGACGGAGCGGCCACATTGAAAGTTCAATTATTGAAAGCCAAGATTCGAAATAAGTCCATTTGAGGGAATTTGGAAAATACCGTAATCATTCAGTCAAGTGTCGATTTCGGCTCTGTTGACATTTGAAGGAACGACAATGACGCCGTATTGTGGCCTTGTCAATCAAACTCAATGATAAAAGTAGTCCGTTAAAGGGCGGAGCTTATATTTACATTCTGTTTACACAGATATAAACCGTGATTTAATTATTATGGATTGACTGATACGAAAATATGATTGATAAAAAAAATGGCGCATCGGTCCCTTAAGGTTTTTTGTAGATGGACAAGGGACCTGTGGACAAGATTCAGCCAGTCGCTATGGTAATTGAGTAACTAATTAATCCAATTCATCTGTTTGTACAGAAACAGACTCGTACAAACCAGTTAATCTTGCGACATCAACAAAAGACATTTGTCGATCTGGCAAGTGGTTAGAGTGTAAACTGTGGTAGGAAAATGGAGAGGTTCCGGGTTGGGAAAATCTATGTAAATGGATTTCTTCAGCTCCAATAAATCCCAACTGATCTGAAAAGAGTAATATTAATTCATATGCAACATGTTTACAATCCATTGTATAATAAAATACAATTTTACAATACTTTCTATACATACATGTTTACATCCTAGCATTTATTTTGTAGAGTTATAGAAATGGTTGTATTCCAGGGAATAATTAAATGCAACATGTATACATTCCATGGTAATAAACAACATGTTTACATTCCATCGTGTAAACACCATGTTAACATTCCTTCGTCTAAACATGTTTACATTCCACTGTGTAAACATCATGTTCACATTCCACTGAATATATTATATATATAACATGCTTACAATCCACTGTTTAATAAAATACATGTTAATACATTCCATTGTGTAAACATGTTTATTATCATACAATGTAAACATGTTTATTATCATACAATGTAAACAGGTTTATTATCATACAATATGTTCTTTATTAGTATATTAATGTAAACATATTGAATATAATCATACAATGTAAACATGTTGTTATTATCATACAATATAAACATGTTCTTTATTATTATATCAAGGTAAACATATTGTTTATTATCATACAATGTAAACATATTGTATATTATCGTACAATGTAAACATGTTGTTTATTATCACACAATGTAAACTTGTATATTATCATACAATGTAAGCATGTTGTTTCTTATACATTGTAAACATGTTGTTTATTATCATATAATGTAAACTTGTATATTATCATACAATGTAAGCATGTTGTTTATCATCATACAATGTAAACTTGTATATTATCACACAATGTAAACATGTTGTTTATCATCATACAATGTAAACTTGTATATTATCACACAATGTAAACATGTTGTATATTATCATACAATGTAAGCATGTTGTTTCTTATACAATGTAAACATGTTGTTTATTAACATACAATGTAAACTTGTATATTATCATACAATGTAAGCATGTTGTTTATCATCATACAATGTAAACTTGTATATTATCACACAATGTAAACATGTTGTTTATTATCATACAATGTAAACTTGTATATTATCACCCAATGTAAGCATTTTGTTTCTTATACAATGTAAACATGTTGTTTATTATCATACAAAATTAAACATGTTTATTATCATACAATGTAAACTTGTATATTATCATACAATGTAAACATGTTGTTTATCAACATACAATGTAAACTTTTATATTATCACACAATGTAAGCATGTTGTTTCTTATACAATGTAAACATGCTGTTTATTATCACACAATGTAATCTTGTATGTAAACATGTTGTTTATTATCACCCAATGTAAACATGTTGTTTCTTATACAATGTAAACATGTTGTTTATTATCACACAATGTAAACTTGTATATTATCATACAATGTAAGCATGTTGCTTATTATCATACAATGTAAACGTGTTGTTTATCACCACACAATGTAAACATGTTGTATATCATCTACAATGTAAACATGTTGTATTTTCCAATTTTTACAGCTTATAAAGAGGAAATCAGATCCAAGCTTTGTTGCTCTGTGGCTTAATCCCATATTCAATTTAAAACAATATCCTTACCTTGGTTAACAATTATTGGAGCTCTACCACCAGCAGCCTCAACACATCCTATTGAACCAAGAGATAGTGGTTCTTCTCGTGATAATGCTTCTTGCAGATCATCTGGTGGATTTTCCTCATTTGAATCATGGTAAGCTGCTGCAATGACTGAATCAAATCTCTCTCCATTAGGGCCTTGGTGGGTATGACTCAAGATTGTTGAATCAGTCCAGCTTTCAGTTGAAATACTCTGCTGTAGCGAATCTCTGCTCTCATCAATAGCGGTCGTTGCATTATCATCCTGAGAGAAGAGATCAAAATTATCTGCTCGATCTAATTGGTCCACATTTGGTTGGTCAGGAATGGAATCTGATGGTACTACATTCTTTCCTGCAGATTCCTGTTTGTCAGATCCTTCTATGTTCTTGATGGACAAAGTCATCGGATCCTCATTACTCCATTCGCTGTCAGAATCATCATCATCCTTCCTTTAATTAAGAAAAAAAACACTCGGCATCAAAAGACAGAAGAAAACTTCAATTTTTACAAGGATAAAAAGTAACGTTCTTAAGATCCCATCTACCAGCTCCCCCCAAAAAAGCATTTATAAGGAGAATTAGGATCTCTTGGATCCTGATGTGGTCCATCAGCTGGTTCAAAGTATAAAAACCTTGGTAAGACTCTTTGATAATGACTAAGTCATCTTGGATCATGTCTTCCAGCTGGTTCAATATCACTAAGCAAAGACTGAGAAGACAAAAATGGAAGAAACAGAATCAGTAAATTGTAGATTGAAAAAAGCCATTGGAAAAACAAAGACTCTAAAGATGCAATCTGAATATATTCTAAAGTGAACTATACTCACTGTGGGGAAAATTTCCCTTTATAGGAATTACCAATATGCTGAGCACCATTACTAAACTGTACAATATTACACCCAACCAAGTTGGTAACCCTTTTCTTGGATTTTGGTTTTCGAGATGGCTTCTTCTTCATTGGAAATAGCAGAGCTCCAGGGTCCTCCAGACTTCTAGATGATCTAGAACTGTTTCCATACGTCACAAGTGTGCCATTTTCTATTATCTCTGACGCCTTTGAGAAGAATCTGCGGTTTGGTACATGTACCACTTCCATAGGCGGTTCCTGTACCATCAGATCTGTGTTTCTAGACGAATATTTGCCAGAGTCGTCTGAATTTGAAGTTCCATTTACTTGATTACCTCTTTCAGAAATTGAAAAAGACTGGTTGTAACTGGTAGAGGCACATGCCTTATTACTATGGTAGGCACTGTCAATCATGATTTGAGGCAATTCATCTTTAGAATTCAGGTTAAATAAATCAGCTTCTAGACAACACTCCTTCTTTTCACTTAAATTTTGTCCATCGAATAAACTGGGTTCTTTTGAAGTAACGTTTGATGGATAGCAGCCAGCTGAAATCTGAGGGATCTGATTAGAGTTGAGGGAGAGTTCCTGCTTTGGCAAGGCAAGAGCTGAACTAGGAGCTGTACTGGGAAAAGGCCACGTTGCAGCGTATCTTGCAGATGCTGGTGTCTCAGATACTGTTGTTGCAGACTCTCTTCTCACAGATACTGTGCGTGCAGATGCTGTTATCTCAGAAGCTGCTCTTGCAGATGCTGTTCTGTCAGAAGCTGATACATTTGATGTTGGAACACAGCCATTGAGAAAGCATTTGTCATTCTTGAAACAATTAAAGAAGTACCTCAAGTCATCCCAACAGGAAGGTTTAGAAAGATCAAATCCTGTTATAGTGGTAAGACCTGAGGGAATTGTGTAATCCCTAGTTGCTTGTGATCGAGTATGAAGTGGTCTTACAGAGTGCATGTTTCTCTGAACAGAAGTTGCGGGAATACCACAATTTCCACAAGTCGCTAGTAGGGTAATTCCTAAAGCCTCATCCAGAACCAAATCCAATTGCTTGTCTTCCCTGAAATTTTTGGTCAACAAACAGAAGAGAAATAAGCATTTGTTGACCAAACAGCATGGTCTTTTAATGATCGAAGGGCTGAACTGTGGATTATCATACAAACATACAAATGGCCTTCTACCATTGCCCAATTCCAAATTGTTCATCTTCTCCATGATGTGTTTGGCTTCATCGACATCTTTCTCAGAGTAGACAATTGCAGCATCGTAATTATCTACAATTCTTGAGCATTCCTTCTCCCACATTGCAACGCCGTCAGTTTCAAGATCCGTGGATCCCATCAATGATTTTCAAATTCTAGAGATATTTGGAGACATTGTCTGAAAAAAATAAGAATTTTAGGTTTCACCTTTTGGTATTCCTGGAGATGCTAATGAATGGAGAAAATAGGAAAAATCTTAGGTTGGATCAAAACAAACAACTTACAGCTATCATCATAATTGCAAAAGATAGTCTGCTAGGCAAGCCCACAGGCAGCTTTGATTTTAAACAAAAATATTTGGAAATAGAGTAACAATTACCAGTATGAAATATTCAACCTTCAGTCTTCTGAACTTTTTGGGGGGATACTGTATAATATTACCAAGTTTCGTCAGAAAAGTTTGAATTAAACTTCATCAGTGGTGGCGCCAGCCTTCTGGAATTATGGGTACAAATAACGGGCAGACTGATTGATGTGGAGACACAGGTTTTGATTCTCAATGTGAAAGCATCATGGGGGTAAGTGTTCCATAAAGGGTTTGAAGTCCTGAGAAAGAATTGAAATAATAGAAATGACTTGACGTATTCTGACACATATTTTCAATTATCATATATCATATTTGGACTTTCTTTGGAATCAGGTCGAATTGAGGATATAAACATGACATGCAGAAGTAATGGTTCTCAGAAATGATAATTTTAGAAATGCTGAAGTAGGTCTGAAGTTTGTAGTGTTGCCTTTCTTGAAAAATAAAGTATAAAAATGTGAATACCTCGCGAGATAATGAGACAGGCGCTTTCGATATTGTACTACATTACATTCCACCATAACATAAACTGGGTTTCCCCCTCCTATAAATAGCAAACGTGGGTTTTCCCCCTCTATTAATAGATTTCAATAGATGCACTCGAAATATGAGTGCATCACACTGAAGGTTGTTAACATACATGCATATATTGTATACAACTTATATACAGGTTATAGAAGTACTTAATAATTGTATAGCAATATTCAAACAGATAAATTTACGGGCTAAAGAAGGGTGAAAACCTGGGTTTTCCATTTCTAAAATTTGCTGAACCATGCGAGTGATTCACTTTGAATAGTTTTAAGTACAATCGAAAAGGAGATATTTAAAGGGATTGTAAAGGGATTTACTGACCTTTTTATGTGTATCGGTGACACTGATAGCATCAATTTTACACAGATGGCACAAATCAATACTCTGTGTCCCCTTGATACATGTAAAAAATTGAGAAAACCTCTTAACAATCCCTTTAAGCCAAAGAAATAGATAAAAAGTAGCAAAAAACTTTTAATATGAAATTTAACAAAAAATAGAATGATATTGACAAAGAAATGGCTGAAATATGAAAGGAAACAATTAATGACACAATAGTCAAGATAAGACTATTCAAATCATAAACAATGGCAGTCTATTTTATTGGGTTTAAATAGCAATGAACTGAATTTAAGTTTGACTAGTTTCGATCACCAAGGGGGCGCAGGATTGGTTAGTTCTGAACATGTTCCACTTCTGGCATGAAGCGAAAGGGTATAGAATTATATATGCCGTATCCAAAATATTCTATTTCTTTCTCACCATTTTGAATTATGTTCACACCTACTATTTTTGTTTGCACATGTAGAACAAGTTCTGAACCCTGTTACAATGTCCTGGATGATACCATGAATTCCAACCGAACAGAACTCAACAATCAAGCGCCCCCTATATCTTCGAACTCAAATTGAGTGCCCAAGATGTGTTTTTTTTTTTGGACGCTAACAAAGTTTTAGAAATAAATTCCCACAATTAATACCAGAGTTAAATTCAAAGAAATTTAAACAACAGAAATCATATGATGCCCATCAACAAAACAACGATGTGTCTTACAGCTTAATATAGTTTTAAAGGGATGGTAAAGATGCTATCTAAATATTTTATTTATATCAGGGACACTGACAGCATCAATTTGCACCATTCCAAATTTCTATTCGACGTCTGTGGTTCCTGCAATTCCACTAAAACAGTCTTTAACAACCTCACTTATCTAAATATATGGCCTTTGCAATTAATGATGTCATCAAACACTTAGATTAACACTTAATCCTTTAGCACTTCACACTTAGATTAAGTTTAATTGATGCTATTAGTTTCACTGATACACATACAAAATTTAGAAAACCTCTTTACAATCCCTTTAACTTGAAAATCAACATACTTTTTTGTAAGAACAAAAATTTAAAAAAAAGAAACAGAGCAAAAGTTACAAAAAATCTGAGACTATAAAATGAACAACGATCCCAAAAAATCCCAAAACAATTCACTTTTAGCACTATAGCAGATAAAAAAAAAAAAACAATTATGGCACTGTATGACTAGTTTCATCTTCACAATATCTAAAACTATCTAAGAGTCATGTTTCACTGACCGGCTGCAGGCACATGAAAAGACAGAAATCACCAGTCGATCGTTTTCCACCATGTTGATATCACATGCAGATCATGCAATTGGAAGGAAAATGAATCTAATGGCAGAGAGCATCATTATCCAAAAAACAATCGGTGACAAATACCAAACTGGTTTGATATTATAAATCAACGTAAAAATCTTGTTGTGGAAGCGCTGGCTCATCTGAGATTTTACTCAATATTAGAGTCAGCGACCAAGACTGTTCGTGTACCCACACCCAAAGCGATTTATATTTTACACATCCAACTAACAATGAACAGTAGTACTTTAGCCTCATTCTCACAAAGTTAACTAAGATAAAATCCAGATTTTAAGAAATACTGTAATCCGATTGGATAATAAAACGTAATCAAAATCAATTTTATTGATCGACCAATCAGATGACTAGAACACTTAAAGCATTTCAATTTAAGTTTTCGAGAATAAGGCTCTAGGTGACATAAATCCACACAAACAATTTGATTCTCAAAGGATTAAATTCCAAACAATGATGTCATGTTGTCACGGCAATGACGAAGCACTTCCTGTACAGATATGCCACGTCTATGAGCAACTTCTTCAGCTACGGTCAGCGCAAATCCAGGAAGGGAGATAACTTGTTCTTCTTTGATTAACTACAAAGGGAAAATGGTGCAAGATATAGTTTAGTGGTGGCTCTACTTACCTGTATGTATCATGTTCAAAATACAATACCTAAACTTGCATACAAGATCTATAGTGAACGAAAGCTGCATTCAGTGTATAATACCCCTTTTCTTTGAGTCACACAATCCCAGCGTTGGAGAAGGCAGAAATTGGATTGGCTGGCGGTGTCATCGAACGGATGAATGTTGAAGAAGGCTATTTTTGGACCCTAACTGAAGTGGGTAAAGTTTTAAAGAAAAAGCTAATAAACAATGGAAAGTTTAGTATAATTTAAATTAGACTAGTTTTTTATATGGATTGAGCTATAAGTGCTCAGGTTTGGGAAAAATAATTCAATACTCACAGGTTTTGGTACAAAATAAGGTGAATCAGTTTCTAACAACAGTCTGTTAAGGGGTATATTTCTGGCTACATCGTGAGCGGCATGGGCTCCATTGAAGGTCACGACAGGGGTCAATCCCAAATAGAGATTAGGAAAAGCTGATAACCATCTCTTCGCTTGACTATAATTACCAGAAAAACAATGGCACTGGATTTTATAGTTTCTTGGAATTATCTGAAATATAAGAAAGAAGTAAGTTTTGTATATTTTGAGGATAAAAACATGAGCATTATACAAGCAAATATACAGTATATGTCCAGTGGATAAAAATATCATGAAAAAAAGAAATAAAAATAACCACTGTACTTAACAACTTATCTCCAGGATTCACTCTAAATGCTTGTGGTTGGTGCAGAGAAATAGGATGTAAAACTCCAAGTGGTCCAGCTGTACAATCAGCCAAGTGGTCCAGCTGTACAATCAGCCAAGTGGTCCAGCTGTACAATAAGCCAAGTGGTCCAGCTGTACAATAAGCCAAGTGGTCCAGCTGTACAATCAGCCAAGTGGTCCAGCTGTACAATCAGCCAAGTGGTAGAATAAACCAAGTGGTCCAGCTGTACAATAAGCCAAGTGGTCCAGCTGTACAATAAGCCAAGTGGTCCAGCTGTACAATAAGCCAAGTGGTCCAGCTGTACAATCAGCCAAGTGGTCCGGCTGTACAATCAGTCAAGTGTTCCGGCTGCACAATAAGCCAAGTTGCCTTACCTCTTCCATAATCTGTAGACAATCATCTTCTGCATCACGACAATGTATAACTATAGGTTTCTTCACCTCTAAACCAATCTTCAACTGTCTTTTAAACACAGACTTCTGTATACTTTCAAACTGTTTTTGGCTACAAAAAATATTATACAAAAATGGCTACAAAATTGTAAAAGTGGAAACCCAAAAAAACACATGGACTAAAAGAATTTTCAACTGTCTTCTTAATCATGGATTTCTGTAGATTCTCATTATTTGCCAGTAATATGTCCAGAAATGAAAAAGAAATGAATGGAGTTTTACGTCCTAATTTCTGCACCATATGGGCTAACGAAGACAGGCAACCCTATGCAGGGTGCAATGAGTACTATGTCCAGATGGGAAAGCAAATATTTAGATGCATGAATACCTTCAAATTAATGCTTTATTAACACACCAATTATAGAGATATAGTAAAAAAAACTAGAGAAGATTGCATGCTGTAAGATTTTGATCATTAAAAACCTGCGGCTCATATATTTCTTCCTAATTAATGTAATTTCTAATATTAATTAAAAACAGGTATTTTTTTTGTCGTTCAAAGTCTTACTAGAATTTTGAAACTGTTCTGGGGGCGAATTTCTATTAGCAAAATTCTTAAATATCAACTAATCCTAATACCTTGACTGCAATTGCCACCTTTCTTGTGATTTGATTGGATGTTAGCAAATAAAGCAAGATCAGAGTCCTTGATAGAATGTATGCAAAAATGAAGCCATATGTTTACAATCTGTCTGTCAAGGGCTCTGATTGGCTATATTTACTGATGTACAATCCAATCGAATCGCTGTATTGGTGGCTATTGCAGACAAGGTATAAGATGAAGTTCATAATACCTTGACCATTGTGAAGGTCCTTAATACAAACTGACCTGAGCTGATCCTGATCATGTGATCCTAAGCAGTCAGTATACAACATACTTTTTAAATAGTATCTAGAAGATTTCTTACTTAAAATATTTTGATTATTAATGGATTATTGATCACTAGAATGCCGTTGATAATCTATCTCAATTTGTTAATGGATTCTGAACCCTGTTCCAACTTGTTTCATAGAAAACTCAGTTAATTCCATGAATCTTGTACGTCAAGAACTCACTTAATGAGCAGATATCAGCTGGTAAAATCATTATATAAGTCTAATGGAGTCAGAATTTCTCCAACTAGGGAATAACAACGCTATGCGTGAAAAAAAAAAAAGCAATTATTTATTCAAATTTATGGCACTATATGAACATCGATCGTGTCAATTTAGCAGAAGTAAGTCCTAATTAATGGCAGCTGGAACAACTATGTCAGCTGTAACTAATGGCATGAAAATTTCAATCAAATCAGCAAATCTGAAACAAACCAAAAATCAAATTTTTTAAAGTTGGATAGCAAAAAATCCTATACTTTCAGTTTTGCTATCCCACAAGTCATTTGGAAACTGGTCGTAAATAACGTCCTTTGATTGGTTAAAAATGTTGTCATTAGAATAGGAATGCAGGAGAAAACCAATTAGATGGAGATGAAAAATATCAGACAAAATAAGAAGTAAAAACAACTTTGTCATTATAGAAATGCCACTTCCATCAATGAATTTTCTATTTAATTGTAGACGAACAAGGTGTGGTATTTTCATTTCGAAACACATAATGAAAGTTAGTGAGGCAGTCTTGAAAGTTTATGTAAACTTTTAGAGTTAAGTGTTTTGGTTTGTGGTTGACACTGGGCGAGTCTCGGAAGCACAGGTACAAACAGCTTATTTAACAGTTCGTATACCGTATTTTGTACTTTTATCAATATATTCCGGTTGATCAAGCAGATAAAAAGTAGTATATAAAATATTTCTTAAAGGGATTGTACAGAGGTTTTAAGAGTATCAGTGACTCAGACAGCATCAATTTACCACATTCCAATTTTCAGTCAGACGTCTGTGACTCTTGCAATTTCACAAAAAAGGGAGTGTTTTATGACTAGACTACAGAGATGCTTTTGAAGGACCTTTGCGATAGTGACATCACAAAATTTGAGTGGATTTGCAGAACCACAGACGTCCGATTGACAATTTGAATGGTTCAAATCAATGACCATAACTGCTCCTGATACACATACAAAATTTTGATACTCATAACAATCCCTTTAACTTTGTATTCAATAAATTTGCATACAGCCAATTCATATTGAACTTTTTTTTTAGTAAAGCTTAAAGCAAATAATTAGAATACCATATACCTTGACAACCGTACAAAAAAAGAAAATCTTTTTTTTTCAAAATTAATCCTATAAATAACAATGGCTGGGAAGAATAAACAGTACATGTTTACCAACTTCTGAAATAGTATGATGTTTTTAATGTCTCAACTTAAGTTCATAGTTATTGTAACCTTAATGGTTTTGACCAAAAATGCTGGTAAGTTAAAACTAACCTTAACCTTTTTTTAATTATTATGAAATGAAATGGAGTTTTACATCCTATTCTTCTGCTCCTAATGGGCTAATGAAAACCAGCAAGACCATGATGGAAATTTTTGCCCCTGATTTCATGCCAGTCCCTCCAAGCTGCAGGGGAACCCTTGGTGAAAAAGAATTACTTTGAATGGAATGGGGGAATTCTCTTGGCTTTAATACATGCTTTAATCCCTTTTTCTTTAGACGCAGGATGTCCACTTGACAAAATTGTCTCAAACGGTCTAGTTACCCACTGGCTAGATGAATACAGAGCAGCATATGTGTGTAAGTCTGGATATACAGCCAATGGTACAAGTGGTATCTCAATTTGTCAGGATGAGGATTGGGTCGAAAGCACACCATGTGAAGGTGGGTTCACTTTATGATCAAATTCTAATTAAATATATGAGACAATGTACATATGAAAACAAGTTCTAAAGTTCTACTTGTCAAACTTCAGACTGAAATGAGACAATTCCATGAAAATATTGTCAAATAAACGACAGGAAACATGTTTAATTATTCACTTCCTGTGAGGTTCTATATCACAGTCAGTAAAGAGGTCATTTTTTACATGATGTTATTGGTTACCACAAGCAGATTGTGGCCGTGGGTTCCGATCTCGAGCGGCGTGTGATAGTCCGATAACTTTGAATAAGTCATCTTCACACATAATTACACTCAACCCAGCTGTAAATGGGTACAGATAATCCAGGAAAGATCAATGCCTGAGGTTTGACCAAGGACCAGCTGGTAGAAAGGAACCTTAATTGTGAACCTAAGTTGTTATCCTTGTATAATATAGTTGTTTCTTTCTTCCAGATTGTACTAATGAAGATCAGGTAGAACAGCTTGGTCTTTACTCGGATGATGAAATCAACTTCGTTTTTAGCAGCCAACAACAATGCTACCAAAAGTGCCTTGATCTTGGCTGTTGGAATTACATGTATTACCGGGTTGGAGGACAATGTCATTTGAATTACGGCATAGGCCCAAGCCCATCTATCAGTTTAGAAGCTTGCAGAATGAGCTGTCTGGTACACACATATTGCAAAGCTATCCAGAAACTTGGAAACCAGTGCTTTTTGTACAGTAGAGTCTTCTCCAGTTACACTGAAGAGGAAGCTACCGTGGCCACATCCTGTCTATAAGCGACACCAAGTATACAGGCTAACCTGTGTATACAGGACACCTCTACATGCTGACACAATTAACCTTATGAAAATAGATGTGTACTTTTAAGCAATAAATTGTATATTCAAATGCATTTTTAGTTTTTCTGAAAACAAACTATGCCATCTTCACTATGGTCAAAGTATTACGTTTTCTTTTTCTTGTTTCACAGACAGCGATTTGATTGGATTGACATTGTGGCGGACAGGTGACATGAGATTTTCAAAAAAGAAAAGTGCCTAATGACGTCAAGGTATTAAACAGAGTCCGTAATAGCTTGACATTATGAAGATACACTATGCTAAGATAACCATTATCTGAAAAGAAACTGAACAGTCTAATCAAAAAAGTAAGGGTTTAACGACAGTTCAAATTAAACCTTTCACCTTTTGATGATATCTGCTTCAACCTAATTTCTATCCTTTCCAGCACTGGCATTTTGTGACGCAGTTTGGATTAATTTTAATTAGACTGAAGAACTTACTTTCCATAATAATCCAGACCAATTTCTCCCACTGCCACCACTTTGGGATGTTTGAATATCTTAAGCATGTTGTCTTCTACCATTTCATTATATTGTATAGCGTTTTTAGGATGACAACCAATAGATATCCATACATTCTCTTCCTCGGCCAATCTCTTCCACAAACCATCTGAATTTGAAAGGAAATGGTGTTATACATCCTACTTTAAGGCTCTAGTTTAGGACAAAGAAAGGAGGGTGTTTAACATTTTACTTTTGGCTTTAAGTTTCGGACAATTTAATAGAAAACAGGCCACATATTCTCGAAACAATCTAGGGCTAGGATGTCCTAGGTTCTTATCTTCTAACATTGATTCTAGAATGTCCTAGGTTCTTATCTTCTAACATTGATTCTAGGATGTCCTAGCACTAAGATCGTTAAGAGAATACATGGCCAGGTTTTACATTTTACTTTTGGCTTTTAGTCTAAGACAATATAATTGAAATTGGGTTTTACATTCTATTTTTGGCTCTAAGTTTAGGACAATATAATTCAAATCAAATTATTTTGAGACTAAGCAGTCCTAAGCTTTTAAGCAATAGAACAAATACTCACTGAGTTCAAAATTTCTTGGGTAGCAGAAGATGGCAATACATCCAGCAAAATTGCTAGGGTAACAATCTGAAAATCGTTGCAGGAATTCTTTGTATGTTCCGTTAAAATTCAGTCTTTCGTACAGCAGGTCTATATGACAATGGCTGTCAATAAACGGCACTTGGTATATCTTGCTCCGATCTCTAAAGCGAATCTTCCACATTTGGTTGAAGGAAGGTCGAGGAGTAGTGTCATTGTTCAATCTGTTGTCATTCTGCAAACGTGACGTGTAAGACGACCTTGAAGAGATGCTGTCCATGGAACTGGCCGGCGTACTGGAATCAAACTGACGATTGTCCGAATATGGTCTGTAGGGATCTCGATACAATTTGGCATCATTCACTAAAGATTCTGGAATCTGTCCACTGGAGTAACGTTGTTTAAATTTCTGGTTTTCTTGAAGATAAGGCTGGGGGACATTGCTGAATTTTGCAGGATAAGACTCTTCTGTGTCTGTTTTTTCCCGCCAATTATTTTGAAGGTAATTGGTCTGAGTGGGACCTGTATTTCTGTTTGGGTCAGTTGGTGAGCTTTTCAAATATTTCTGCCACACTTCGTATGGATTGCGATTTTCTTCTTCAAATGCATTCAAAGCTCCAAATTTAGTCATGGGCCTATTTTCTCCATATTCAGAGAACCTTCGCTTATGGGGAGGAACATATCTTATGTTCGTTGGTTTCTGCTGAAAAGTTTCTTTCGTTGGCAAATCTCTCTCGATGACCTTTCTAATGGATGCATCTGTATCGCTCACACTTCTTTTGGGACCCTTAAAACTCTTGCCCAACTCTGGGAATTCTTGATGGTACAGTTCTGCCGGTTTCTGATTTACTGAGTCCTCTATCAGCTTGTTACAGATGATGTTTCTTCTGTCGTTTAAAGGATCTCGTGGGCCAATAACTTTACGAACATTTTTGCCTGTATCCTCGTAATAGTCATCATCATCTGTGATGTCATAGGTCACAAGGCTCGGATTTGGCGACTCTGGTTCTCTGTAGTTATCCATATTGATTTGGTTTTGGTTTATATCTGAAATGACATTCAAAATCTTCAGAAATTTAAGAATAAGTAAGAATGAGCCATGCACTAATTTGACGGAGAAATTTTCTCTCATGCTTCCTGAATCAGTCATGCTTCGCTAGAGCATTATATTGGAATTCTATAAAGTATGCCAATCTCAACTAGTTAATGCATATGCAAAATTTGTCAAATAAATATGCCAAAAGTGCTCCAGTGCCACTGACAACTGGTGTTAAGATTAACAAAATATTGCAAATTAACAAAGAAATGAAGAAGCTATCAAGCTAGAAACTTGATGATGAGAGTTAGCAAAATAAAAAGGGTGCACAAAACAAAAACAGCAAGTGATTTAAAAGCAGTTTTATACCAAAGAACTTACAATAGTTCCTATAATCATGATATCTATTGTCTTCAACAGTTTTCAGTGCAGCATCAGGATACTGTAAGATTTGGCTTGGAAGATCTTGATGAGGATACTGAGGACCTTCCATTGGATTATATTGAGGAGTTGGATATCTTGGTTGGTACTGGTAGTGTGGCTTCATGGATGATCCATCATTGGGGGCTGATGGTCTCCTCTCATGTAAATGCAATGAAGATGGACGATACTTCACAGGGGACTTTGTTTTGTTTTTGTTTTGTAGAGTAGGTTCTGTAGTTGCTCCAACTTCTAAAGATGGTTCCCCTTGGTTGGAAACAGCTCTGTAATAAGCGCCAGAGGCATTAGGAACTTTTCTCACTAGTTGATCCACGAATTGAAGCAGCAATTGAGCTTGTTGTAAATCAGTTATCTTATTCAAAGGTACAGTTATGAGGTGACTAAGATTAGGAATATGGCCATGCTGATCTGTATCTTTGCTTTCTTTCTGGACAGATTTTTTGTTGGAGTCTGGGTCCTTCTTTGCTTCCTTCCTTTCCTGCTTGACGTGACATCTCTCTTCCTCTATTTTCTGATGTTGCTCCATGAGGGTGGTGTCATACCCTGGGTAGTAGGCTGGGTACATGTAGGGAGGGTAAAAGGGGATGTATGGGTTGAAGAGTCTTGGATCAAATGGTGGACCAGGGGCCGACTTTCCTGGATGATAATATGGATACTCCAAAGGATTTGGAGGCATTGGAGGCTTGTGCCTGTAATCCATATCATTTATTTCTGTTTTTTGACTCTTCTGGTATCTTGGATCCGTTGACATGCTGGAGATGGTTTCAGAAATGCTCATGTCTTGACTGGAATATCGATAATGACGTTTGCTCTTCAAGGAAATCGAAGATTCTGATCTCGCAGGTTTTTTGGGGTCAGTTTTGGAGTCTGTCTGTCTTAGTATGTCATCATCAGAACCCACACTGCTGAAGTCTGAAAACGCATCACTGATGGGTACTGCATTGTTTGAGATGCTCATTTTTGAGGATGTCAAAAATCCATGCTTATCTCCTGAAAAGTCTCTGTCCATTGAGAATTCTTTTAATGACTGAACACTTTCATTTTGGATATTTGGCAGTTTAAAGTTTTTAGAGTCATTTTTACATCTTGAAATTTCAATTTGATTTTGGCCTGGATCCCTTTCTCTTGATTTCCCTTTAATTTCTGTTGGATGACTTATTTGAGGTGATGGCGTCTTCTCCTTTATGTGACTTCTTTGAGGAGAGTTCTGTTTACTTTGATTGTTGACATTGCAATATGGGGAGTAATTGGCATAAATATCCAACAAAGAATTGTCTGGAATTGGAATCGAGTCTGATTTATTGGAATAGTTCGAGATATTCTGAAAACTGTTGCAGGAACCATCTTGAAGTTTTTCTGTAAAATGATGAGGTTCTACAGGTGCTGATTGGACATCTAATAGGTCACTCGACCAATCCTCACTTTTGTTTGATTTGTCATTTTTGTAGGGTTTCACATTCTTAAAACCCTTTCTTTCGCTTTTTTCAAATCGTTCACTATGGGTGCGGGGCCGGATGTGCTTCTTATGAGAACTTGCATGATGTTCTGACTTTTTTGGTTGTTTGGTTATCCCCAAATAAACATCGATTTTTTTCAACTCTGCATCCAGCAAATCATCATTTCGTGGTCTCAAAGGAGGCGTTTGTGTATTTTTTCTTGGAGGTCTCAGGTGTTTCACACTGTCAGAGTTCTCACTTCTACTATCACACGTTGAACGTCTGTTTACAATTGGAGGTGAATCATTTTGATTTTGATTCAGGCCAATTTGTTTCTGGTCTTCTTTTATAGATGATTTTCTACGAATATCCTGACTGAATTGAGGCGCCACATTCCCAGGAACAATATCAGAGGTACCTTTAAGATTGTTATTTGGGTCTTTTGAGGTGTCTGTCACTGGTGAGGGTTGTTCAACATTTTGAGGAGTATTAATTTCGCTGTCAAAGACCTCCTCTTCATCCAGTTCAACGGTGTTATTTTCCAAAACTTTTTCCCAACTTCCTTCTAACTCGAATGACATTAAAGGATGTGGTTTGATTATATCTTTATTCAATGCAGTGCTGCCTCTCTCTGTATAGTTATAACTATGAGCTCCTCTTGAACTGTGACTCGGTCGAATTCCTCCACGAGCAAAGATTGCTTTCATCCTGGGAATACCATCCTGTAAAGATATAATAGGTTGATTGGAATTGGTTTCTGGTAAAACATCTTCAGTATTGGCAATCAAATCTTTGCTTTCAAAATTTCTCAAACCTTCTGCTTGGTTGTTATCTGCCCTTGGCACTGACTTCTCTAAATTTTCTGCAAATTTTAAGCAAGACTGGGGTAACAAAGCTGCTTTTTCACCAGCATCAGGACTATTTGAAATTTCCTGGGTGGCACCCTCAATAGAAATACCTTTCGCATCAGCTGAGCTGGTGTCCAGATTTGAGCCAGTCCATCCCTCAGCCCAATTTAACTCAGACTCCAATTTACTCTTGCTTGAACCTTGAAGGTCTGACATACAATCCACAAAATCATTAACTGTATCTGAACATTTTGCTGAGCCATTGTGCTGATTAGAAGGTTGAGGTTTATGTATGTCAGTCATTTCATCATGAACTTCCTGAACAACTTTTCCAGGTGTTGGCACTTCAGTCAATTCATCTGACCAATCTTCAGTGTTATCAACAGCATCAAATCTTTCAGTCATTTGTGGGACTTTTACTATCAGACCATCTTTGAAAGTCTCCTTTCCTGGTGGTGCTTGAGCAATATTTGAACTAACAGCATCAGAAGGGTAAGCATTATAATCTTCTGGTATGGAACCAGAGTGTTCATTTAACTCAGGACTTTCAGTTACTACTTGAGAATCTTCGTTGCTATCTTTGTTATTTTGAACTAAATTTCTGGCAATCTCCTTCAAGTCCAAAGCAATTTTGTCAGTAAGGTCTGAGAGTTCATTGGTTTTGTTTTTTGCCTCAGGAGCAGCAAGATCATGCCCGTGATCTAAGTTGTCTTCTACTTCTCCTTTGCTTGATTCAAAACCTGGTTGTTCAGGATGTTTAGAATGAATGTTGCTTGAATCACAATTCTTATTCCCTTGTAAGTAAACGCTAACTATTTCTTTTGTTTTGTCAATGTCTGAAAGAGAAATTGGTACCTTTGTGTCTTGATCTAGTTCTGGGCAGGAAGAATTCAGAGCTGCAGATGAAGCTTCCCATGTATTTTCATTGGGCAGAGATGTGCTAAAAACCTTTGCTGATTTCGGATCATCCAGTTTTTCTTCAACGTCCAGTAAATCCTCATTCCAATCTTCTTCATTTTTAGATTTATTTTCTTTTTTGGTTTCTCTAGGTCTGGAAAATCTCTCGGCTCTAAATCTTGGTGGTTGATTTCTGTCTGGGTGACTATGTCTCCGTTCATTGTCAAAACATTGATTGAGTCTACCATGAGTTCTTTGATCCATGCTATAATGAGAGTCATGGCGACGTGGTTGGTGATGGTCTGGATATTGGTTTCTGTTGATTCGACATGGTTGAAGATGGTCTGGATTTTTGTGTCTGTTGGGTTTATAATGCTGATGTTGGTTCTGGATAGAAGAGTCACCATATGAGGATCTTCGTTGTCTGTTGTATGGTACCAATGGTTTTTGTTCAGAATGGCGTTTGTCTGGTGGATTTTTCTTGGGTTCCGTACCTTCATCATAACATTGGTGGTCTTTGGTTCATCAGTTTTAACATCCTTGGTGGTCTCAGGTGTGTCCTGAAAAATAGCATACAGGAAAATTATTTTAAGATTTTACTTCAATACATTGAATGAATCTCAATTTCCAACTTATACTTGATGTCCTACAGAGATTCATGAGTATCAGACATTTGAACTGCCAGCTGGTCGTGTCTACAAAATACAACCCAAATCAACAGCCTTATTTCTAACACAATTTTTGACCTATTTCCACTAAGCTAACATTTGAAAAGGAAAGTGTTTAAAACCATTTTCTCTTTCAATGCACACCTTACGTAATTTGCTTATGTTCCATTTACTAAAATCTTCTTACATAGATTTCAGAGACCAGGTTCCAGGTCTGGTCAAGCTATTACAATCACTCTCTTATACCTTGACAACATGTCAATGACGCTATTATGATGTCAAGGTATAAGCAGATTTTGTAACAACTTGACATTGTCATGATGTGGCATACCGGTACCATGATGCATTATCAAGAAAATATCTTACCACATTATTCTTCGTTGCCAGTTCATCTACCCTGCTGTTTTTATCTTTTCCACCATTTTTTGGTACCAGTAATGATTCATGATCTTCTAAGCTAAGATCATTTGCAGGACAATTTTCTTTCAAATTTTCAAGTTCAATGCCAATGGATCTCTTAGATTTTAGAGTCTTCTGTTGTGAATCTATTCTGTTGATTTTAGCTGGTGAATGTGATTTTGTTGGACTCAAACTTTCTGGGGTTTTCCTCTTTTCTGGAGTTTCAATTACGCTTTCGTCCGACATTTTCGTTCCTGACGATTTCTTTCCTTCCAAAAAAGGGCTGTCTTTATTTGGACTGCTTTCGTTGGAAGATGAAGTCGTAGATGTGGACCCACTTCTGTCTTTCTTTAATTTATTTGAAGTCACATCCCTTACAGATTTAGCAAAGATTCGAAAGGTTCCTTCAGATAGACTTACCCTTTTAGTGGCGGTATTGACTTTGTTAGTCTCCATGACTGGATGATTGAGTGTAATCTAAAATATAAAAGAAATCAGCATTAATCAAAAAATACCCTTCAACTTACTGTACCAGTACCCAAAAGATTCAAACTTAAGTTCAGTGAGTGAGTAGGCTGTCAGTAGGTTGAACTACACAGACATGGGGACGCCGTAGCATGTTTAGCTTAGGCCCAGGGCCTTTGCTTTTTAAAAGAAAAATGGAGGCTGTACTTTCCCAGGACAGCACTGAAAGACCTTGATTGAACCAATATGCCAAAATCAAATATTTAGATGTTACCATCACAACATGCAATCAAATAGTTATTTTCTGTAAATATCTAGACATCAATAAAATTGTTCGTTATCCAAGGATTTCATTTTTGTTCTAGATTCAACTTTCGATTTCATACGATGCACGAAAAGAAAATGGCAGATTGTCTGATCGGAAAGCTTTTTCAAATGAACAGAACACATAATGCTATTCCAGAAACACCGAAATGCAAATATGTCAAAAAACAAATAACAGAATTTATTCCGATTATCAACTACAATGAAAAATTCACAGCAGCCATAAAAAAAATTACTTACAAGACGTGGTCAACTTTTTCTGTCGTCACTCTTCGGAGCACGTGCCACTAGCCTCCTTCTGGAAACTGTCAAAATGACAGAAGAAGAGCTGAAGATGGTTCCGCGCAAAATTTCATTTTCGTTTCTGAATTTATCCCTGGTTTCCAAACTGTTTCTTTCAATGTTTCAAAAATATTATTTTCAATTAAAAGTCGTATTGTCTATTTAGAACATGGTTAATTTCATTAGAATGGCATCAAGTATATCAAATGACATTTTCATAAATGTGTCAGATCTAAAGCTCTCTGTGGATCCAATAAAAGATTTACCACAAACGTCAAAATGGAAAGTATTTTCTTTTAGCCTACCAACTGAGCTGTCGGGCCACCGGACTTGGTCCGAGGACCCAAAGAAGTCAGGGGCCCTATGATTAGATATCCCTGGGTAACAAATATATAGCCTACTTGAACGAATTAGGCCTATATGCTACAGGCAGTGCTAGGCATATGAAAGTTGAATATCATAAACTAGGCCTATATGTGCCTATATTCATTAAGGCCTTTTTTGCGTTTCCCAAAGAACTAGGCTAGCCTACATATTATGCCCATTTAATTATGGTTTTTTTTTAAACAATTTATGTAAATCTTCAGATGTAGTCCTACTCTACAGTCCATGAATGGCGTGAAGATCATTGATTTATTTAAACAATATTTTATTTCTATATTAAATAAAAAATTTTACAGAAAATAAGTAAGGTTTCGGAAACAAGCCGAAGCTTATAGGCTACTAATCCGGCACCTGATACAAAGAAAGGCACAATTCAGAAAATATGATATTCGTAAATAAATAAATGGTTATCAATATTTAGTAATTTGATAATAGAAAACAATTAATTATGTATATTTAAATATAAAAATGAAAATATGCGAAAGTGCATAGGTGTCCACACCAGACAGGGGTCGTCATCCCCAAGAATTCCGTCCGCCCACGAAGCTGCAGACAAAGAGTCGGGTTGATCAATTGGAGACAGGGATAGTGTTATGGGTAATTTGACCAAACTAGAAATGGACTTGGCGGAGGAAGACATAAGTTGGTAGAAGATCATTGCTTTTGTAAGCCTATCAATTTCTCCACTTGTGAAAAAAATATGATTAGGCCTATCGTTTAGCTTACGCATTGCATCATTTATTGAGAATTGTTTCCAAAATTTTACCTTTGAACATTAAAGGAATATTACCTCATAGAATGATTTTCTATTTCAACAGTTTCCCATTCATACGCATTAACCGATACCAGGTGGACGAGTCGATAATTGGGCAGATGGTCTCCCTACACAGTTTGGTTGATTTGTTGGAAAAAAAATAGGTTGGTATAAAATGCCAAACGACTCGTGGTTTTCAACACATGGGTATTGGATAATAATGCAATATAAGTTACAAAATGAATCAGCAGAGCAGTCTTGAAATACATGCCAAGTACCAAAGCTTTTATTTTTCGTCTCTTAAAGGAATACTCTCTCTTCGAATGGACTTAAAATTTAAAGTTTCAAATTTGGTCAACATGTGAACAAAATGAAATGAATGGAGTTTTACGTCCTACTTTTCAACAAAGTGTATGTATTCATCAGTTGGACTTGACTACAGAATATAATCTCTATATAAGACAATGTATCCATTATACTATGTAATTATTAGGCCTGTTACTAAGTTTAATGAACTATTAGTTATAGTCTTATGGATTTATTGGATTAAAGAGGGATTCTGTTGTGTAGTTATGACACAAGATAAGCCCACTAATGAACAAAGACTCATTTTGGCTAAGCTTTAAAATTTCATTTTTCTGGTCATTCTACCTTTAAAGAAAAAAAAGGTAGCCCACATTTACATCTGCATTATCCAATCAGATTACCAAAACGCTAAATTCACGACATACGTATTAAGTTTATGTAAACTGACGCCCTTCATGGGCACATGGATACATCTCACCAACCGTTAAAGAGACAGCCGCCGATTAAATCAAACTTGCGTAAGAAATGGTTGTCTGCTCAGTGGAGCATTGTTACAATTTTACCAGCTAACCCCTAGTTAGTCAACTTGACACTTCATAGTCAATGTCATTTTAAGGATATTTACCATTTAGTGTTAGATGGGGATGAGAATATATATCGTCATAAAAGCACTGTCCCAGGTCACAAGAAGAGGTCTATGATAGGACAAAGTGCGAGTTTTTTTTTCAATGTTCGTTAGTTTGAATGGTATCGTGGAATTGCTGAAAATATTAGAAGAATCATCCTTTAAATGAAAATGGCTCGAAGATTTTCAAGAAATATCGAATGTTTCATTGGACTATTGCTCATAGGTAAGTAGACCTACAGCACGGAACTAAAGCAATTTCATTTTAAAGGGTAAAGGCCCGGTTTTTCGTATTGAATTTCAACAAGAAGGAAGTTGAATTTTGGATTAAAGGCCTAGGTGGTGCCATTTTTGTTTACAGAAGAATATTGTAGAGCGGAATCGGAATTGCATCTATATGGTACAGAACTTGATTCAAATTTTATCGGACGTCATTTCCGGGTTTGTTTCACTTTGCACGACTTAATTAGGAATCTTGATTATATTCCAGACTTTGCCTTCGGTTGTGAAGATAACTGCACGTAAGTACTAATATTGATACGTAACCTAACCTGACGAAGGAGTTTTACCTGAGACTATTACCGGGGGGGAGGGGGGGGGGCTGTTGGGGCTTATTTTGCTTGTATGGCTTTTTATTTTTACACATATTGATATTGTACTTTTGTTGGGACGTTCCACTTCAATTCATTTCGAAGCCTAGTTACTCTATGATTAAGCGAATACGTACGTGTAGGAGCTTTATGTAAAAACCCTATTCAATTTTATAATTACATTACGTAATAAGGACGAACAAATTATTTCAATTTCAACCATGACGTGATGTTTTGATCGTAGCTATTATAATCAGACCCCAAAGTAGAATCTTTTTAAAAGCTGATTGAGCCTAACAAGTATGATAATAAATAAAACTAAGGCCTAATTAGATTAAATTATGTAAGCAATAAGTATAGCCATTGTGTCCTTATGTTCGGCCGATTTCACCATTGGTTCAATATCCTTTCTGGATCGATAGTCTCTTATAGGGTTACGATTTTACAGAGATAAAGTTCCGAGAGGTTTGATTCATCAAGGGTTTTCTAATACCTTCTACACCTTGAAACAGCGGGTCTAATGCAAGCTGTCCACCGTGAAAGTTCCGCTATATAGTGCTCTGAAACATGAACCTATGCAGCATTCGACAATCCTCGGCAGTTTCCGTGAAGCTGGATCTGTTGCAGAGCGATTAGCGTAACTTTCACTGTAGGTCGTAGCAATCTCGTCATCTTTTGGTCGTCAACAATCAAATATCATTATCATCATTTCAGAAAGTCCACAGAAAGTATAGCATTATCAGCAATCCTCTGCGTTGCAGCTGTTGCTGCCATAATATGTCCACTCCTGTGCCTATGTGGACCATTTAAACGTCTGGCAATACGATGGCGAAAATATTTCCATGACAATCTAGGTTGGGAGTACCCAGAGAGAGGTCAAAGGCAGTGTCAAGTGGAATGTAAGTAAATGAAATAGTTTTACGGCCTTCTTTTCTGCCCTCGGTTTGGCTAAAGAAAAGCAAAATGCAGAGCAGTGGGCGAAGCGGACAAGATTGCATGGAATTGATTCTGTTGAGCAACCAGCTAAGGAACAGGCCCGTAGCTACAAAGAGGGACTATGACTATTGTCTTCTTCTTGCTCTCTCCTCTACAAAACCCAAAAATACCTTCGGATTTTTCAACCCGGTTTCTCCCTGTCAGTGATGCAGGTAAGAGGGACTGACATTGAAAAGCGTCTTGTCGTTCAGATGAGACAATAAACCGAGGCCCCGTTTGCTACAGGCTGTGCACGTTAAAGATCCCCCGACAGTTGGAAATCGGAAAAAAGGGAAAGCTAATGCCGCTGTCCTAGCAAAATTTCCCTCATTACACACCGCATGGCGTTGCCGGTCTTCATTAGCCCTCAAGGTGCAGAAGAGTAGGACGTAAAACTCCATTCATATTATTTTACAAAACCCAAAGAACAAGGCACGTCGCATGGAAAGCCATATACACGTGCATACCACACAAGGTAAATAAAGTAAATAGTATTGGCTTTCTCACAATTTATCCTTTTAAATTCTAGATGGAGTATCAACCGGAAATGACGTACCACCCGAGTATGTTAACATCGCATTCATCGATTTACCGCCATCGTACGACGAGGTGGTCAAAAACTCACAATACTACAAGTATGGTCCAGCTTGTTCATCAGTACCCGCTCCTAAGCGCCATCATCAGCGACAAGATTGTCAAGAACGACGGCGAACTGAAACATGTCATCAGATAAGCAGACGATTAGAGTTTTCACAAGAACGCAATTCGAATTCATCCGTCCAAGAACCAATAGATCAAGCCAACAGTATGAATCAGCTGAGTTCGATAACGGTTCAGGATGCTTCCGTCATCAGGAATCAAGAGAGCGAACAAACAATACACAATAGTTGAATTCGATAACTGTTCAGGATATATCCGAAAACAAACAAACAATATTTAGTACATTTGTTGAATCCGATTCCGAATACATCCGTCCAAGAATCTGGCTAACGGTCGAAGAATACACATAAGCTGAGTTCGATAACGGTTCAGGTTGCTTCTGTAACTAGAGTCAAGTTACCAAGTGAACGAAAAACCAAGTTATCTACCCTATGTTGATTTAAAGGCGAATTTTTGTCCGGATACGTTCAATGTTTGTACAATCGAGTTTTAGACGTTTTATGAAGATCAAGCGGTTGAAACTGACTTGGGAAATAAAAATTAAGACTGAGTGAGATTATATCGCTTAAATCAATATGCGGAGATTGCGCCTCATATTCGATTTTACGGAAACAGCCGAGGATTACCGAATAGTCTGGAATTCGCATAGTATAAGCACAGCCCGCTTCAACAATTTTGAGGATGATTCAGAACAGTCGAGAACACGATTTGTCACACAAATAGGTTAACGAGTATTATAGGATCTAGGCCTACCGGATTACACGAGAATTGTTTATTATCAGAGAATTGAAATTGATCGAAAAAAAGACATAGGATAGGCTAAAGTAAGAGAATTTTATATGTTTGGAATTTAGGAGCGTTTAAAATAATCACCCCACATTAAACTGTTGTCGATCATTTTCAAATCTATGAACTAAAAAGCTGATTAACATTCCTAACGGAGTATGGAATAACGGTGGACTTGATTTTGTCATCTTTGCTATTTCTTTCAGTCGTCCAGGAACTTTTTAAATTGGTGCGAATTTCCCAGAAAAAGATTAATATAACCTTTTAAAATAAAGAGTTTATTATTATTATTATTAACCTTTGGTATGTGAAGTATGACCTAAAACTCCATTCATTTCATTTCATTTTGGTATGTGAAATCTTATAATATATATATATATCATATCATTTCATGCTTGGTGTTTAAATATGTTTGTGTATATATATCTATGACGCAATACAATATGGAATCGGGAATACCACAATATTACAATGTCTAGGTTATGTCTATTTTAACCTAACGGTATGCATTACGGTATATATAAACTATCTACTAGGCCAACAAAATGTATTAATATACCAAAAAACCTCCACGTATTAACATTATTATGAAATAATTTTTCACCATGAAAATTAGGATTTTTATTATTTTACTGATGTTTAATGACTGTTTGACCGCAAATATGAAGGTAAGATGATTATCTTTGACCTTTGAGCGGATGTTTCTCCATATTTAGGGGTTTTTCTTTATGTAACCAAGATAACATAATTATAATTAAAGGGATAGGTCCGTCATCAGATTTTTTTTTCTAGCTAAGTTAATCAGTAATAGTGTTAAAAGAAGATATTTGAGCGTCCAAGTCCATGCGTGCCGAGATTAATCAGCGGTTGAAAGTTAAATAGACAACTCGTCTTTTCTTGAGACTCTACCATATATAGGGTACATATTATATTCAAGACCGAAATTAACCCCTGAAAATAGCGAATGTCTTTTATGGTCATTTACTGGTTTTTTGCATCCTTACTATTACTGTAATTCTAGAAATGCTAATCGGTATGTGACGTCACTATCAAAAATGCTATCACAAATGACTGGGGTCTTTGCGATGGTGCCGTCATAAATTGCAAGAGCTACAAACCTTTGACTTATATAAATGAAATGGTGTATATCGTAGCCAGATAATTCTGGACCTACCAGAGCTTTGTACTTAATATACGTTCAGAGGCAGACATAAAATGAAACTTTTTAAGGGAGTTGCTCCGACCAACTTTTGGGTCGTTAGTTGTTTTAGAATTTCATCATGTTAACTTTTGATATCTATACAAAGCTGAACTATTAATGAGCCCATCAAGGCATTGCTGGATACTCTACATTGTGCCTGTCCCTCAAACGGTACCACAAACAGCCGAGGGGTAGGATTTCCGTTTTTCGTACAACTCCGTAAGTAAAGCCTACCCCTCGACTGTATTCTTATAATGACCTTTTTATGTTGTAATTTAAATATTATTTACATTAGATCTATCTGGGATCGCTACGTTAAACAGATAGATCACTACAATTATTTTTTCATTTTTTGACAGTTTCAAAATTGGGTTTATGAATCATCGAATGGTTTGTTATGCCAACTGTGCCCCGTGGGAAAATTTCTCATAAAACCATGTGAAAAAGATGGTGGCGAATCAATGTGCAGCATCTGTCCGAGGGGAACGTTTACCAGTTCGGCGAACAACGCAACGGAATGTGGAGAGTGTACTATATGTCGCATCGCGCAATACCAGAAGTCTCCATGTACTGGCACCCGCGACAGAGTGTGTGAATGTCCGCCAGGATTGTTTTGGGTCAGATATCGTGGCCACGATGGTATTTGTCTACATCATACAAAATGTAAGGAGGGCGAAGTCGTTGACGTCGAAGGTAAATAAAGCCATATTATAAGAAATACGGCACAATCAACTCCATTTTTTATGTTAATGGACGCCCAAAAAATCTAGAATCAGAGACACAAAAAGACCCACGACAACGTTGCCCATAGCTAACAAATTCTGATCAAAGACGGTGCCATTGTGCAAATGAAATGGATGGAGTTTTACGTCCGACTTTTCTGCGTCATGTGGGCTAATGAAGACGGACAACGCCTTGTAGAGTGCAATGAGGGAAATTTTGCCAAGTCAACGGCATTTGTCTGGTCTTTTTCGATTTCCAACTGTCGAGTGATCTTTAACGAGCCCAGCTTGTAGCACACAGGGCCTTCGTTTATTGTCCCATCCGAGCGGCGCTTTTTCCGTGTCGGTTCCTCTTACCTATATCACTGACAGGGGGAAACCGGATTGAAAGATTCAAAGGAATTATCTCTACCTATATGCCGGGATTGAGCCCTGGCCCTTCAGGTTAGCGTCTAATTTATACACATGTCTATGAGAGATAGAAGCCTCTACGGATACGTAAGCTTTCTTTTAAGTTAAAAACAGATTTTATATTCCCGTCAAAACCACATCCCGTATCTTTCAGGAACCCAGACTTCTGATACTACTTGCAAGAAGGCGCCACCAACAACACCCACACTTAAGACCGTATTTACCACGGTTCGAGCAAGATCAGCAGAAACCACAGCGTCTAAAGACAAATCAAGGACCACTGATCCGATTCTGACGGAACCATTGGACGCCGAAAATACCATCCCGAACAACGGTATAAAACCTGAGCTATATCACTTTTTCAAACTGGGGCGCAATCATAATAAACATTTAAAACACATCGGCGTTCACAGGCTTTCAAAACCCAAGCATATTAATACTGGAATTTCAACAGAATCTCACCAACACAAGATGGTTGACACGCGCACAAATGAAGCTTCGGTCGACGTACCTGCAAATGACAACACCGCACCAGCAAATGAAGCTACGGTCAACACACCTGCAGACGAGGCTAAGGACAACGCACCTGTAAAAACTGTTGTCGACGCAAATGATACTAACTCATATAATAATCCGCATGAAAATGGCAAAAATCTAAGCACAAAAGAAACGATACCATATAATGTAATACAAGCCATATTACCAAATGGCATGTATGGAACCACTCAGAATCCACAAATGCAAGTTCCTTCCAAACCCTCAACGACTACGTCGGGTGGTCGTAGACGAAAACATAAAAGAGGAAAGGGCAAAAAGTTGAGGAGACGCAAGAAAAACAAGAAAAACAAAAAAAATGGCCGAATTAGAAAATGTCGTCATAAGGTGGAGAAGAAAAGACAAAAATGCGAACGACGTAGAAAAAGAGTCCGACATCGAAATAAGAAGTCACAAAAACAAATTGAAGTAGTGATGGATAGAATCACAAAAGCCTCATTTTGAATAATGTAATCAAAAACTACTAAGCCAATTATGTTCAGCTAAGACATAATACATGGCATACGAAACTTTGCGCATGATTTTGTTACCAGAATCAGACTTCTGTGTAAAAGTGCGAACACACGAGCTACGGTGTCCGGTGCCCGGTGCGGGATTATCAATACAGCAGAAAATAGAAGAAAGGAATCGTGTTCATTTGTTTATATCGATTATTCCGCATTGTACACCGCACCAGACACCATATCTCGTCTATTCGCGGCTTAAGAACCATGCGTTGTTCGTGCATGGGATAAAGATATGATATTCGTGTGATATTAATGCCCTTTCCAAAATAAACCCAATGTTTGTATCTTCCCTTTGGGTGGTTGATATTTTATATGCAAAACAAGTGTCTTCAAAGCATCGTATTTCTAATATTATTATTGAATTTTATATATACTATTAAATTTTGTGTATATTAGTTTTATTATCGATAAACATTTAAAGTCAAAATCAAATTTTCGTTTTACTGTAGATCTTAAATAGGCTAATTCGTTGATCCCATCGTGTCCAAACCACTTTTAGTTATATCTCTTGAATGGAAATTAATATGCCTGGGCCGTCATACTTATATACTTTACCCGATACATGCATTCGAGAGTTGTAACAATAGTTTATATTAGATGTACACTGAAATTCTAAAAAAATTGTACTGTAACAGCTGGTAAAGCAAATATTTCCAACTATAATTCTCAAATAAATAAACCGAATACTAACGATCCGAACCGCAAAACATAAACCAAAATCCAAAGAACTAACTGACAAAACATTGGTAGCAGCAAATGAATTTTTCACATGGGGAAGTATATCAATTATAAGTAAGTAAGTAAGTATATCATAATGAAGAGTGGTATCAGGTGTCTACAGGAGTAAGCATAATCATTCTGGTCTACCACACACCTGTCAAAGCTTCTTAACAAACACTACAATTACATTAAATCAAAATGAAACCATTTTTATTCAATAAATTCAACCATAATTTATATAAATAAGTACAATATACAATATAAATATGTATAATGATATATTAATATAATTCTGTATATATAATAATAAATATATTAATCACAGCAATTGGTTGTATATAGTTCAATTTCCTCTTCTTCTTACCAGAAGCCTTTGAAAGTAAGAGTACACGGGGACGAAAAAGTGCGCAATATACTCGCGATTATACGGTATATAAAGTATTCTATATACATACATTAGAAATTTTGCATACCATAAAATTGCGATTATAATGTGCGTCCGATCGCAAAACGTTTCATCATTTAACAAAAAAAGCTTCATTTCATTTGATGTATTGATGTAATGCTAAGGACCTGTTTAAATCAAAATCTTAGACCTACCATTGATTTGTATTATGACTTCAATCTATAACCAATCTCCGATTTGTTCACTTTTTGGTCCCAAGGCCCATTGTCATGTGTAAGGCAGAGAAGATAAAAATTGACCTATTTACACTTATAATTCTTACAATATATCACAGCTTTGAATAATAATAATAATAATAATAATAATAATAATAATAACCTTGGGAAAAATTCTTTTTATAAAACATCCTTCAGGTATGATGGAAGCAAATTTGAAAGGACAAACTTTTGCGAAAATGGGTCTAAAATTTGCATATTCTTGATATATACAAGTCTAAAATTTACTTTAATTCAAAATTTGACAGATGTAAAATCAAAACAAACATTATATTGCAAAAGTTATATAATTTATATTTTTTACAATAACAATCCAAAACTATAATAAATATATTTTTATATACAAAAAAAACAACATTTACAAGCAACTCAAAACAATAAATTAATAGCAAATGAGCACATCAAAATTGAGCATCACAAAAAAAAAACAACCCCATGCACATGCTTATGCAGGTGCAGAAAATATGTAAGATTATATAAAAGCATAAAATATCAAAAATAAAATGGATCCCTTTAGAATGCTGATGTTTAAGAATGCTGCAGAATTTCTTATTTTGGCAAAAATCTGCAAATTATGTGGCAAACGTTTAAAAAATAGTTAATATTATCATACTGAGTTTTCTTAACAATACTATGTCCCAAAGATCGATATTACAATCAAATATTTTACAGCTTTATTCAGACATGAATGGTAAATAACTCAACAAAAACAACATCCCTGTCCTCTCTATCTAGCAACTGAATTCAACTATAGCAAACTAAAGACTGACCGTTTGTAAAATGCAAATTCAGAGATATTTCATTCCAAAAGATTATTTTTGCAGAGATTAAAGTCTGTTTACAGACAACAGTGTTCTTTCTGCAAAGAACTTTTTTGCATTTCGTACAATGCGAAGTTCCTGAACCAAACCCCTTGGCATTGATCTATCCTGGATTATCTGTACCCATTTACAGCTGGGTTGACTGGAATAATGAGGATAGATGACTCATCAGTCTTTCACACCCTGACTGAGATTAGAATCCATGACCATTATTCATTCAATATCATGGAAATGAGGTCACTAACCAACTACCTTGCCTCAAATACTGGATCACTGAGGTGTCCAGATAATACAAACTCACTGAATATTAGATTTATGAGTGGAGATATAGAAGGGGTTTGTAAATTTTGAGGTGTCCAGAAAATACGAACCCTTGTCCTGTTTTTTGGAGTTAATATTGGTATTTTTTATATAATAACCGACAACACGAGGCAAGGGGTCTCTTTTCGGTCGCTTGGCCGAACCATCTGTGTACCTCAACAACACCCTGTCCATATTCCCTAATCTAGCATTATTAGAATACTTTTCTTTGATACTTTTAATAGATTGGGCAGGGTTCAAAGGTCGCGTTGGCTCCATCAATGACCCAAAGGTCGAAGGTTTAGAGTTCGCACTCTTAGGGCGAGAGTTTAGAATACAATCTACAATTCTGTCACGACGACATTTACAATCTGGGTTGATGGCATGGAAGTGAAGATTCGCTCCGTACCCGCATTCGCTGCACATTCGGCACCACATATTGGGTATTAGTTGGGTTAGACCTGCCAGAAGAAAAGAAAGAAGAAATTAATTATGATTAATCTTTTCAAAAAGCTTTGTTAGAGCTTGAAATATGAATCTGACAATGTGGTCTTGTATCACAAAAATTAATGTAAAATTCCGCACTTTTGACAAATTGTTATCACAATTTTTCGTTTCACAAAATTTTAACTGAAATAAAATCCAATCTTAAGAAAAAAATAAGTCGAAAGTATGATATATTTTTCAATACAGGATGCCTGTGATTACTACATATTTTTTATGGAAAATTTTTTTTACGAAACAAGGGCACAGAATTTTAGAAATACAGCAATTTGATTGGTTAATAAATTAGAAGTCAAGTTAAATTATTGCCAGTGTCAGTTACGTACATTTCAAGCTCTAAAATCAAGCTTATTTCAGAAAATAAAAATACATAGGAACTTCAGAAACAGAGATGGAAAGTATGGTCTTAAAATCATTTTATAATTTATTCAATTAAAAGTTTCAAATATAGCCAATAAATACCCCAACATGTTTCTGTGCTCGACCTTAAGTGTATCTCAAGCTCAAAAGTTCCAAAAAAAAACTAAAGCAAAAGGAACATCAATATTTCCATAATAGACCAAAATTTCCTGAGTTAATTCTCAATTTCCTTTCAATTACAACAACAAATATCATGCAAGAATATTAATAAGTACCAGAGAAATCCCATAGAGACATGCTATTATATATAATTATAAACAAGCAAAGATAATATAAACAGAACAAGAAAACAGGAAGAAGGGTCATGCCAGAAAATGAAAGATGAGACAAAAGCATCCTTGTTTAAACCACACCCCTTATAAATAAAACATGGGGCCATGTTTCACTTTATTTGTACGAGGCGAATTTAAACCAATCAAAATGTTCCTTTTTATGAAGAGAGCTTGCTTAAAGAGTTTGTGTGTGTGATCATATTACAAAACAGCACTTACATAGAAGCAAACTGATTGGTCGTTTTAAAAATCATGTGAATATTTATAACCTCAGTCTCTAATTATGAGGTTTTCGTCATAAAGTGAAACACGGTAGAAATAAAGATATAGTTTAAACATTAACAAATAAATTATCAAAGCCTGTCCTGCATTTCCAAATAAATTTCATGATTTATGATTAATCTTTAAAGAAATATTTCTTGAAGATATAAAGTTGTTCAAGAGAGAGTCAGCAGTAGAAAGAGAAGAGGGAAGAATTTAAAAGATGACCACTACCGCTAAAAGTCCACTAATCTAACTAGTGTAATATCCATGGGCTAAGTTGTCAAAGGTTCAATTTTTTACAATGTAAATGTCACAAACCCTTTAAACACTGAGTGTACATGAAATAAAAATCATATCATATAACTCCAAGTAATATAGCTTAAAGCATATGACGTTAACATTATGTAATGTTACATTTGGGAGAACTTGATTGGTGAGTTCTGCACACTTGAAATTCATGGTATGAAACAGAAATTCAATAAAACAAGTTAGTACTGAGTTCCGAATGCGTTCTACGTTTGCTAAAATAAATTGTAATTCAACAGAATTCAAAATGGCGGAATAAGAAATAGAAGATAAAATTTAGAATGAGACATAATTTGGTTCTGTTTGTTCGATAGAGACCAGAAGTGGAACAGATAGAACATGTTCAGAACCCACCAATCAAGCGCCACTTTATGTAATGTGAAAATTTATGACAACAAAACCCAAGATATATATGATTATGAGTAAAGGTACCTTTAACCATGCCGATTAAAAATGTGAACTTTGACCACCGGTAATTTATGTAATACCATATGAGGAGATGACCTTGACCTTGCTAATGCCAGTTTGAGTGGATTAAGAGGATTAAGGTACGGAGATAATCCATTTAGTTTCTTTTTCCTTCCTCTGCCTTAATAATCAACATAAATATTAAACCATACATAATGAAAATAACAGCGTCAAAGTTGGTCATAATATAAATTACATTTTTCTCAATAGGCTCTTAAAGGGACAAGTTCGCCATTTTCACGGGTTGATTTGGGTCATTAGAAGCACTAGAAATGTAAAAAAAAATCGCATAATTCCTTCAAAAACATCTCATTAACACTTTCTCTTTCTATAGCTGTCTTTTCTATATATGAAAGAGAAATTTAAAATGACGAGTCGTCAAATAAACTTTCAAACGTAGATAATTCTGGCCACACGTGGATTTGAAGGCTCAAATTTCGATGGTGAGCTGTGAACACTATTACTAATTGACTTAGTAACAAAATTCACGTTTCTCAAACTAAAGTATGATTGGTCAAACAGATGGCGACTCTGTCCCTTTAACAATTAATCTATTACAATGTCAACAATAATAAATTAGAAATTACATAATCAAAATTACAATTTAGAGAGCCTGATCGTGCCCCATTAACCCTATGATGGTCATGTCAACATCTCGGCTTCTGTCTGCAACTTGGTGAATTGGAAACTTGAGGCGCAATCACTTTCAGTAACTATAAACTATATTACTAAATCTATCACATTATCTAATGGCGTTATTGGTAAGCTTATTACATCAGGGGCAAACGAAGTAGTCCTGGGCCCTCAGAAAATTTCCTCAGTCCCCCTCCCCAATGTCCACTAAGGCTCTCCCAGTTTGTTCCTTGTCCTCTTTGGACTCTTCCTTTAATCCATTTTGTCATCCGATCAAGGCTTTAAATTCAAAGAGACATTACAAAATTCAAAGAAAATTTCTTACTAAAGTCAAGTGACTTGTTACTCCTGACCTCTCTTAGCCCTTGAGCCACATCGCACTGACCACACCCCCTCTGACCACACCTCCTCTGACCACACCCCTCAGTCCGCCTCTCAATGTATAAGCTTACATATTTTCTCTACCCTAAGCTTCACTAAACAATCACTAGACTAAATCTAACCTATCATAACTTGCCTAACTAAACTTTATAAACTAAATCTAATATTTGGCACAATAATAAAATATTTTTCAACAACCATGAGAAGATCACATTTCATGCTTGCTGTCATTCTTGAGAGGTTAGATTTTTAACATTTTTTTGTTAATATTTTTTTGTCATGGCTTTGTGACGAAGGAATTGAGAAAACAAAGTTGTTTTGGGATTGGCTTTGTACATGAAAACCAACATGTAAGAGGGATTGCCTTTTGTCATCCAAAATTTACGAGTCCAAACATAAATGCAGATTTGCATTGTTACTTTTGAATAATTAACTTTGTTAAAATACATGTGTATCAAAATAAACTTAAAGGGGTTCAAATGAAGTCTTCTAAACTTTGTATGTAAATCAGGGATAGGCCATAGCTTCTATTGCATCAATCCTGTCAGACGTCTGTGAATTACAGGAACCATAGATGTCGAACAGAAAAATTGGAATGGTGCAAATAGACGCTTTAAGAGTCCATGATAAAATGACCGAAGATAGAAAACCTTTTCAAATTCCTTTAACAAACCATAACAATGAATATTTTCAAACAAAAATTAAACAAATTAATCTCTCAAAATAAAGAACTCTCTAAAAAATAAAACCATAAAAAATCACAGCCATGTTAATGAAGTCAAGCACAGCTGTTTCTGCACATCAAAACATAAACATGACCAGTCCATTTCATTTTGTAGGTAGCATAAGTAGTATTGAACACCATATAAGTCTATTCTATATAGTGCTGATTACTACTTACTTACCTCAAACCAAAATAGGCTGTTAATGTTTGTGTTTCAATCCAACCTGGATTTGCATAAATATCTGTGCTCGACAACACAATATCATTTCATAAAAAAATAACACTTCAAAATAGTAAGTTATAAATTATCAAAACTTAAAATAATATCAAATAAGTAATAAATATCATGATTTTTGATGTAGAATATAAAAAAATAATGAAAATCATTTTTATATTTGCAATACTTTTTAGATGCATATTTCAAACTATATGATATTTTGTTTATAAGACATATAGAAGTAGGAAGATTACAATAAAACACTAAGATATATAGATATACTACTTCTGAATTTATTACATTCTACGTTTATCGTTTATGTTGTTAATCATTTTACTTGATAACATTACCTGTATGTGTTCCGAAACGTAGTATGTAATAAATGCAGAAGTAGTATATCTATATATTTCAGTGTTTTATATGATATTTTGATTATCTTTGAATTTCTTGGGTTTAAGTGCCGGGCATTTATTAGATTAGTCTGAACATTTCTAAAATATGCTATCTTTCTGTCATGACTTAATGTAAGCATCAGTCAGAGGGGCCGAATAGGGGTTACAAAATTGTCCAGGGGGCAAATAAAGGTCAGCCTCCTTTCAGGGTTGCCCTAAATGCTAAAATGAACCCTCTCTTCATGATATAAACCCATGATTAGGGAATCTATTTTAATGTGTTTTCCTTAACACCTACATTACCCAAATATTACTGAGTATATTTGAATCTACCTTGAGGGATTTGGATTCCACTACAAGGGTTAGCCTAAACACCTACATTTCCCAGATGTTACTAAGAAGATTTGTCTCTACATTTAGGGATTTGGAAGGGTTAGACTAAACTTTTTCCTTTACCAAATTTCGACAGACTTGGCACTGATCTACATTCAATTGGGAATCTATTCTAAGGGTTAGTCTAAACACTAAAATTTACCGAAATGGATTCTTCCAAACCTCAACTTTCTAATTACTACCAACTTTTGCAACTGTTGCCATATTTGGTCGAAAGACAGATTCTTGGGATTTTGAAAGATTGAACATTTTCAGTTTTGGGAGATTATTTGAAGTTTTGTCAGTCGTGGTGTCGTCTGCATTTAAATATGTAACTTTGGGGAATTTAAGTGTAATATGTGGTTTTGGATTTCTAACCGCAGGTTTGACCTTGGTCTTTTTAGTCTTACGCTTAATTTTCGTCACTGGATACAAACATGCCGCGAGATTGGAATCGTTTTTACCTTTTTGAGCTTTGATATGACGAAAATCTGTTGTTTCTACGTTCTTGACAGAAACAGCAGGTCGGAACGGTTTATCAGCAATCGAACCAGGAATACTGTAGTTCATAGAAACAGACGTCTTGGAGACGATTCTTCTGTTGCCGACAGAAACATAAGGTGTATGTAAACACAGCTTTGGTTGTGATGGTGGTTCTGGTTGCCGGGTGGCGCCACCTGATTTGGAATGTTTCGAAGACATATCCAATGGTTTATAATACTGAGATCGGCTGATACCAGTATCGCTGAGGGAAGATTGCACCTTGCAATCCGATTCGCTGGCTTCCACAGAGTTTGTTCCACATTTCGGTAACTGTTTCAAATACGACGTATTCACTGATGCACCATGGGTAGGGGATTTTTTAGCCATGTCTTTTTTGGGTGCACTATCATTTGAACTAGATACATTGTCTTTAGGTTTTGATTCGTTGTTTAAAGCAGTAGCAGAATTTTTCTCCGACACATTATGTCGCGATGTTTGTGGGGACACGGATTCTACCTTTTTGTACCCGAACGGTTTCCTAATAGCAGAACCTTCAACTTGTAAGTTTATGCCTATATATGGAGGGACAGTAACTATTGGTTGTTTATATGACAACTCAAATCGCCCGATGTCACAGTTTCTATCCTGTTTTCTATCGATCACAACTAAAATGAAAAATTAAACAGCATAAATTTATACAGCCAAATTTCAGCCATTTTTTCAGCTGACATAATTACAATGGCGGAGAGTTCATGTACCAAAAAATCATCCACGAATTCTTTTGAAAAAAAATAGCAATATTATACCAATACAATCACGATAAGAAAAAATGGATTTAAAATGTTCTAGGTCAAGTTTTGTTAGTGTAAAAAATGCTTTTGTCGTTTTTTGGTATGGAAATTTCTTGACTATACTCCTTTGACATGAAAGAAAGGGAAGCTACTCTGTACAAACCTTTGATAGTATCATCTAAGACATTGTTACACATTCTGGCTGTAACAGCTGTACTAGCCTCCATACTGGGAGAGGAGTTAATTTCTATCAACCACGGAGCATAGTCTTCCGTTAACATAAAATCAGCACCATATAACTCAAACGAGGACTGAAATAAACAACAAACACTTAATCAAAAATAACTTGTGCAAAATTCTAAAATCATACAAAACAAACTCAAGGGCAATAACTCTTGTTTCCCAAGTTGTTTTTATTGTCTGCTTATGAATAATTATATTGCTTTTTTTAAAATTCAGGGGCAATAACTCAGAAAACCAAAACAAATTGGTCATCTTATAGTATCTCAAAAGTTTATGCCTTTTAAAAAAATGCAGATTGCGTTCTTAAAAGAGACACGGATGACTGAGAATAAGATATATATAGATAACTATTTAGGCTTGTGCCATGTTTTATTTGGTACATGTGCTTATGTATTGGGCCAAAATAAAATGTCTCTTGTACCTTTCTGTATTCTATAATATCTTGAGCTGTTAACAGAGCACACTGTATAGCTTTCTTCATTCCAGGATAAATCATATCATCCCAGAGATTTCCTACATTCTTAGTTCTACAATATCAAAAATAAACTGTTACAAACATCTTCACAATGTTTGTCTAATACCTTGACATCATTCAGCACTTTTCTTGTTTGAAAGTCATACAACAATCAATGCCTTGTTATAATGCACAATTAAAGATGGCAGCTATGATGGCAAACAACAACTAGTTAAGATGCAGAGCCATATTGTTTTCAAACTTTCGATAGAGGGCTCTCATTCATAGCAAACAATCCAAATTTTGTGTCATAAGAAAGTGCCTAGAGATGTCAAAGATTAGAAAAAATGTGAAAAAATGTTGTTAGAAGCAATTGTTATTCAATCAATCAATCAATCAAGAAAGCACGAAAAAAAAATGGAATACTCACTTCAGATAATCTTTAAATTGTTCATGGGTCCACATATTATCATCTGGAAGTTGATTGGATCGCGGACCGTTTTTATAATGTTTCTGTATGGCGTTATTTGACAGATGGATGGACTCATCAAAATCATCCAGGGTGTATTGCTGGGAACAGAACCGAAGATAACTGTCCTGATAGAACCAGATGGTCAGGGGATTCCAATCTGTCACCAAAAACCACTGCCGAATATCAAATTTTGTATTATATACCAGTAATGGCCGCTCTGAAATGTAACACGAAAGATCGAGCTTAAGAATAAGGAATCAAATCTTATGTGATATTTACGTTACCATGGATATATATTCATTTTTGCTATATCTTAATATTCTTGCATCACTGTGGCTTAATCAACGTGAAATACAATGAAATTCGTATAGCTGTAGTTTCATATTTAGTTAAAGGAACAGTTGCAGGGGTTAAATGTCGTAATATAGCAACCATGGTTGTTAAGGGGTTAAGATACATACCTATATATTTCTGGACTACGTATTTACTATCCTTTCTAACTACATTAGAATTGACTAGTTTTAACATATCTTCTAACTTATCATAACAAACAATACCTAAAATAACAAATACTTAGATATAAAACTTAAAATAACAGTCAGAATAACAAATACTTATAATAACAAACAATACAAACAAATAACAAATACTTAGAATAACAATACCTAAAATAACAATTACTTGAATAATACTTTTAAAAACCTATACTTTAAAAAAAAAATGCACTTAAAATAACAAATACTTAGAATAGCAATACTTAAAATAACAAATAATACATAAATATAACTAATAACAATACTCATAACAAATACTTAACATACCAAAAAATACTTCAAATATTCAAAAACACGGTGTGCAAACACCTATAAATGGTGTAATGATTTATTTAGAGAAGAAGACCTACAATGTCCTGGAGATTTAGTTCCTAGTCTCGTTGACTATTTATCAATAGAAAAGGGGCACCAAGACTTACCACGTCCTCGTGATTTAGCACCGGGTTTAACAATCCAGACGTTCTTCACCCCATCTAACTCAAACTGGGGACATTTACTGGGCATCTTCTTCATCAATGCTTCACATTTATCTATCAGGGCCTGGGGGACCGTAGGAATTATTCCATCATCACTGTAATAAAGATGGTGTCTGCGTAATGCCAACTTATTTTTTGTCATCAAGAAAGCTTGTGCATTGTTAGGTATTTGGAAGTGAGAGCTGACACCAGGCATTAGAATTTTTCTTACCTTGAGGAGGATTCGAACCCACAGCACCTAATCCCCCAGCAGACGACATCCAACTCGCTACCGAATGAGCTATTCAACTGGTGACAGAGATTATTCCTGATTTACTCGAAGGGAAGTATGGGTACGCGTTATATTGGCAATTATACTGTAAGTGGATGCGACAATGTCAACTCTTTGTGGATGTTGCTTCAGAATTTTTCTTACCCTCGGAGATCCCCATACCCATGGCAATAACTGTTAAAAATCCAACTCACCAACCACTATGTTACGAGAATGAACAAAGGAAAGAAAGAAACAACCAACAAGGATATCGACTAAGGTTCACCAGGATCTGGTCTACCAGTTGATCCTGGTCAAACCTCTGATATTGATCTTGCCGAAGTATAAGGATTACTTTTAAAAAGCAACTGAAATACATACTGAGCTAGCTGATAGTACCACTGTAGTAGCTGATTCCATTGACTTTCGCTTAATATACCAGTCTGAAAAGACAAAGAAGTAACAAGGATAACAACTTAGGTCCTACACATTCAGCTTTCCAAGATAAGCCACACCCATTTTATTTTGGTAGACTTATGTCCTAATGAAAGATGACTAATTCACAGTTACCAGATCTATAAATGTAAATGTGCAAACTGAATTCTCTCCAATCCTCTTTGATGCTTTTTCATCAGTTCCTTCGACCTGCTGCACCGGATCAGCCAAAGAAAAATAACTGTCCAAGCCATCTTAATTATTTTATAGCAAAAGTCACTTACCTCTTCCAGCAGGTCTATATCTTCATGTAATTTGAATCGTAGGAAAATTTCACACTGAGATATAGCTACTTCTAAAGCTTGTACTGGAACTGTTACAGACTTCTTCTTTTTCTTTACATTACGTGGTGAATTTTTTGATTCTAAAAAAAAATAGATTTCAATAGACACAGGTCTAACCATTTACCGTATATTTCCGAATATAATGCAGTTTTTTACCCCAAAATGGGCCCCTTACAGAAGAGGTGCGTAATATACACAGTGAAATAAATTTTGATTTTTTTTTCCCCTTCGAAAATACCGAGAAGCGATGTTGAGGATCCACCATTTTGTATTCCTTCAATGCCATGTTGTTATGTTTTTAAGATCGTTTATATTTCTGACCTTGATGGTCCATAAGAGGTTTGCAGCTTGCTAAGACATTTGAGCAGCCATATTCTCTGGACATCTCCAGAAAATAGAGGTGAATCAACAGCCCTGCCTTCACCATTCAACATTTGCACATGTTCTACCAGCTTTTAAGACTAACTTTCTATATTTAAAACAATAACTTCAAGCTTTCTGAAGTTAAAGCAGTTAGCAAGAGAAGATCTTAAAAAGTTTGGAATCTTACTAGCAAAAAAAAAGCCAAATCCAGAACCCCAACAAGAAGGTAATAGAATTTTGCTTACCATAATGTTTCAAAGCAATATAAACAAAAATAAACTCAAATTTTCAGTATATTCTTCCAGAATACAAATCCTATCTTATACTCACGAGATGGAGTGCCTCTTCCAGGCGGAGATAAATTTGCCTTTTTTATTTCTTCATTTTTCTTTTCTTCCTTCTTTCTCTCATCTTCTTTAATCTTTAATTCATCCTCTTGAATATGAACACATTTGGTTCCATCTTTGGTAATCTCAGCACATTTGGGATCTTTACAACTTGGTTCCACAGGTTTGATTTTGTCAGTTTCTGGCAGTGTTTCCGACTGAATCTTGCTGACATTATTCTGGGCTTTCTTGACGGTCTCGATTGTTTGATTTTCACTGTTTATGTTAATAACAGCACAGTTGTCAATATTGTTTTCAGATTTTTTCAAATTTAGCTCCATGATATGGTTATGCATGATTTTGACAATATTCATACAGGCTGATAATCTATAATCCTCTACAAATGATTAACAAAATATGAAATTCAAAAATTTAGATTTTTAGAAAAATCGAATATGTACAAACTTCCTGTGAAAAATTTTAGATTTTCATTTTTTTTGGAGGAATTTTACATCCTTCCCATTGTGTAATGTAGACAGGCAATGCCATGCAGTGTGAAATGAAGGAAATTTTGCCAGGAAAGCAACCTTCCAACTGTGGAGTAATCTTTAATGCACAGTCTGTGGAATACAAGATCTCAGTTTTTCATCTGATTTAAACTATCCTAAAATTGACTGATCTATATTTGTTATTATGTTGTACAAAATTAGGCACTTTTTTACTTCTTAATAAATAATTGAGAGTCTAGAAAGGGGACATAACTCAAATCTTTCACCTACCAATAAAGGCCTCTTTATCCTCTTCATGACTTAATCGGTAACATCGCGGACAAAATGAATCTTGATCAACATTCTCAAAATATCTTACATTTCTTAAATTAACACATAAACCAACCTAGAATACAATTAAATAATATACTAGTTGACAATGTAATTTGTTGAAACATTGTATACCATAAAACAATACAATACATATACATTCTTCAAGCCACACAGTGTCAAAATACAGCTGAGGGGTAGGATTTTCTTATCTTCGTACAACTCCATGTTTAACCTACCCTGTTTTGTGGTACCGTGTGAGGCACATGAACATTGTAGAATATCTGGTAATGTTTAGCTTTGTATAGCACCAAAAAGTTGGTTGAAGCAATAAGAATGAATGAAATTTTATGTTTGCCCTTAAATGCCGCTATCCCATTCATATAATACTTCAAATAAACGGTAAGGCCAGATTTGTAGGGCTATATCAAATCAAGAGTTGTCTTACCTTGGTAGTAAAAGAACCAGCTTTACAATAATGGTTAACCATCTGATCTCTTAATAAAAAACGATAATCTATTACGTCCCTTTTTAACACCCAGAAAAATTGCGGGTTCACGTTACGCACCATTCGTGACTGAAATGATAAATTCACAAATTACATTTTAAGCCATGTAAGATATTTTTCTAATTTTGTCTCAACTTTGGTTCCAATTCAATTCGGCTAGTGAAATGAAAATAGAATTTTACGTCCTTATTCCTCATTGAGTTTATGAGGACATGATGCATTGTGCAATGAGGGAAATTTTGATAACAGTGACATGGTATTGAACATTGTTCCATGGATAAGTAAAAAAAAATTGTAAAACTGACCATAATTCCATACAAGCCATCTTCTTCTTCCCATGGAGGAATTTTAGGTTCATCATCTAGAAAAATAAAAACAATAGTGTCAGCCATCTCTTTGTCTTTATCGTCCATTAAAAACAATGAATTCTGAGTACCCAATACAAACTTGAAATCACTTAGTACTCTTTGAGCAAACAAATTGGTGCAGAACAAAAAATGGTCATCAAGATTTTGTGAATAAGGTCCATAGAATTCAAGTTATGTCAATGCCATGCAAAATAATTTGACAAGGGAAGATAACTCTTGATGCCTTACTGTCATCATCTGTTCCATCATCATCATCAGTTCCAGCATCATCATCATCATCATTATCAGCTGCAGCCCCATCATTATCAGCAGCAGCTCCATCGCTGTCTGAATCATCTGAGTTCTGTTTACGACGTTTCGGTCGTGAGGGACGTTTGTTGAAGCCTGTTGTTTTGTAGAACTTTTCTACCCACCCTCTTTTCCTCAGGCTGTTCCTGACACTGGCATATCCACCTTGTATTGTGAATACTTTACGATACTGCAATTGAGCAATTCCTTAAAGGTCAAGGTCAATGAAAATGGCAGTTATCTGTATGCTAACATATAATTTCAAAAAAATTCAAAATGTATTGCCAAATATTTGAGAATTTTTACCTCTCAATGAAGTTTTTTTTCATGATTTTCAAACAAGGGATTATGCCAAATGTTTGTTCCTGATGAAGTAACATGATATAGGATAGTTCCTACCTTAATTGCCTTATCAACAATCTCTTTAGCATTTCTAAGTCTCTCTCCCTCATTATTCAGAGACAACTTTCTCCCTAATTTCGATCTGGCAATAGAGGGCATAGTTTTACTTCGTGAAAGACATGCTGGCGACTCATTTTCTGAAAATATACCATATAATCAGAATTTCAGCAAAATTGATGTGCATACATGTAGTTCCACATAATTCAAAGTATATACAGTTGTCTAAGAATTAGCTTAACTAACAAATAAATCTCAATTTCAGCAGTCAGTATCCCTTTTCACAATGAAAATTAGACACCTGGTTAAATATCATAGCCTGATTCCTATGAATTGATCAAGAATTTATTAACAAAGTGGCAACTTTTAAAAAAGACATCAGCAATTTCATTTTAGCCTTCGCTAATCTCGTTGGCAAAATTTCCATCATTGCTCACTGCACAACAAGGTTCAACCCGAGTCCTAACACAGACTGCAAATAAGGACTTGGCTTTACCTTTATCAGCATCTATTGGACGTTGAATAATGCCCGGGTGACTGAAGCGAGTTTTCTGCTGAACTTTGAGAACATCTTGAGGCGATGCATAAGGCCCTGAAATATGGTGGGTGTTAGTTTTTACAACAATTATTGCTACAAATATTAGCTACATATATTTATATTAGAAATTTCTACAATACAACATAAGTTGATAAGAGTTAGGCAGTTAGAATGGTGCAAAGTGTTTGAAATACAGAGATAGATGTTTTGTTTTATGTTACTACACCTACCATCCATGATCTGACAAACTTTGTTTTTAACTCATGTTCCATGGTGTTGGTATTAAAAGCGGAACGGTCGGTATTTTCGGGGATTGATTTGGGCCGAATGTGCTTTAATAGTCTTAAGAAGTACTAAAACTCACAAAAATCACATAATCCCTTCAAATATAACTCAAACTAGAAATTTCACTGTCTATTTCTATATATGTGTTTTCTATATATGGCATAGTCTCACTAAAATTCAATTTGAAATTTTAACTTTCAAACGTGAATAATTATGGATACACTTGGATTTGAAGGCTCAAATTTCGATGATGAGCCGTGAAAACTATTACTGATTATGTGAGCTAAAAAAATTCCTGTTTCTGAAACTAAGGTATGATTGGTCGAACAGATAGTTTCATGGAGTTTTGACATAATTGTTTTTAAAATTTCTCATAGTTTATTGTTTCAATTCAAAAACACTGTTCAGAGTGGTTAGACAATACAAGGCAATGTTTAACAACTCTTAGAATTTACATATAGTAATGGATGGCACGTTACACAAAACAAAACAAAACATCAAGATTTTCATTTTTAACAGATTGAAATTGATAATTATGTGTGTGACTGTTAATTATTATTATATTATTTGATTTCCTGTAATAACTGATAGTGAACAAATTCAATAAACAAACTATATACAGTTGCTATAGTTACCCTCTAAAAGACGTTGAAGCTTGGCTGAATTTGTGGTTTTCATTCTATCCACAGCTAAAGTGTTGACGGCTGGCATTTCGTCCAAACCTTTCGAACTCTCTACAGCTTCAGGTTCAGGCTTATCTTCTTCTTCCTCTTCACAGATTGTCCCACACTGTATACCTGAGTTTACAGGAGATTCAGCTTCATCCACTTTCTGTAGATTAATAGAATATTTTAATCCTTAAGCGACATTCAGGGGTAGAGAATGATAACATTAAATAATGTAATACAATTTTATGATATTCCTTAATGTTTTCCACAATTTTCCTAGGTCCTTTTCACAAAAAGCAATTTTGTTGTAAGTATTGTATTTGTCAATGTTAATTCTATACTTCATCACAAATTCTTATACAGTTTTTTTGAGGAAAAGGGCCCTAGCCACGTATTCTCAAAACAATATTAGCACTAGGATGTCCTTGAATCAATGTTGGAAGATAAGAACCTAGGACATCCTAGAATCAATGTTGGAAGATAAGAACCTAGGACATTCTAGAATCAATGTTAGAAGATAAGAACCTAGGACATTCTAGAATCAATGTTAGAAGATAAGAACCTAGGACATCCTAGAATCAATGTTAGAAGATAAGAACCTAGGACATCCTAGAATCAATGTTAGAAGATAAGAACCTAGGACATCCTAGCACTAAGATTGTTTGGAGAATACGCAACCAACTTTTGTTAATAGCAATAGATATTCATTAGAGGCTATGTAAAGTCACTTGGTTACACTGGCCACTGAGATATATGTTAAAAATAATCTAGCAGTCTTATGGGTTAAAAACGTTAAGATAACTTTTCAACTTTCTCTCACTTTCTTTTGATCTGACCCAAAATGCATGAAAAATTTTCCAACCTCATTTTCGTTGTCTGAATTAGTATTTTCCAATTCTTTATCAAGATCTTTGGAAGCTCGAAAAGAATTTCTTCTGGACTGAGGTGAAATTGATACACTCTTCTTATACAATGTATCAGCTTTTTCTACCTGAAATTACAAAACAAAATATCAATCTGTCATTCAGTCATCTGAGTTATGATACAGTTCACATAAGAAAGAAACAACTATATTTTACAAGGATAACAACTTAAGTTCACAAGGATCCTGTCCCCATTATGTTTCTCAGCCAAGTCACTAGAAAGTGATCTTACAAACAAGGATAGCAATTTAGGTTCACAAGACTCCTTTCTACTGGCTGGTCCTTGACCAAACCTTTTGGCATTCATCTTGTACCCATTTCTAACTGTGTTGATTGGAATGATGAGAAAAAAATTACTGAATTATAACACACACGAACAACTTATGTTTGATGTAACAAAGCAAATAACATGATGTCATGTAAAGATTCCATAGTTCTAACCAACTGTGCTACAGCCAGTCCTCATATTATTCAAGCATCCATCAAACTCACATGTTTTCTTTGATTTTCAAGATGTTGTTGTTGTCTTGACATAAAATCACTGTTTAAATTTTCAACGATTTTCAAACTAGCATTACTAAGGCTGGGTTTAAAAGTGAAAACTGAAGAATCTAAATTTGCGTTTGAAGTTAAGGCATTATTTTCTGCGGCAGAACTGTCAAAACTGGGTCGTTTCTTTATGATCATATAATTCTTGCTGTCTCCAGCAATTTCAGATATGAATTTTGGATCAATCAAACTTGGACTGACAATCGTAAACGGCAGATCTCTTGGTAATCTATCTGATAATATTTCTCTTTCTGTTAAGACTGCTTGGCTATCTGTGTCTTCTGAAAGTTTTGAACTGGCAGCACCTTCAGTATCCTTATTTCCTAATTTCTGCTCTTTGACAGGAATCGGACCTAGAGGCTTCTTGTAATTCAGTTTACTCTTGGTTTCTAACATAAAATTCGGAATCCCTGGTTGCTTTGACTCTCGAGTCGAAACTATTTTCTTGCTGGCTTCACTGATTTTTGGAGCAAATGTGAAGTCTACGTCACAAATAGGTTGTCTCTTCCCCATTTCATCTTTGCCATGATTCAAAGGCTTTAACACATCCTGAATTTTTTGTTTCAGAACTCTTTTGTTTACATATCTTCAGTGGAAAAACAAGAAATATGAGATCATAATTTCTGTCGCCAAGGAAAGGCGGCCATGTTGTTTATCGTAGTTTCCCGGAAATAGTCTCTAAACCAAAATTATTTCTCAAATATTTTCAAAGCGCAGACGACAGAACCAATAACTTTCTATGTTTCTGTGAAATTAATGAATCAAATGGAAATAAAACAAAAATGAAAATATCAGTTATTCTCTGAGTACATCGTAAGGGATCGGAAAAGACCGAAGTCAATTAGGTAGTCTTCGATACCCAGACTTTTCATCTCTAGTTTTACCAGACAATGTAAGACTGGATGACAGCGGCTAGACAATAACTAGGTTATAACTCTTAAAATTAGGTCAGGTAAAGTCACGTGAACTTTAGTCGAATCGTAAAAACTGTCAAAAGTCAAAGTGGAAACGGATGAAAATGAAAAGTCATCATTAAAAAGAGGCAATGAGGACATTGTCAAGTGACTAAACTTCATCGTTGAATCGAGTTCGTCTGTTTTTTCACATTTTTGGTTAGAAATTTTGTTTTTTCTTTTGTTTTAGTTAAAATATTGTCAACTACGTTTTGTTATTCATTGAAATCAGTGTCCTTTGTCACAAACCTTAAAGCTGACGTCACTGACTAAAATAAGTTTTCAAACTGAATTTTTTTTGTGAGGACTTTTATATGTCGAATTTTTCATTGCCTAACACTATGGATTGCTGAAATAATACATTAATCATGCTTTTTGTATGTGAACCTCCCAAATGTATATGAGTTGATATTCTCATAGAAATGCATCATGCGTGTGTGTACAAATGAGCTTCTGTAGTATTAACAAAAGTAAAACTTGAATAATAGAAGAATATTCAAGAATAAATATTTGTTGAATGTTTCAAGGATGTTTTTTTATTTTAGAATCTTAGTTGAAGAATTGCCGTTAGGATGAGTGTCTCTCGTGTTTTAAGAGAAGAGTTCCGTTTAAAACAATTTGGTTTTGGAGGTGTGGATTCAGAATGTTTTTTCACATTTATTGTAAGTATTTTGAATAGAAATATCTGAAAATTTAAAATTAAGTATGATATCAACTTTTTCAAGAGTAGCTATACCTGATATGATTTCAAACAGCAACTGGTTTGTGTACAATTTAATGAGAAAAGTGCAGACGGAATTGATGACTGTCATGCATTTAAAAGTGATTAAGAACCTACTCCTATGCATTTATTGCCAATATTATGATGTTGTCTGTAGTACATACATGGGAGAAGTTTGGTATTGCATTTTTTGAATGATACTTAAAGCTTTCATGAAAATTTAAAAAAGAAAATTATATTTTTTTGATTATCTCAATAGCTTATATATCTCAAATATTCTGAAACCTTTCTTTCACTATTTCCGCGTAGCTAATAATATCTGCATTGGAGGATTCACAAACCTTAGTACCAACTACTTAAAGCTGTCATGAAGTCAAAAAAAACTTTTTGGAATATGTCAATCAGAAATATAGCTCTATTTTGTTCCATCATCTTTCACAATGATTCATATTAATTTTTTAATTGTAAATTTTCAATTTTTTATCCATTTCAGTGGTGGCCATCAAGGCTAATTTATCTCATCTACCGATTTTTAATGGCGGCCTTCACCCTGACCATGTTGTCAATCACAGCCACTCAAATCAAGGAACATAAAGCTCCTTATCCATGGCATGTATTCCTTACGAATTGGTCTTACACGTCCTTGACAATCTACATGCTCATGCACTTTCTCGTAACCTTGGTAACGTTCATTCACAGAGCACGACAAGGCAGGAATTTAATAACTCGGACAGACGCGGAAGTTCATCGGAAAGCGATCCTTCCTCAGACACACCAAGGAAATACCTCGCCTTACCAAAGTGTAGATGACTCTTCAGTACAAGGAGTTACAATTGTTAGAAACGGGTTTTCAATCATTCAGGCAGTTGTGTGGCTTTTTTATACGTACGTATCTGCAGCAGCTTTTATAGTTACCTTAGTGTTTTGGATTGCGCTCTTTCCACATATGAAGGGTCCTGCATTTTCTATGGACAATCTTCAATTACATTTACTGAATTCCGTTGTAATTTTAATCGAGCATAGTCTATCCGCGATCCCTGTTCGGCTTTTACACGTAACTTATGCGACTGTGTATGGATTGATATATACATTATTCAGTGTGTTTTATTGGACAGGAGATCACAGAAGAGTTATCTACCCTATCTTAAACTGGAACAAACCAGGCCCTTCTATAGGTTATGTTTTACTGTTAGGACTAGTGCTAAGTCCCTTTGTGCAATTATGTTTATTCGGCATTTATCGATTGAAAATTTTTATTTACAAGAAGGTCCACCATGTTCCTGATGAGTCATTTGATTACCAACCTCAGTAAAGAATGATTCTCAAGGGTGTCCTAGTCAGACAACATCAAACCTTTGATTAACAAGGCTGATAATTTTGTCAACAGGGACTTATAATTGCTAAAGTGCAACCCCAGAGATTAATTAATTGGACCAATCAAAGATGTTGCCTAGCTATATAAAGGATGATGTTTCCTGACGGACGTCATCATTCATTATTATTCAAGATGGGTTTAGGGAACTCAACCCATCGTCAGTGGTGAAGGTTTAAGATATGAGTGGTTCAAAACTAAGTCCAAATGTCTTTCACTTAATAAAAATGTATGAATGTAACGAAAATAAAATTATATAAGCATGGATTAATTATTGTGCCTTAATGGTATACTTGTTGCTAGAAATTTTTTAATTGTTTTAGTGATATCTGTGCTATATGATACCCCTCAAATCTTTGAATAGATTCTTCAACACATGCATTCATGTAACCATGATTTTATGATAGATAGAAGAGTTCATTTAAGATTTAAGGGTATTTTTTTATGTAAGTAATTTCAAGCCTTTAAGTTTTTGTAATGCATCCTAATTTCTTTCAAATCCACCCTTTTGTACAATATTTATTTTGATATGGCTCTGCATTTTTTGTAAATCGTAAATCAAGGATTTTTCATCAGTTTTTTCTATGTTTCTGGTGCTCAAAATTTGACATTCCATATACTGACATGATATTCCAGTTTGGAACACAGCATTCCATTTTTGTATCAAACTTTTTCTTTCTTTTTTTTTATATCTGTGCTATATAGTAGAAAATGTAGTGCGTTTTTTCGTTTTTTGGGTTGTTTTTTTTCTTATTTCATGATAGCTTTAATAATTCAGCATTTAAAGCCGGTTTGTGTGCAAAACTAATATTATTGTCAAGTGCTTAAATATGCAATGATGTTTGTTATGAGAAATACATTTTCGTATGTTTTTGTAATTTCATGACAGCTTTAAAAAACAGTATTTACTTTGGTCCCAATCTTGTTTGTTAAATTTTCAACATGAACATGAACTTATTAAACATAAATTTTCGTTTGTATTATATATTTAGTGAAAGCTTTAATAACATAGATTTGACAAATGAATCTGAGTCATAAAAGCCCCATTTTGTTGTTGTTGGTTGTTTTGAGGCAGGAGGTAGTGGGATAAACCATATATTTGCGTCTATATTGCTCATTTTTGCTACACTTTCTGGTTCGCAGAATGTATAATGACAATTAAATTTTGATTTTCGTCAAAGGTTTCATAGTCAATACTGACGATACTACCCGAATTTTACCCATTGCTTAGCATGAGATCACCCCTCCCTTGACCAATGCTCTTTATCTTCAAAACTAGCTGTCTTATCATCAAGTGCGCACAAACCCCAAAGTTGTGTTATCTGTGGTGAAACTTTTAAAAGTAAATTTTATATAACCATCATTGAGTTGGAGGTGTGATAACTGATACATGGGTGATAAACTATGAGACAAACAAGATAAAATTATTTCGAGGTCAGACGGGGGGTCAAGAGACGATATCGGTGCGTTTGCCTTCCGAAACTAGTACAACATGAGGAAATCTTAGATGGGGTTGTTCAGCCCCCAATCAAATTCCTTGAAGGCAGTGACAGGGAAATAATTGGAAAAAATACTGATTTTGGGGTTTTCCAAGTATGAGACTGTCCCGGTTTTTACCCTTTTCAAATTACTAATCATTGAGTTCGTAAATGGCTGGCGTACTCGGCCAAATGATTCGAATATGGTGGTTTATTATCTTATTGTCTATTAAAATAAAATTAATAGGATTGACCTAAAAATTATTCAGGGGTCACGGTGATGAAGAAACTATTATACTGTATATATCAAAATGGCTGAATCATGATGACCTTTACTTGACCTTGAGTTTATCAACTTTTATCTCCGACAATAGACGATCGTTGACCTTTATTAGATAAAGATGGCTAACGATAACAAGATGATGCCCGGCTAATTTTTGACAACAATAGGCCTAGCCTTTATTTAGATAACTGAAGTTCACGAGGATCCTTTCTACAAGCTGGTTATGGACTAAACCTCTTGGCATTGATCTTCTCTGGATTAAAGGGGATTCTTTCTTGCAGCGAATCCTGCCTACCAGTTGGTCCTTGGCAAAATCTCTTGATCTTTCCCAGATTATCTGTACCCATTTACTGTTGGTCTACTGGAATATTAAAGATTCTTTCTACTAGCTGGAAGGTCCTTGGTCAAACCTCTTGGCACTGAAATTTTCCTTAATTCCTGTACCCATTCACAGCTGAGTCGACTGGAATAATGAAGATTCTTTCTACCAACTGGTCTCGGACAAACCTCTTGCTTCACATCTTTCCCGGATTATCGTTATAATATAATAGAAAAACCGGACTTTCAAACGCCAACCTATTTTAGAACCCACAACAATTATTGTTCGTCTGAACACCTGAACACTTTATGACCAAATCTACAATTAATTTTTCTGACTACGTGTATACTGGCCGACATCCACCAAAAATAACTATTAGAGTTAGTTGGTACTAATTTAGCTATCGATCTACAATTGTTAATTTGGTATACTGGAATCGATCTGGAATCAATATGTCGGCAATATCAAAGTAATTATTGATGTCTATTATTATGTCGTAAAGTGTTAACAAAAAATAGTGATTTCTTTAACCATTAATGAATTTAATTGGAAATTCTGGCTTCGGAAACATACAAAATACCTTACATCTCTGCACCTTATTTGCACTAATACAGTGTGCAATGAGGGACATTTCTCAAAGAAGCGGTATTGAGATATTATATTTGATTGCCTACCGTCAAAGGAACATCTTTAGATGAACGAAATGAAGATTCTTTGAGCTAACTGGAATATCGAAAGATTTTAAATAAATAGACAGATCGCTGTGTGTCATTTTCGGACATAGAGCCCCCTTCCCCCTCCCTCATTTGATAAACACTTATTAAAAAAAAAAGAAGCCTTACCATGGTATGAGTTCAGAAAATTCTTAAATTACTCAGAATCCAAAATAACACATTACAAAAGACTAAAAAACGCCTCAATTCCACACTTTAGAGCCAGATGCACTGTAGACGATTACTGGTTAATAATTAAAAATGGCTTTAAGCAAAAAATTCTACAAACCTTGAAAATTTCGGCCTGTCAAATCTTAATTCCGTTAATTCCTTCCTCATAAAACAACTTCATTCTTAATTCATTAATCCTTAATTAGCTAACAATTGAACTTTGGGATTAATGCAGCGATAATCCGTTAATCCGTCCGATAATCCAACGTTACGGTATTACGACCGAATTAACCCGCTAGACTAATTAAAATGAACTTTTAAAGTACTTGATAGGTTTAGTACCGTTAGAAACAGTACACAATGCAGGTATTATTACATATACAACCACTGAGTTGAAATACTATAGACGGGGTTTGAAATAGAAAGGCGAATGCGTGCGTTAACAGTACACGATATGCTGAAGACATGCAATGCAATGCAATAGCACGTGCGTAACCTGATTCATGAAGGGCGTTTTTTTTTTTTTTTTTGGGGGGGGGGGGGGGGGCGGTGGGCTAAAAAATCTTGGGTTATTTTGTATCAAAAATGTGAAAAAGTGGGAGGGGGTATGGTCAAGATCCACAAGCACACGTCCCTATGGGCAAAACGGGGACGGGGATTGTAGTCTAAATCGTGGAGTATATCGAAATTGGACCAGTGTTCCAAAAATTAATCATGATCTATATCTAGCCACCCCCACCTCCTCTCCAAAAAAGTAAAAGCAAACAATCTAAATATGCAATCTATTTTAAGTCATTGCTAAATACACCGGATTACCCACAGTGGTTAATAATACCCATTGTAAATGCTGACAAAAACTAGGGTTCAAAGATCTCTGTAGTTGTAGAATTTGGCCTTGATAAAACTTCGAAGACCATGTCAGTAATCGTAAGTCGTTCGCTTGGTACATAAGCCATAGACAAAATAGATATGAGGCGTTTCTGTTTTGATTGGGTTAAATTTCCCCTAATTCAACAATGCCGTGTCTGTGGACTTCCATAAGATGTAAAATGAAGGCCGTATTATCCGCCCATTCACAGACATCTATTGTAAATTGGATTGCCGACTACTACATGATTATTAAAAAAAGGAAACACTCTGATGCCACGGCCGGTGCTTTGGAGAATCGATCCGCTGTCGACCCCAACACCTTTCCCCACCAGTCATACGTAACCAGCTATAGGGCCTAATATTGATTTGTTGTCCTTAGTAACGATATTATCAATCAATTCAACGCCTGGTAAAAATAATCACCACACCCTCCATTAAACAATACCCGACATTGAAATGATTTTAACTCCTATACGATAAGAACATGTTCACCCTGATTCAAATCTTTATTTATTTTAGCGGTGTTATGCATATTATTAACATGGGAACCACCATTTTGACAACGATGTTGAAGTTGTGTTCGTCGAAGCAATTAATGCAGAATGCTATTAATAGTAGTATTATTTTGAAAAGACGTAACTTGGTATCTTGTTTGAGTTTTGAAGGGAGGACAGAGTGTGGGGGGGGTGTTCGTTTCTATTGTAGGTCTACCAAAATTGCATCTGATTTTAGAATGCTCAAAACTGAAAAAAAGTGGTCGAATATAAACCTCAAGAACCCCATTATAGAGCTTGCATGGGGTGTCTTGAAACAATTCGAATTGACGACGAGATGCAATTACAATATTTTCTTCCAAAAAGAACCAATTTTGTAGCTTTTAGCGCCAAAACTTGAGTCAATGCCCAAAATCGTTGACGTTGAACGCAAAAACTCTTGACAATGGCGACGACGTCAAGCCTCTATTCTTCGCTAACGTTACCAATGTGATATCTTTGTTCTAACCTGACGACATTATCAAAATGTATAAGAATAATTTTATCAATTTTGAGTTTGGTGATCCTCAAGAAGAATGGCGATCAAGGCAGGGTCGCACTGGGGAGGAACAGAGTCCGATGACAGAGTTCAACATGTCGGCTAATCAAGAGATAGAAACCTTTCAGAAAGAAGACGATAAACCCACCATCAAAAGCATGTCAGAGATGGAATCCGGAAGTGCGTCCTTTATTGCTGACAAGGGTAGAAGTGGATCACCTTATTCCTATTCTGGTCCAATGACATCAACACCTAAAGTAGCAAGTTCACCACCAAAAAATTCTCGTCCAACTCGAGATACTGAATCTGGATTTCAACCTCAGAATCTCACAGATCAGTTCACTCGGGATAGTGGTTACAAAACCAACCAAGGATCCGCTTTTGAGAGTTCATCTCCACCCAAAGTTCAGAACCCCCCACCAGTGAAACCTAAACCCTTTAAGAAGATAGCGGCCGCACTACCTAGTCCAAGAAGGATGATGCTAGAAGGGGCTCAGAGGAGTATAGAAGCATTGGAACAACAAGAAATACAGGAAAAACATGAAAAACGTAAGTTTTGCGTTTTGCCTCACTGTTTTTGTCCTTAATTAATTGAATAGCATTGTATTTTGACTTCTTTTTTGCGATTCCTTACCTCCTACGTCTATGGTCAATGGATTAAAGGGATTGTAAAGAGGTTTTCTAGCCTTTTTTATGTATATCGGGGACAACTTTGACTTCTATTAATATTAGGGAATTCTTCGTCGATGTAAAACGTGACTGAGTTGGCGATTTTTAGTTAGAAATTCCGCCATCTTCTCAGGGGAGATAATATTATGTTGTTGGGGTCTGGTGGTAGGTTGGTTACGAATTCTCTTGTGGGAGCTGCGGCATTTCCGGTTAACTCTCTCTGGAATTGCAGGAATTGCAATACACATAAAAAGGGTAGAAAACCTCTATACATCCCCTTTAACAGTCAAACCTGTACGAAGGGTCACTTGTATACAGTGTGATCTTCCAATCAACCAGTAAAACTTCTCCCAATGTAAATTCGAACAAATTTCACCTCTGAAAAACGTTTACCCTTGAATCAGCCAGCGTAAGTATATAATGCGTGGTTGCTTCTGCATTTAAGGCGAAAGCGGAAGAGAAGATGCAGTAAAGGCAACACAGTTAACAGCAATACATCCATTCCCAGGCCGGGTGATGTACTTGGATGAAAACTGCATCTTGCACGAAGTCGTAGATGAACAGGATATAGCGGAGCTGCTAAAAAAATCATCCGTAACAGGACTTGGGAAAAATTTGGATGAAACTCTCCAACATATCAGCACTATTCCCATAGATCGTATGTACCACCTCGCATCCATTGGGCAGCATCTGGGTTTCCTGCAAAAGAATGACATGTTCTATGATGTAGTGGTCAACGTCAAAAATCAGAGTTTTAAGGCACACAAAGTTATCTTATCTTGCTTCAGCAAATACTTCGCGGATTCTTTTATTGTGTCCTCGGGAAAAACAAAGCACCCATTAGAGATCAAATTGAACGGAATTACCTCAAACGCTTTTAAGATATTCTTGGAGTTTGTCTATTCTGGAGTCTTAGAGATGAAGCCTGAAATTATTGGAGAACTAGCTCTTGCCGCCGAATTTTTGGAGATCAACTGTCTTAAAGAAAAAACAATGGAGTTCATGAACTCTATTACCCCGGATCAGGCCTTGGTTGTCATAGAAACAGGAAGCATCCCTTGCACCAGCGAAATATTCAAGACCTCATACGAAACTGTGATGGAACATTTCGGCGAATGTTACGATACGAACGCATTCAACTATCTGAGTTTGGACAACGTCTGCGCCATTCTTCGCGATGATCGTTTGGTGATCTTCACAGAGATGGACGTATTCTGGGCAGGACTGAAATGGATTGCCTTTCATATGAACGAAAGATCGCCGTTTCTGAACAAAGTCATGGAGTGTGTTCGATTCCCGTACCTAACCCAAGCTGAAATCTTCAAGTGTCTGGAAACAACCGATCTACTCAGAACCTCAGATAAATGCAAAGAAATTTTGATTCATGCCAATTGGTAAATATGTTTGTTGTTGTCACTAAGTAATAATCACCAAGGTGGACCAGGGATGGTGTAGAAGCGGTGGCGTTCCTACGGAAGTGGGTTGGGTGTCGAAGTCCGACTTTGTCTTTCCAGTAACAAATTTCTAATCAATTTTCATAGAGAAAGAACACATCCATATTCTAACACAAGGACCCTATTTTTCTTTATAAGAGGATATTTTTTTGCCCCCCCCCCCCCCCCCTCTTTTAGTCAAATTTACATGTAATAGAGCCCCATTGTATCTCGTATATCTTCAGGCAAATTTGTCAGGAATAGGGGATTTCCGCTTCCGTCTATAAATACATGATGATATTTTACAGGATTATATCGTCTGAAGAGAGGAACAAAGAGGATCTTTTGAACCTTCCCAAACCACCAAAACGATTGTGTTTCAGAAGAGGACATGTAGCTGAGTCTACGGATACATTTGTGGTAAGTAGCAAAATGCGCGTGCATTTGAAATTTAGGTCAGAGTAAAATGATGTCTGCTTCTTTACCAGCCATCTCTGACAGTTTTGTCAACATACCTGGCGTAACATTCACAGATGCCAAAACGCTACAAAATTAAGTTCATTTACTTTTTTTTAACTGTTCCCCCCTTTTTTGTTAGTCAATAGCCGAAGATTTAAGCCTCTCTCGACCTGAACTAAGGGAAGCGTTTTCGTGCGAGGTTTACGATCCCATAGAACCAGAGAAAGAGCCGGAGAAGACGCCAGATGAGACGGAACCCAAATTTGTCCCGTCGCATCATTTTACAGCTGATATCATTGCTATTGGTGGATTCCAAGTGGATAATCACAGCAATCATAGTAAGTATCCTCATAAGTCATTTTCGTGATGAAATGGCTAGTACTGGGAATCGACTTCCAGTTGCGTCTTTTGTACTGATTGGTCTCTAAAATGCCTGGTGCTATGAGTCAACACCCCCCCCCCCCTCCCACATCGCACACACACGTACACACACCTCTCCTTTGATACTTCTGTGGCCCCTCCTCAGCATTCTTTCAAGGGTGCGAATCCACAACCAGGCCAGATTCATTTCTGCCTACTTTTCCCTGAAGGAAACGCCACTATATTATAATCGAAATTGGTATTTTCATACAAGCTACTGATCGACAAGAGATCTTTATATTATATAATTTACTATCAATTCTTCATTTCAGCCGATAAACAGATGCAGAGATACAGTGCTAAAGCGGAGCAGTGGAGATTCTTTGGCCAACTTCCGGCCCCCCGCCATCACCATGCTGTCGCTCTTCTGGGTGGAAGTATTTACCTAGCGGGTAAGTGTAATCAATGAAAAATTCCAGGATCTGAGGAAAATTGAGAAGGTTTTTAAAGTAAAATTCTAGGCGAAGAGCGCCATCTTCCAATATAATTATATTCTATCGTGGTCTGTTCTTCGATCTTTCCAGGCGGAGCAATGCCCAGGCGAAATATGTTTATGCGAAATGAAACAGCAACGAAGGCTGTGTTCCAGTACGATCCTGAACAGAAATCCTGGAAGCTCTGTGGTCCCATGAACTCCTGCCGCATGTTCTTCAAATTGATCGCCTTATATGGTATGCTTTATGCCATAGCTGGTGAGGATGACAGACATCAGTGAGTTTTGTTTTGGTTTTTTTCTTTGGGGCAGGGGCTTCTGCACGAAAAATCCTCACTTCGGTGAGAGCTGTGGCACCACGACTCTGGAACGTGCTGATATACATGAACAATCGTGAAGAAACCATAATCTTGGATGATTGAAAATCTTTATTTTTTCAGAATTCTGGCGAGTGCTGAATGTTACAACCCCAAAACAAATGGCTGGATATATGTCAGCTCCATGCATTGGCCGAGGAAGGGATTTGCAGCAACTGCTTGTGAAGGGAAAATCTATGTCGCTGGAGGTCATGGAGAATCTGTGGGTAAAAAGGTTGCTTTGCCGATCCTGCAGTCTGTGGAATCATTCGATCCTCGCAGTAATCAGTAAGTATTTTGAATTACGGTTGTCCCTACAACTCCGACCAAATCTGGCAGAATATGATAAGGCCTGTTAAAGACAGAAAACTTACCAGTTGGTCCTTGGCCAATAATCTTGGCATTGATCTTTCCCGGATTATCCGTACCCATTTACAGCTAGGTCGATAGAGGAATGGTATTTATTCAAGATCACCAGACTCAATACATTCTCCGACTTTGTACCTTTTGATACAGTGTCGTTTAAATGACTAAAGGAACAATCGTTTTCGATTCCAGGTGGACATCACTGGCTGATCTGAGAATCCCTAGATGTCACGCTGCCATGGTGAGCGTTCACTCCACATTGTACCTGTGTGGTGGAGCGACCCGAGCCTTCGAGAGCAAGGGTAAGGGCGAACCTGTGACTAGTGTGGGTTTGGTAGAAACCTATGATGTGAAAATGAACGAATGGGAATATAAAACCGAGATGATTGTTCCAAGACACCATCATGGTATAGCTCTCATAGGTAAGTGCTTTGGGGAGCAACGTGGTCGGGTGCAGACGAAAAAAAGGTGGGGGGGGGGGCATTATTAGTAGATGCTGAAGGGTAGTTTCGGGGAGGGGGTACGTGGATGTCAAGTCCGTGGCTACGGTGCATCTGTCATAGGTAAGTGCTTGGGAGGGCTATGGTAGGATGGTGAAAGGGGATTGGTTGGTGTGGGGTCACAATAGGTAGATGCTCGGTTTAGTTTTGGGGTGGTTTTGCTGGCGTACAATCCAATAAAATCGCTGCAATCTGTGTTACAAACACATCCACTATGATAGTCTTGTCAAGGTATACGACAAAGTTCCTAATAGCTTGACATTGTGAAGATACCAATGGGGAATCAATAATATTTTGTTACCATTTGAATAATCGAATGCAATATCTATTTTAGGAAGCAGAATATTTCTGATCGGTGGAATGTCAACAACCAACAACAAGACCCTACATTCAGTCGAGTGCCTTGACACCAAGACTGGTGCTTGGGACAACTCTATTCAAGATCTTCCATTACCAGCTAAATGGATCACGTGTGTGAGTCTACCGCTTGGATTCCATAAGACGGACTAGCGGTTCCAGTCGTCTTGAAAATTTTTCTAGTATTTTTTTTTAAATATGCCGGGCGAAGATGCTTTCCATGCTCTTTTTTTTCTTAAAATTATTTCCTTAAATAAAAATAAAAAGGATTTTAAACGCTTTCGGTTTGAGGAGAGGGGTCGGGGGATCTTACTAAATATCTTAAGATTGTCATTGTTTTTAATTTTGTTGGTGGATGATGGGGGAAAGGTGGGTTTGATATATCATTTAAAAAAAATATCAGAAGGGACAATGGCTGCTATTATTGGGAAGAGCTTGATAAATGAGTGAAGTTTTGCTCGACCACAAAAAAAGTTAAGAAATAATCAAGAAGTTGTATTGGAGATTTCATTCTTACTATAAAAAAACTGCCATTGTGCCAAAGCTTTAGCTAGTTGTAAACGATCATTTTGTCAATGTTGAAATGTTCATAGTTTATGAAATCTATGAGCATATATATAAAATGTTATTGTGAACCAATTTCAATATTTATTGGCCATAAATGTTATTATTATATTTTTGTTATGTTAAATTAATAAACTTTTAAAGTTTAATGTCTTTTTCTTCTTTTAAAATTCGAAGCCGAAAGACGTAATAATTTTCAAAAACACGGCTCTTAAACAATTCATTAGCATGATAAAACGTGTGATAATCAACAACAAAAAAACACAAACTGATTAATTTATGGCCTCGACAAGACACCATACTTGCGGTATATACAATAAAACTTTTATGGCAGTCACAAGCCACCATACAATAAACAATAACATTGGTCACTTGACTGAAACCGCGGGAAATTCGCGCATTAATTAATCGGGATGCAATCAAGTTTTGTTAGTTCGGGATTTTCAATCAGAGAGACAACAACAATTACGAAATTTGATTATGTTTTACTAATGAGGGCTATGTTTGTTTAGTTAAAACTGTTAATAACTGTACAAAGCATCACAAGCTTACGAACTATTTTATATGGACTAGATCAAATTTGACCCTTGACCCCAATATTTCCCGCGGTATTTAATCACGTTGTCATTGTTGCTGAAGATAGATCGAAGAAAGTTACAATAATAACATGGCTGTAAGTATGAAATTTTGGTGATCTTTGTTAAATTTATACGAAAATGAAAGCGAGGTATTTTGAAATCCCGATCATCCAAAAGTTGGACTGATTGCTGTGAAAAATGGCCAAAGTCTGCGATCTAAATTTTCAATAGTCGAGGATCAAAGTAAAATCAAAAAATGCTTTCTCTGAAATTCTTTCTATGATCACATATTAGCAATGGGCTCAGTAGTTTATTTGTCTTCTTAATAACATAAGATCTAAGTGACTCTCGGTGAAAAATCAAGATTCACTCACCAATGGCATTGGTAATGGATCTATTAATATTATTAACCCTCTATTTTGTAATCCTTATCCTATTCAATTTCAAGATTTTGACTGTGTTTAGTTTGATCTGTGATCAATGCCTAAAAATAAGTTAAAATGCTAGCCTTATCATAAATAAAAGGCTTAGTCTAAATTTTTGTTTGTTTTCTAGGACACAAGTTCTGACCCGTTTTCAACTGCTACAAGTCCTGCCAGACCTGCTCGAAGCCGCAGAAGTAGTCGTGGTGACCCCACCTCTAGTCCAGGTAGGGATTTACCTCCCTTTGAAGATGAATCTGAATTGAATGGAGACAATCCAGTAGAAGAGGAAGAAGATGGAGAAGAATTGTTTGGTGATAATCTGGAACAGTAAGTCAATTATCACATCTTAGCATCGCCCATGGCATCTGTAAAAAAATTCAAAATATTATGATGGCATTAAATGCTTGTTTTTAGAATTGCAAGAACTACAGACATCTGATTGAAAATTGGAATGGTGGAAATTGGTACTATCAGTGTCGCCTATGCACATAGAAAGTTATAAAAACTTCTTTACAATCCCTTTCAGACTGTGCCATCAAGCTTTTTGTCTCGCCTTAAATAGAAATTCAAACCTATGGTACTGCCTAATATCCATAGCAAATGACATGACAATCCAACTTGTTTTAGAATTTCCCATATATTGTGATTTATTCTGTAATTTTTCAGAGATTATCGACCAATTCCAGCCTTGGATAGATTTGATACAGCAGACATGGATGAAGAGGATTATTCTGATATCTCTGAGAGTCAGCGCCATGCTGCGGAACGAGAAATCAGGATGCGAGAGAAGGAGGAGGGAAGAATGTCTGGGAGAATGAGAAGAGGTCTGATGTATGGTAAGTGGAGAAAAATTACCAAATTGGTATCTCAATATAATAAACCATAAGTTAAAAGATTCGTCAACTGTTGGAAATGCTAGGTTTATGCCCCTGATTTTACAAAATTTCCCTCATTGCACATTGCAAGGTCTCGATTGCACATTACTACAAGTTTTTGTTAGAAACTGAATTCCTAAATGATTAGTGTGTCTGTTACTATATAAAGGGAAGTAACTGTTGTATTGTGTTTGTAGAAGATTCTGATGATGATGAAGATCGTCCAGCCAGAAAGAGAAGAATAGCTGAACGGGCTGCTGAGGGTGATATTGATGATGATGATGTGAGTAGCTGTCCTTTCATTTTCAGTCTGAAAAATTCACATTGTCATATATTTCTTTTGACTTAATTGGCGAACAGGATCTTTATAGAAGTAGCATATAAAGAATTTTTTCAGATAATTGGAAATATTTATGATTTATTAGTTAATATCTAATTAAGATTTTGTCGTAGATGGTTAACCCTTTGACCACTTGGAATTGTATACCCTGAACTAGTTCTCAAAGGGGACAGTAAGGGGTTAATACCAAAGGGCTACAACACAACATTTTGAACATTGCTTTACTGCAGTATAATGCAAACAATTTGAAAATAAATTCTCTTATTTTTAAATGTATGTATGTTATGAAAGTATTTCTGTGCCATTTCAGATGATAGAGAGTATAGAGAATTTAGAAGATATGAAGGGTCATTCTGTCAGAGAATGGGTAGCCATGTTGGGTCCTAAAACAGAAATTAAAAACAGATTTAAAAACTTCCTCAGAACATTCGTTGATCAGAAAGGACATAATGTGTACAGAGAAAAAATACGTCAGATGGTTGAAGGTAAGGAAAAATGGGTTTAAGTTTCTTAAGAGCTTGGACATAATTGCATTAAAGATGGGTTCCCTTATTTTCATTTATGTATATGCTAAAACTTATATGAATAGAAAGTAGAGGTGTTCTAATGACCTGGAAAAATACCAGTTTGTCTCACATGTCCATAATTAATTCATAATTAGCTAAATTAGAAATCAGAATTCCAATGAGTGAGCGATCAAGAAAGGTGAAAAAGTCTTTTTTTGTTTATCCAGACTGTACATACATGGACATTTATGACCGGTGAAAACTCTTAATTATATGCAATGAGAACATGATGATATGATTAAGAATACACGATAATGCAGTAGAAACACCAATTAATCATATAATTTAATACTAAAAAATGAGGAAACCCATCTTTAAGTAAAATGGTCTTAGTGAAAATATAAACCAAATTGTTGAATGTTGAGAAATTACCATGTGATATGGTCTATGCATGTTGGTGACCATACGTAAAAAACATTTTCTGCCCAATGTTGACCCTTTTGACACTAACAGCTGCCCTACTGGGCAAATAATGATGTGATATACCACAGTTGCTCATGAAGAAGCCATTACTAGGTGATATGTTAACTTCATATACTATGTTATATTACATGCAGTTCAGAGTATATGATGTTTAACATCATTTACACTCAATGTTTAAAGGGTTAATGCCAAATTTCATTTTATATTAAAAAAACAGTACATGTTCACTAATGAACAATATATCTATGTCTATTTCAGCTAACAAGGGGAGTTTAATTATAGATTATAATATGCTGGCTTCAGTGGAACAAGTCTTAGCTTATTTCTTACCAGAGGCACCCACAGAGATGTTACAGAATTTTGATGAGGTAATACTTTGTTCACGACAATCGTTTGCCATTGGTATCATTATAATAACCATATTCAAATTAAAATCTCATTTTCAATATGAGTTATCTGTGTAGTCGTCAATGACAACTCTATGACAAAGTCGAAAGTTATCAGGTAATAAATGACAATGGACACCCTAACATACTTTATCAATTAAGGGTACTGTGCAGACTCGGGCTGATTCTGATTATTTGCTCACTTCAACATTCTGTTAGCTCTGAGGCCCTCCAGTTATGACATTTTTGAACCTGGTACAAGACTTTTAAGTTAACATATTAATTACAGCCCCCCACCTCTCCCCCCTCTTCCTCTTCACCTGGGTTTTAAGAAATAGGTAAACAAGGTGTATGATAATTTTATGTTGTATTACAGGCTGGTAAAGAAGTTGTATTAAGTATGTATCCTAACTATGAAAGAATTGCTAAAGAAATACACATTAGAATTGCTGAATTACCATTGATAGAGGATTTACGTTCTCTAAGGTAGGAAATCCATTAAATTATTTTCCTTTAATTATATATTCACAAATGGTGGTTGTGGGTTCTAATCTTGATCGTAGTATAAAATTCTGGTTACCAGACATCTTCATTCATTATTATAGCCGACACAGCTGTAAATGGGTACAGATAATCTGGTAAAGATCAATACCAGGAGGTTCGGCCAAGTACCAACTGGTAGACAGGTTTATCATGAACCTAATTTATCTTTGAAAGTTGAGTTAAGGGCATACCTTCAAAGAATTCTTCAAAAAGTGGGTGACGTCACATCACTAAAGCTCCTGATGAGCTCTTTTGGGGGCCTTTTTTCCCCTTCTATTCTTAAAAACAAATCATGTTGACCATCTGCCATTTGTGTTTCAGACAACTACATTTAAACCAGTTGATAAGAACGGGAGGCGTGGTAACTAGCTGTACTGGTGTTTTACCACAACTTAGTATTATAAAATATGATTGTAATAAATGTGGCTTTATCCTCGGTCCATTTTACCAGAATCAAAACCAGGAGGTCAAACCTGGAACTTGTCCTGAGTGTCAGTCTACAGGACCGTTTGAGATTAACATGGAACAAGTAAGTCTCAGTAGGATGAACATCCATTCATTCATGAAAAATAGAACATGGCATACTGCGTTTGAGTATCTATAGTGGTCTTCACGCCATGACGATCATCGGTTTTGAATAAGAACTGTGCAAATGAGTTGTAAGTTGCGTTTGTTACTCATGTCCACTTTCATTATCGCAACCATATATGCAAATGGCGCAAGCTCATTTTGTTCAGTGTGCATCCATAAGATAGGATTCATAAAGTTTGTGATTCTCATTCCGCGAATATATTTGAAGAGTATAGTACTAAGAAATATGGTCAAAATTTTACACATTAAATTGTTGCAGAACACTGAGAAATTTACGATGAATTTGTTTGGTACATTGCTGGCATAATTCACATTTGTTAATACAATTCCTGATTATTCCAGACTATCTATAAGAACTATCAGAGAATAACACTACAAGAAAGTCCAGGAAAAGTTCCAGCTGGGAGACTACCTAGATCTAAAGATGCTATACTACTAGATGACTTGGTGGACATGTGTAAACCAGGCGATGAAATTGTGAGTAACTCTTAAAATTTAAAAGGTTTTCTATATTTTTTGAAGCACTATTAGTATGAATTTACACCATTCCAATTTTCAATCAGACGTCTGTAGTTCTTTTAATTCCACTAAAACAAAGTGTTTGATGATGTCAAAAAGGCTGAAAATAATATCAAACCAGAAATGAAAGACCCACAGACGTCTGATTGAAAAATAGAATGGTGCAAATTTATGCTATCAGTGTCCCTTATACACATAAAAAGTTAAGAAAACTTCTTTACAATCCCTTAAAATCTGCAAGAATCAACAAAATGGCTATGTGGATGGAGTTTATCACATTGTCACCTGGGTTTTGTATCACCAATTAATTATTAACAGTTAGTTTTAACTAGTCTGAAAACTTGTTCACAGTTGGGTAATGGCTGTTCACACGTTCACAGTTAGTCTAGACATCTTGCCTCTGTTTGACTCTGTTCACAGTTAGCATAGCTTATAAAACTTCTCTGGTTATGCATGGCATATATAAATAGCTTCATATGATCTCATAGACGTATGGATTCACTTGTGGTTGGGGTGCCCCCAATAAGAGCTCCCCTTGGGCTGGTGGGATGTGAAATTTACCCACTATTGTAAGGATTTGGTGAAGGATGCTCCTAACTGAACTTTCAATTTGTGTTGAGAATATCTGACTTTTTACTGTTGAAGTGTGTTTTGGGTATGAAGTGGAACATCAGGACATGTGGATCGAATATAAAACAGTTTTAAAATGCCTTTGATTCCGTGGAATTGAACACAGACTAGAAAGGTGTAAATCACTTCCAACAGTTATCCAGTGAAACCTTTATAATCTTTTTAGTTTTTTAGTATGTTAGAGGATAGATTTGATGTTGAAACATCAACATAAATTTGTACTGTATCTAGGTACTAGTTTTGAACTGTCCTTAAGCCAGTTCTTGAAACCCCTCCCCCCCTTCATTCCGTTAATTAGGTGTTAATGTGTTAATTGCCATTAATTATAATTCTATAGGAGTTGACAGGTGTCTATCATAATAACTACGATGGCTCGTTAAACATGTCCAATGGTTTCCCAGTGTTTGCCACAGTTATCCAGTCAAATTACATCACTAAGAAAGATGACAAGATGGCCGCCGCTAGCCTGACGGATGAAGATATCAAGGCTGTAATAGCTTTGTCTAAAGATGAACGTATTGGAGAAAAGGTGAGATTTGTAACAATCATGTTCTGATCCAATGCTTGTCAAAATATTTGGTTTAAAGCTGTGCTTATCACTTGTCATAATGAAAATTTGACATATGGATTGTATGCAATTCAAAAAAAGTAACATGTCAGAAGATTATCATTGAAATTCTAAAGAAAAAAGATTTAACAAGGATATCAAGTTAATTTTTTTTTAATTTTAGGTTTTTGCTAGTATTGCTCCATCAATTTATGGGCATGAGGACATCAAAAGAGCAGTGGCACTAGCCATGTTTGGAGGAGAACCCAAAAATCCTGGAGGCAAACACAAAGTGCGTGGTGACATTAATATTCTATGTTGTGGGGATCCCGGAACAGCCAAATCCCAGTTTTTGAAATACGTAGAAAAGACTGCCTCTCGTGTTGTGTATGCTACAGGACAGGGTGCTTCAGCTGTAGGTTTGACTGCCTACGTACAGAGAAACCCTGTGTCTAAAGAATGGACTTTAGAAGCTGGTGCCCTGGTTTTAGCTGATAAAGGAATTTGTCTGATTGATGAGTTTGATAAGGTAAGATAGTTGAAAATGTTTCAAGTAAATTTGTGAATAATTTTATCCAGTCAGGAGATAGGTGGATTGTCTTCTGCTAAAGTGCTGTGTGTGAGGTATCTTCCTATTCCAAAATAGGCATTTAAATCCCCCTCATACTATTTAAATCCCCCGTTAGTAAATTAGCCCAAGGCCGACATGGAAAACACATCTTAGTTTATCAGATAAGACTATAAACCAGGGCCCTGTGTGCTATGCATGTTTAAGATCCCTTGACATTTGGAAATTGAAATCCAAAGAGTAGGATGTAAAACTCAATTTCATGTTATCTAGGTAAAATTCTATGCCATGGCCAGTGCTTTTGAAACTTTTCATCATATTCTGCCAAAGCATTTCTTGAAATATTTGATTTTTGTTTGACAGATGAATGATGCCGACAGAACCAGTATTCACGAAGCAATGGAACAACAGAGTATATCTATCTCTAAGGCTGGTATAGTTACCTCCCTTCAAGCACGATGTACCATTATAGCAGCTGCTAATCCTATTGGTGGAAGATATGACCCCTCCTTGACCTTCTCTGAAAACGTAAGTTGATTTTGAAATGATTAGAAGAGATTTTGTGGCCACTCAATTGCATACTGTTCTTTAAAAGGAGCAAAGATAAGAGAAGGTAAAAATTTTGATTTATAGATAACATCGAAGGTCCATCTTATGAAAGATGTCAAAATTAAAAGCAGAAAGTGTCAATGTTTTCAACTTAAGATATTTTCAATTCTGTTTTGTTTTTGGCCCCTTGAAAAATGGCATCTCCTCAAAAGATTGATGAGCAGTGATTCATATTTGAATTCCCAATGGGTTCACTTGGGTGAGGTGGCATCTCCTACTCAAACTTCAACATTTGATTTGGATTTTTTGGTCCTAACGGCCCACTTAGGCAAGGGTGTCTACTTAATCGATAAGTTGTCAAAAATAAAGCCTCATACTGGGACAAGTGCCAATGACATTGTTAGTCTAATGACAATGTCATGCTGACCTGACTTGAGATAATCCTGCTTAACACCAAGTGTTGGCTTTAATCCTAATCCTCAGATTAGCAGGTCATTGACCTAGGGGTCATGAGGGTCAGTGACCTGTGATGTCAGTAGGGGTTATATAATACTCTGGTAATTAATTATATAGTATGTTTACCTGGTTTGATTAGGTCAGTCAGTCTGTTTGTTGTGTGCTGTGTGGAGTGTTGTGGGGCAAGTGTGATGAAGAAAAGAGGGGGGGCGGGGAGGGATATGAACATTTGTAGGACAGGGGTTTGAAATGGGGTGGGAGATATTAAACATGTGCTGTGGGGCAAGGATTTAAGGATATAACGAGGTGTGAAGGAAGGCAGGGAGAGAGAAATCTGAACAATATTTGTGTGTGCTGAATTCATTTTGTTGGTGTGTAATTTGTGGTTTAAAAAATGCGTTTTGTGGTTGCATGTGTGTATATAGCTTATAAATTTGAATTGAAATAAACAGATACAATAAAAGGAAAGTACAAGTTGTTGAATGAACACCATAGTTTTCACTTAAAATTCAAACTTATGAGATATGAGTTCCACTTAGTTGATAAGAATTTTTGACCTTAAAATTTTTTTCAGAATTTGGTAATAGGAATTGTTTCATCAGTAAAAAATGATATTGGCACAATTAAAATTTTAGATAAAACCTTAAAATTGATTTATTGAAACTTTCATTGATATCCATTTTCAAATATTCCAGGTTGATCTAACGGAACCTATTTTGTCCAGGTTTGATATTCTATGTGTGGTACGAGATACAGTAGATCCTGTACAAGATGAAAGATTAGCTAACTTTGTCGTGGCCAGTCACATGAGACATCATCCCAATGTGGGTGATAATATCAATGAAAATATGGTAAGTTATTTAATGAAATTGTAACTAATATTCCCTTGCCTTGTTATAAAGACAGACATGGAAAAAGGCAGTAGTCGTTTGGTTGTGACAATGAGGCTCCGTGCGTTGTAAAGATCCCTCCATATTTCATTATCAAAAGAGTTGGCCTATATTGCCCTTTCCAACAAAATTGCCTTCATTGGACACTTAATGATGTAGCCCATTTATATGCAGAGTGTTCATTTTATTTATGAACCCCTATGGGGTGGACAAAAATATGCAGAATAGATTGCTTCCCTTGCCAGTTACTCTATTGTTGCTGTTTTGACTTGTTCCCCATTGGACACAGTGCAGAAGAGTAGGACGTAAAACTCCATTCATTTCATTTCATTCCCATTGGACACAGTATAGCATTGCTGTGTTAATTATTTCAATAGCCTACAGTGGTTTCTCCCCTTTTCAACTTCTTTACATAGTGGTTTTAGCACTGCTTGCTGAGCTAAAGGCAGAAAATGTCCATTTTGCTTTTCATTGGTTCAAAGGCCTTGTTTATTTATCTCATTTAAGTAAATATTTGTATTTTTTCCCAGGAATGTATAAATACAACGGGAGCTGAACCTTTGCCTCAAGATTTACTCAAGAAATACATCATCTACGCCAAGGAGAAAGTTCACCCGAAATTACATCAGATGGACCAAGATAAGATCGCTAAGATGTACTCTGACCTTCGTAGAGAATCTATGGTGAGTTTTTAACAACTTTCATTAATATGCAACACTAGGTTTAAATTTGTTGTTTGCGGATGAAAAACGTTGAGCCGTTCGAATTGGTGAAGTTATCAAGGTTCTGTGTGCTACAGTTTGTGCGTTAAAGATCCCTTTATCTTGGTAAAACTGGCATTTTTGCACACCGCATGGTATTTCCCAGTAAATAGAATATAAAACTCAATTTTATTCTATTTTCATTTGAAAATTTCAGGCTACCGGTAGTATACCGATTACGGTACGTCATATAGAATCTATGATTCGTATGGCCGAGGCTCATGCTAGGATGCATCTCCGAGATTATGTTAATGATGATGATGTTAACATGGCTATCAGGATTATGTTAGAGAGTTTTATCAGTACCCAGAAATTTAGTGTTATGAGAAGCATGAGAAAGGTGGGTGGATTTTTTTATTTTCAAATACTCAAAATTCCTTTATCACGATTTCAGACATTAAAAAAAAAAAGAAATTTTGGGCCATTAAAATACATGTTAAGGCCTCGTGAAAACAAGGTTAGTAATGTCTTATCTAAATTTGTGGCATTCGCATTTCATTGATATTATTTCAGACATTTTGATGATATGTAGCATTCTGTATAGATAACAGAGTATTACTGTACTTCTTATATCATCAAAGAGACGACACTCTCAATGGCAAAATTTTCCCTTATTGGACACTTCAGGACATTTATATTTTATTGATATTTCAGACAATAACAGCAAACTATTATTATAACTAATATTATTTCACCTGAGACAACAAAATGATGACAAATTTCCCCTCATTGGACACCTCATGGCATTTGTGTTTACTTGTAATTTCAGACATTTGGAAGATACCTGGCATTCCGTAAAGATAACAACGAACTATTGTTATTTATCCTGAAACAACTGGCCCAGGATCAGATGATGTTTCAGAAGAACAGGTTTGGTCTGGAACAGGACACTATTGAAATATCTGAGAAAGATTTGGCTGATAAGGTATGGAATTACTTTGGGGGCTTTAAATGTGGAAGGCAAGAGGTCTTTCACTTCAGTTATCTTCGAACATATACAATGGGGTGATTTAGTTTGCTGTCAATTTGGTTGTCGTCGGCTAGGGAATTGAGCCAAGAGCCAGAAATGTGGAGCTCACTTGCATGAAGTGATATTGAAAAAGTTTGAAGTCTGCTCTAGATCAAACTAGGATAGTCGGATAGCTCATATTGGCAGCAAGCTAGTTTGATATGTACTAGGCAAATAAGACTCAATAGTTAAGAATACCCTATTAGCAAAGAAAAAAAAGTGGATGATTTTCAATCTTTTTCCATTTCAGGCGCGGCAGATCAACATTCACAATTTAACATCATTTTACGACAGTGATATATTTAGAATCAACCATTTCTCACATGACTCAAAACGAAAAATCATTATCCAGTCTTTTTAAAAGATCAATTTCCATACAGTCAATTTATAGCGTTCGTCAACTGTGTAGGACTGTGAATAAAATGGCAGGAGAGACCAGTTTGTCAAAAGACTCTTTGGCAATCTTATGGAAATGTAACTTAATATCTTGTACTGTGAACAAGATGGCGGAGAGACAACTTTGGTTACTGACTAGGTTTGTGTTTGGTATTTTTATGCTTCCACATGAAATGTTCCTCAACTTTCTTGGAACGAAGGAAGTATAAAGTCTGTTTGTTGGTGTTTGATTCTCTATGTGATTTCCTAGTCTTAGGTTTCAGAAATATTTGGACTGTGAACGAAGGGTGTAAATGGTGTAAGAGGCTGTATAGTTTACCTTTTTCTTCAAACTGATAACTGGATATTCTCGATTAATTTTCTCAAATTGAGAAATGCTATTCGGCCTTTTCAGACCTGTTGATCATTCTTATTTGGCACAATCTGAAAGGGAAGCAAAATCATTGTGAAAACTTTCATGTGAGATTTCAGTGCCTCAAAAATAAGGCTTTGATGTAGACAATTTGATAAATCTGTGAGCCCTTGCAATGGACATATTGCTCAGTTGTAACAGGTTTCAAGATTTAGTTGAAGGTAAGAAAGTGTGCATTATATTGGCAATTATACAGTATATGCGTGGACAGTGGACCTTCCTGATCGCTGAGAAGAGCGTAACTTTTTCCATTTGCTACAGGTTTCTTGATTGAGGGTAAGAAAAGGTGCGCGTTATATTGGCAATTATACAGTATATGATCAGGAGCAATTAAATCATCCTATTGTAAAGAAGACAACAGTTAATTGTGAAAAAAATGAAGAGGACTAACTCAGGTGTAACAGGTGTAAATATTAGTGTTAATATGTAAAAACAAAAAATTCAAAAATAAGTAACCTTTAGATCATTCCTTACACAGAGATTCTTCTGATTGCAACTTATATTCAACTTGCATAACCTGTATCTTAATCTCAAATCTGATTGGATGATATCAACAATATAATGGTATTATCCAATCAGACATAAGTAAACAGTATGTTTATTAAAAAGTTGAGATGTTTCCAAAAACACGCGTTCAGGCCCGGTTTCACAAAAAATCTTGCTTTAAGAATTTGTCATTCAATGTTGTAAGGTTCTTGTGTGAGACAGGGCCCAAGCTGACAGGAGAATCTTTGCCTCATGGAATGGTCTTTTTGAATTGTACATAATCACTCTTGGGGTAGTACAACAACTAAAATTAGTGTTAGTATTAATATTGTTGTACAACCCTTCATGCACACTTTGATAAAATGCTGAGCTTAGTTCTGTACAAGGTTGGTGTGGGACTTGCTTCTTCTATCTAAAAGCGAAAACAAATGTTCCAAAAGAGATAACTGAAATCCACTCAGGAAGTACAGAATTTGGCTCAGCATTGCCTTTTACATAGCAAGAAATAGCAATTTAAAAAAAAAAATCAAAAAAATTTAATATTGTAATTTGTATCGGTAGTACTAGAGGGTTCAATATAAAAATTGACCTAACCCCAATAGCTCGGTGTTAGTGCATCTACGATAGTGCAGTGTTGATGATTATTTCATTTCAGAGGTTCATTTCAGTGTAGGTTTATTCCCATAAGAGCAATACAAATTTATGCTTGCTATTGGGTGTCATGATGCCTCACATAGGCATTACACATCATGCCCTCGCACAAAACTTGAAATTTATGCCCATATATGTACATAGATTTCCACGTTACATGTACACTTTATGAACATGTGACCCACTGAAGAGGGTTGTATGAAATTCTATGCTCATATATGGCGTAGATTTTCTAGTTCGATGTAGACAATACGAACATGTGACCTACTCATGAGGGCAATATGAATCTTTAAGCTCGTATACACTGAAATGTGACCCTCAATGAATGATCAGAGACCATTATATAGTTTAGATGTAGTCATATTATATAAAGGATTAAGGATCTGTCATGGTTGTGTTAATATTTGCTTTCAATGCATTGAGAGGCTTTGATTGTTTCTTTTAAGAAGTTTTTTTTATTTCATTATTTTGGGTTGAAAAATATACTGGTAAGTTTACTAGAAAAATTCTCAAGTGCTACTCTTTAAACTTCTTTTTATGTCGATGGTGACTGTCTAGAAAAGATTATTTTTCAAGAATTCCTGATGCCACCCAAGTCTTTGTAAATTCATATTCTGTTTCATTTTTTTCTGTAAATTTATCTCCAAGGATCAAAAATGTATCGATTGTCAAATTATCAACCTTCCATATGATGGTCTTTTCCCCCATTAGCTCAAAAACAGTGCCCATCTACGAAAGTGCATTAATCTAGCTTAGTGCTATGTTTAGGGAAATCTTTTGAGATTTTGCCTCTCCCCGAGGGCTCAACGACAGTGCCGATCAACAATAGTGCGTAAAATACAGAAACTTTCCGAGTTTCTCTCCCCAATTAGCTCCACCTAGTGCCGCGTCGCTATAGTGCCTATATAATTACTTAATAAATTTAATATATTGATTTGCTTATGTTTGAAGAGCTCACAAATGATGTGAGGCTGAATGCCAGGGTTCCTTTACAGCTCAATGAACTTGATTTAAGCTCCATTGTAAAAAATAATTTCATTTGGTCTTGCTATTTCTGATATCTGATTACTCAAAATCAAAAAATTAAGTTTTGTGGAATAATTATGATACCAATTAAAGTTAATTTTTCTATCGGAAGCTGAAAAAAAGCTTTGAAAGCTCAAAAAATTATAGAAAGGTATGGTATTCACTCTGAAGACAATGTATTTTGCCTAAATCATTTGTGAACTCTTCTGTATTTTCGTTCCTTGTCAATTACTAACTATAAAATAATTAAATTGCTTTTTATTTTGCTCTTGTGTATGTAGATATGGCATTTTGTTGTATTATAGACAATGTTTGTATATAGTTTTATGTTTCACCTATGCACTTGTATTTTTATTTTCACAAACTTCCCATTTTTTTTCTGTCTTTGCCTTGTACTGTTTCATCAGATTTAGAGCCATGCAATTATAGAATAAGTTTTACACTGTAAATAAGTTCACCAATGTTTTTTTTAACATATGTATATTTGTATAAAGTAGTTCTTGAATTTAATTGTTAAAATTTTTTCATTTATTTTTTTGAGTTGTCAGTTTTCATTTGAGTAAAAAAATCATGCATTAATTAATCTTAAATGCTAATTGAATTAAGAATACCTCTACTTTTGGTTTAGTAATTAGGGTTCAGAACAATGTGTAGGCAATTATATTTTTATATTTTGAACAAAGTTTCTGGAAGAATGCTTAGAATAGCTGAATTAATGATCTTTAGTATATAGATAGACCTTTTGGCATTATTTGACTATTCTGTTGATAAATCATTTTATTATGTGATTTCAGGGAGGGTTTTGTCTTTCAATGGAAGTTTTCAGAATAATAAATTCCTGTGTTTTCTGTGAACTTTTGTCTGATCATGATAACGATAGTTTCTGTATAAACTCATTGGTTGAAATAAAATCATCATCATATCATTTGAGATTTTTTTTTACCTCTACCAGAACCAGTAGGGTTAGGAACACTCAACCATCCTTTGAAAATCCTTGGTCGTTAGCCAGTTCTAGATTCTATGAATATATATCTACACCTTCCAGTTCTGTAGCTACAGGGGGTTTCCCCATCGAAAAATTCTGACAACAGACAAATTCCATTACTACAACTAAACACCGTAGACTATTGTCTCTCTGGATATATTACTTGGCCCTCCAAACAATCAAGTCTGGCTGCAGGCCTGACGTCACCCATGACTATGGTATCAGGACATACTCGCCCTTCTGGTCTTTTGGGATCATAATTGGCTTTCCACCTTTTCCAAACACTTGCTTTGAGTCTCCAGCCTTCAACAGCCTTCCCCCAAAACAAAAGAAAACATTGTGTACAACTATAAAAGAATCAAAGCAAACTTCCATTAAGGTTTTTAAGTTATCTCTAAAGTCGACTTAAATATGGGTTCAACCTGGAAAGTAAAAGTATCCAATGCCAATTTGAAATCGTATTTGCCATAACCCCAATTTTAGATCAATTTTCATAATTTAATGAATTTTGTACAAATTTTAACTGTTTAAATTGTTTAATAATTGATTACAAATGAATATGACCACAGAGGACGTAAATTAATACTGAAGTCCACACAAAACCTTATAGTCCTACCTTTCTTATACATTAGAATTTCAGTGATATCCCACGAAATTAATTTTCTCATATACTTTTAACATTAGTTGTTTAAAAAAAAAATCCTATTTTTAAAGGTATCTCTTTCCCACAAATCGTGGATTGTATTAAGTTAAAGAGCCTAAGTTAAAGCTCAAAGATTGCTCTAAAATATATTAACATCCACATGCATAGAAGTGGATTTTTCAAATTAACCACAATCCAAACCAAAATAGTATTTCTAGAGTCCAATTGACGAGAGCTGGTTTTCTGCTACCAATGCATGCCAGGTACAAAATCCACCTTCGGAACAGTGTGTTTTATACAGACAGCTCAACTCATTTCCGGCGTGTCATTGTCAAAGACTCGAGAAAAGGAGAATCGTCCATCCTTCAAATATGTATAATTTTGGATACACGTGTATAAGAGGTTCCACTTTCTACGATAAGCTTTGGACACTATAATTGATTAGTTTAGCTAAAGAATTTCCCGTTTCAGAGACTTAAGGTCAAAAGATGCCACCCCTTTAACTTTTATCCAGAAAGGTGAGTCGTCAAATGCTATGGATAAGAAAGTTTCACTAACAACGGTTATCTGTGAACACTATAACTGATTAGCTAAGTTAAACAATTCCCATCTCTGAGACTAGGTACGATTGATCGAACGGATGCTGAACGCGATCCTTTACCTTCTATCCGAACTGTAAATGGACTGCTTGGTTGAAGCACTTCTTTTCATCGTGGACTGTGCTGAATCTATCATTTTGGATGTCATCAAACACGGAAAACACCGCCTTACCAGTGTATCTCTATATTTGGAGCTGATTGCAATATAGGTAATGAAATCGGTGGAGTAGCTCGTCAGATTCAATAAGCTCCCTATAAGCTGCATGAAGAGAAACGTGTAACGGTTCTGTCTTCTAAAATAGCTGTAGTTTCTTATTAGGTTACTTACTATAGAATTTGTCGTCACGGGAAGGGCCAAGAAGAAGAAAACACACGTTGAAACCAAAATGGCGACGGTCGTCTGTCTCTCACGTGCTTCCCGCCTTTTATCACCAGTCCCTTCTTGTAAATTAATTCTACATTGGCTGTGACGTTTCAGTGCTACGCATAAAATGGTGTTACAAATCAGAATGCCCAATAATGGTATATAGACGAACAGTATTTTCGAAACTAAGCTAAACGTATTCAAGACATCCTTGTTGTATCCTCGGGGCTTTAAATCATAAGAGATTTTGCCATTTTCGTTCTTCTGCTCAACGGAATATTTCAGAACTGTGTTAATATGAAACAAAAAAAGGACTATGATAAGACAGAGGGTGCATGGAATGGGTGACTTGACTAACCTGGAGCGAGCTCGTCGTAATGGGAACACGATCGCCATCATCCGTTCAAGAGAAACCACCATTACCATGCAAAAACCTGCTCGAGAAAAAACAACCCCGATATAATTATTTACATAAATTGCTCCCTCGTAGAAAAACTTCGTGGATCTTTGTCCAAGATCACCATAAATAAGTTGATGAGTTTTTGTAACTGTGCTTGATATAATATAAGAAATCTGAAAAACGCTTATTGCTGTCAAATAGTAACTTGTTGCGTTTCGCATTCGCTGATCCATGAACACGATTATATTAAATATATTAGCAACTATGCCTACAGCACAGATAGGAAGCCACATGTCTCCAACGATGTCATTGAAAGGGTTCCATACTTCCTCTGAAATCAGTCCGTCATATTTAGCGTCCGAATCCACGACATCTGTAGAAGCTTTAGTTGTAACACTTTCATTCACAGCAGCCTTGCGTTCCGTTGTTTCTGATACCAAACTGCCATATATATCTTTGTCTTCTGAAGAGGCCTCAGATGAACCACTTCCATTCGCAAAAGCTTTTGGGTTATCTGTTGCTGAAACTAATTCGTCACTTTTTGAGTTCAACTCCATGGCATCTGTAGAGACCTCAGATGTAAAAGTTCCATTTGCAAAAACTTTTGGGTCCTCTGTTGTTGAAACCAATCCGCCACTCCTTGAGTTCAACTCCACGGCATCCGTAGAGACCTCAGATGTAACACTTCCATTTGCAGATGTGTCCCCTGTTGCTGAAACTAATCCGTCATTATTCAACTCCATGGTATTTGAAGAGACCCCAGACGCAGTTCCATTTGCAAAAGCCTTTGGTTCCTCTGTTGTAGGTTCATATCTGATCGAAGTATTTTCAAGTATCTTCAAATCCTTCGCATCAAGAAACACAGATGTCGAGATTGTCGGTACCACTGGTTCAGAGTTTTCTTCAGTGGTGTTGTCATTTGGTTGAAGTTTTGTAGATGATGGGCTTTTGACTGTAACCTCAGTTCCAACATTGGTCACTGAATGTTCTTCATTCGGGACTACAGTCGTGCTTAGGAGTCCATCTAATGGATTCTTCATTGAAGAATACGTTAAGTCATTATAAACAATTTGAGCTCTGTTGGATTTCTCTAAGAATTCTCCATCTGGTATTGCAGTCGAAATTTGATGGAACCCTTCTTCTAGTAAATTGGTGGAATTCTCCACTGTAGTTATTTCCGATCCTATAAAACCTTGGTAGACAAACAGAATCATCACCAACAAAGTTATCCTGATTGTCAAAGACATGACTTCAATGACTGTAAGTTTGCAAATAAAAGAAGCAAGTTCACATTTCATTTATATACTCGGCAGTTACCTTCCTTCTGAATTGTCAAGTTCAATATATCTGTTTTTAATCAACCCAAGTCATATATAATTGTTGCCCAAGAACTACTTGAACATTTTTATATTTCTTTGAAAATTAACGATTTCCAATACGAGTTATGAACACAATTTTAATGTCGTAGATAGAGTAATTGAATATATTGAAAAAGAAATAAAATCAGTAAAGAATCGGAAGGGTAAATGTAAGGATGTCAGAGCACTCAAAGGATCAAAGAGTTTGTATAGAGGTTTTCTAAATTTCTTATGTGAATAATCAACTGCCAGATCCCGCATTTCACATCTAGTTTACTAAGAAATGTGAATAACTCATCATACGATACGACATTTAGCAATAATCAATATGTAATAAAAGACAATATTTAGCATTATTTAAAAAAAAAACGAACTGAAATCCATACAAAACTGAACAGTTGCAACATTCTAATTTACGGTGACGTTCGGATACCTGGATCATACTAATGACTAAACTAAATAATATTTAGTGCTTCCAGCTGGATCATGTCGCTATTATTGCAAAACATGATAAATAAAACAACTAAAAAAAGCCACAATGTCTCCTCTCGTGTAAACCATAACTACTCAAGCTGAAAACTGTCAAAATATTCATCAGAGGCTGGAATAGAGGCCGGTTTTTTTGGTTTAGTGTAAACCATTGATTTGAACTTAACTTTCGATTATTTCATTTTGTAATTTTTTTAAATTCTTATCACTAATTTTCTTTGAAGTTTAAATTGCTTATCAGCTCGTAGATTGGAATTAATGGATTGTCACACTTTATTATTCCTATTAAAGATGGGTTTCCTTATTTTTTTACTTTCAAATTAAGCAAACTATTTGATTAATTGGTGTTTCTAATGAATTATCATGTATTCTTAATCATATCATTATGTTCTTATTGCCACATTGATTCACCTGTATGGGTTCCATTTAGACGGAACCCTTTAATATACAGTTTACAAAAGCATCATTCATTGGATATAGATTACATCATGCATATATAACATTGCCAATTGCCAAAATCCGCTCATCAAATCAAATGCATGAAAACATCAGCATTTTAGGGATTTCAACGTTTGTGAGTTAGTCTGTTATAGTTCATCATCAAAAACAGTCGTATTAGTCGGTTTCATTACGAAAATCTACACACAATCGTAACAGACTATCCCTTTTTTCAACAACCAGCATTGTTGACTAATATGGCCAAAATATAATATATGTCAGCAGCACTATTACGGAGTTCTCTTTTAGGCCGCATAGACGAAGGGTATTATACTCAGCGATTTAAGTGACTTTGATGGATCATGCATCATATCCACTCAACCACATGTTTGATAACGTCGGGAGTATCATTGTCGAAACGTTGCATATTATTTTTTAACGTAATAGTTATCCATATAAATGATGACTGGAACATTAATCCATGTTATGTTTTCAAGAATAAGGTCCCAAGTTATTTAACTAAATATCAAAGATAACACAACTATTCGACATAGAAAATTGTAATTCCAATGAAAAACACTAAGAAGGTTGACTATTATAGAAAACCATATCTGATATCCCTAATAAGTTAATTAACACAAATATATCACAATATACAACAAGTACGAATATAGTATACAGTATATACAATGTAATACAAAGCTCTTTGTATAAATATATAAATAATACCAAAAGAAAAATCTTAATTGGCTGATCTGAGCTGCTCCTAAGGAATGTTTTGAAAATCACTATTCTATTGAAACATTGACTTCTTAAAAAATTAGTACAAAAGATGACATACAGACATTTATATAATATATAATGGGTACAGGGGTATTTCTAGAAAATCCCCGAGGGGTGGGGGCCAAAATGCTGTGAGGCAAGAAGTGTCAAGCCCCTTGAGGCTGGGGGACGGCTAAGACCCCTAGAAGTCAACGGATTTCAGGTAGCCTGAGATGAAAGAGGGTGTAGTTTTTGCTCCAAAATAAGTTATTTCAACCCCAAGGCCCACCCCCTAATTACATGATTGATGGGTAGAATGTGTATTCTGAAAAGCCAATAGATTGAGATGGAACTGAGCTCCATAAGCTGCAACAGCAAATATTAAACACCATGCTTTGTCATTTATTAATCGTTCCAAGAAAGTTATTGGACTCATTGAAAGTCTATCTTCTTTGGTGGCTTGTTAGCTTTGGTTTCTGGATTTGGTTGCTTATACATGTATGTCCGTTATCTCCTTGGGATCCAGATATACATACTATATATAGAGAGAGAAATATTTCTATTTGGATCTACAATTGATGTATTGAGCACTATTTTAACAGTGGTATTTCTATATCACTCTACAATTGATGTATTGAGTACTATATTAACAGTGGTATTTCTATATCTCTCTACAATTGATGTATTGAGCACTATTTTAACAGTGATATCTCTATATCGCTCTACAATTGATGTATTGAGACCATATTAACAGTGATATCTATATATCTCTCTACAATTGATGTATTGAGCACTATTTTAACAGTGATATCTCTATATCGCTCTACAATTGATGTATTGAGACCATATTAACAGTGATATCTATATATCTCTCTACAATTGATGTATTGAGCACTATTTTAACATTGAAAATATTTTGTTATTATAATATATATGGGTTGACTATAAATCTATAAATTAGGGTTCTGAGAATAAACTAATTAATAATATTAATTAGGCAATTAATGAGCAGAATACAAATAAATAAATAAATTAATTAAACATACAATAGTATTAAGCACTAAAAGGAATGTGACCTGAAAAATAAGCACCCAATTTTAATAACACAAAAACACCTGATATCACTCTGACGATTCTTAAGAAAGTTGAATATTTTGGTATGAATTAGAATGATGATTAAGGCAATGACCTGACCACTTATCAATAAATACTGTCAATTTGAACCATCTATTTGATCTATCCCAAAAAATATACTATATAAACTGATGATAACAAGGTAAGTTGTTGAAACGTAAACGAACAATAAAATTAGGAGATCTATACTGTAAAATTCTGTTCTGTTATTTAATGTGATCTCTACCCCTAATATGTCCATTTCATTAATGGATTGCTGCTTGGATTTTGAGCTAAATTGAAATGCAGCAGGAAATGCTCTTTCTGTTTGAATACCTATACCCCACTGTGACTCTACATCCTTTGGGACAGTCTATAGCTTCTTTGGACTAATCTGAGTTTGACTCAAAGAGTTGAGTCAACATGGTTAGTTCTAATGGTTAACTGTGTGGTTACTAATAAAAAAAATAGAATGAAAATATATCATGAAGTAGCAAAATATATATCAATTTGAGCCACTTCTAATTTACCAACATGATTGCACATACATTGTGGAAGAATAAAGTGTAGAGAATATACATGTATTATATAAACACTTGTATGAAATCTAAAGAACCATAGTGGGCTGCCTTGTTCAATCACCTATGCTCTTATGTTGGAACATCAAATTCTATATCCAAACAAAGCTGACCTGACGAAAATCGTTTATCAGAAACAGTGTCTGTAGCATGAGATGAGTTAGTCCCAAACATCTGTCCTTATTTCAGTCTCTGATAGATATTTTGATAGTTGATTTAATTTTGATCCGCTGGAGTAAAGTCAGAAAAACTAGGCCCTGTTTTATAGGGATTTTCCACAGCTATGAAGATATCTCTACACAGCCGACAACTTTCGAAATAGCACTCTTAGAGACTGGAATAAAGGCACTAGTTTCAGTCTAGAGATGAGTTAATTGTTGTCTGCTTGGTGAAAAGATGCTGTTGATGCCACAACCAACCTGCTAATACCAAGTCTATCTTATATACAATAAACCATCATTATAAAGTAGTGGATGTTACTGGATGAAGCCCATGGACCATGACGGAAGGCTGAAGATTCGCTGTTAATAAATCCAGCTGAGATAGATAAGAACCATACTTCGTTGAGTCCGATGGAGGTTTGGGTAGATAGAAAAAACTCACAGCTGTACGACTAGAGTTAGCTGAAATCATTTCGTTTATGGCTTTGATAAATTCTTCGGGAACCTCCTGAAAGTCCTGCATCTTGGATCCATCCTGATCCAAATTTAAATATGGACCAGACATATAATGCTGCAAGTGATCCCAAGACACAATTTGGATCTTTGCAAGAATTCTTAATTGTTTTAAAAACATGTCTAATTTTTGTTCTTTCTGAATAGTGTTATCTGTTTGAGCATTAATACACAAAAATACGCGAAGAGTTGTCTTCCCTCGCCACTTGGGTACCATATTCAAAACACAAGCCAGTTGTAGGATAAATAGACAGGTATTGTCAAAGAAACTGGCTGTTTCAGGTCGGAATAAATTGACCGGCCACACATCTATGTAATACGTGCCTTCGGAATCAAATATCTTCTGTTTATCCAACATGTTGAAGTTTCGACACAAGCAGACATTTTTCTGCAGTTTTAAACTATCTTTAATCAAACTTACGTATTCGTGTCCAGTCAAACTCTTGTCATTTTGACGAATGGATTCAAAACAGGTTTCAATCTTATCAAAATTTCCAATTTCAACATTTTTCTTCAAAATCTTACTTTTTCGTAATCTTGTTTTCGCTAAACTATCAACGGGTGTGATGTTGTCATAGAAACCTAAGCAGACGGTATTGGGTTTCATGCCACCGATGCCTGAAACTCGGACTAAATGTTGGAAACCTTCAGACACACTTTTAGCGAGAGTTATCTCCACAAATGCTTTGATTTTTAAATGGTCCACGAGTGTCAGCCATTTTGGATACGTCTCCAAAATAGGATCAGCTTGATGATCGTCCAAAGATCCAATTTTAACGTGTCCCAAAACATAAAGTCCACTTTTTTTGATGTCGTTGATGAAATTAATCAACTCGCATGATTGACGAGGGTTTCCTACCATTAGTAAAATTTGAGGACGCCAGTATTTTACATGTGCTTTTCTGGAATCCAACATTAGTAGGTATTTACGAACTTGATGGAAAATAAGAGCCTGGCTGATTGAGCCCCATGATGTTGGAAGTGAACGGAAATGGAGTAGAATGACTAAAATCAGCATGATAACCAAGGCTATGGACGTGTAAACGGCACTGATAAGAAAACACATGATTAAACAGCCGAGTAAAGCCAAACCACAAGTATAAGATGAAAAATATCGGAAGGTAGGTCTGAAATAAACAATAGATATCCCATATTTTTTTAAAAATAAAAACAAAAAATTAAGCAGATTATTCGTGGGTTTTCTCCTTTAGAATCCATTAGTTGATAACATAAGGAATTGTGTGTCAATCATGACACACTTTGATTGGTTAAAACCAACATCATTTGAACAGGACAGTAGTAAAAAGTTAAACAAATTGCAATGAAGACGAAAAAATTTGAAAAAAAATCCGTAAAGAAACTGAAATAAGCTTATCTTTACATTTTTAATGCAGAAAAAAAATAATAAAATAACTGTATTAGTTATAACAATAATAATAATAACATCAACTGTGCTAACAATAATTTTAACATTGCATTCTCTAACAAGATCAAGGCGTTTTTACTTACCTAAAATTCGGAGCTGAAGCGAGTTCGAGAGCTAAACAGGCCAAGTTGACAGCAGCGTAAGACAGCAGAAAAAAAACTGATGTGATGGGAGCAATAGCATTTAACGATCCAACTAACAATAATAACTGAAATAAAATAGAAATCACATTCTAAAACTATCCTTTACACCCTCCAGATTGGCTTACTATTAGCTTTACTTTAACCCTTTCATATTTAAAGATTTTCTTAACTTTTTATGTGTATCAGGCACACTGATAGCATTGATTTGTACCATTCCAATTTTCAATCAGACATCTGTGGTTCTTGCAATTGCTATAAGCTTTAATTTCATATTAGAGATTGTAAAAAGATTTTCTGAAAATGCTAAAAATGAATGGAGTTTTACCGCCTACTTTTCTGCACCGTGTGGACTAATGAAGACGGGAAAAGATTTTCTCAAGTTTTTATCAGGGACACTGATAGCATTATTTGTACCACTCCAATCTTCAATCAGACGTTTGTGGTTCTTGCAATTGCAATAAAAGTAATTATCAGCAAAGGCTGCTGTATGTATGAGCAAGTTAGCAAATGTACCTACCTGTACTAAAGCCCAGGAAATTATAACAGCCATATAGGGGTTACCTCCCTTTGATGTTAATGTAGCAGGCTTGAGAAAATGCCCTGAAAAAGAAACAAATTGTAATGCCCTTGCCGATAGATTACTAGTTTTACTTCTAGTTTCAAATCTTAGAAGCTCTTTTTTTTTACAATTTGATTGTTCATCCGCCCATAAAAACATTAAACCAAAAATCTTCCATTTTGTAATTGATCGCTCATGTTCAAAGTTGCTAAAATTCAAATTCAAAAATACTCACAAAACAATTCATCCACTCCAAGAGCTTCAAGAATCCTGGAGGCACCAATCAAGTTACCAAGGGCAGCACTGAGCGTAGCGGCAAAAATACCAATAACCACAAAAGGTCCCCATAAATTAATTTGTTGTAGAAATACATAATCGTTTGTTAACAAAAACCTGAAATGAAAAGAAAGAAAATCAAAATGGAGTTTTTCATCCTACTGTAGCCTTGTTGTATTGGGCAATGGTGTACGATTTCCAAATGTTGAGGGCTTGTTAATATAAGCATCCATCATACCAAAGCTTTCTCAATTTTTACATTTCTAGATTTACATTCTACTTTGCTTCAACGGAGCCAATAAGGAACACAAAGCTGTGTGCAATGAGCGAAATTCTATTGTGACTGTTAACCATACTCTTTAAAATATTTCCAGCTGTCCAATGCTTCAGTACCTACCTTGAACAGGATCCACCAATGAGTATAGACACAACTAAATAACTAATAAAGGTAAAACCAACAGCTGACAGAGTTCCTTTAGGTATAGATTTACTTGGATCTTTCAACTCCCCTATAATGAAAATAAAATATAAATTGAATTTCAAGCTCTACTTTTCTGCCCCAGTTTGGGATAATAAAAAACAGAAAATAAATTGCAGTGAGCAATTAGGGAAAGTTTGTTACAATGGCAGAAATAGAGTATTATTATTGATTCCACCTGCCCTGGGATCAGAACTCATGGAGGCATAATTTCTTGGACTCATATTCTAATCTAAACAGATTGGCTGAGCTATGGAATCCATGAAAATTTTAAATATTAAAATCCTTTAACATCTTGATAATCAAAACTCAAACTTTTCAGAAGGGTATATTTTTTATCTTTTCAAAAGAAAGACGCAAATGTTCTCACCTGACATATTGGCCCCATTCATTATTCCTGTAACACTACTGAATAAAATAGCGAAAACTGTCGCAAAGTTCATTTCATCTCCAGTATTATAATCTCTGGTGTAATTCTCTGAAATTTACAAAAATTCGAATACAGAATCAAATAATATTTACTATTCAGCATAAAGAGGAGGGGTTGTAGCACAATCAGTTAGAGTGATGGATCTGTACATGACATCATTTGTTTTTTCATTGAAGAAATGATGGTCATGGGTTTTAATCTTGGTCAGTGACAATCTTCCCTTAAACTTTAATTTAGCATTCTATGAAACATCTCGTGAAAAAAAATGAGAAAGTTCCTTGAAGTTTTGTGAAAATTAGATGAAAATGTAAGGCTGCCATAACTATGAAATCAACAGCCTAAGGATCATTGAACCCCATTTTTAGGTGCAAAAAGTTATCGGCTATAGTATCAATATCAAATTAATGAAATTTTGATCAATTTTATCAAGTAGTTCAACTTTTGACTGATAAGATATCAGCTAGATATTAAGCCCAATTGTAAAACCAATTAACTAATAAGATAAACTGTATCCAATCCCTTTTCAGAGAATACTCATCCTAGTGGTATGAAGAGTGAACAAGGTTATTGAAACTCCTATGAAAAGCACTGGCCAAGGCAAGGACGCAAATAAAGATATCTGCTATAAAGTAGGATGGAGTTAACATATTTAGTATTTAGTTTTGAACATATATTACTAAATCTATAATAAATCTAATAAATACTAAATGAGAAACAAGAAGGCACTCTAAAACCATCTTCACAATGTGAAGCTATTTTCAAGAAAGCTTATACCTTGACTGCAATAGCTACTTTCTTGTATCACAGTGTGCAGCAATGCGACTGGCTGTACTCGCTAGCATATATACCAACTTCAGTGACAAGCTTATTCTCTTGGTCCCTGAACATTTTAAAAACCACTGACTTACCATAAAGATTTTCTCTAAAAGTAGCCGCTAATAATCCAGTATAGTTGCCAGTGATATTGCCGTCTGCTGAGTTATTTCCACCATAAACTAAGGTATTGGTTAATGGTATGTCCACTTGAATAGTATGGTTAATAGCAAACATACTGATTACTACTGATAATAGACAAATCACTACAATCTAAAATTCAGAAAAAGTTAACATTAAGGATAGTTAATAGCTTCTCCACCTTTGTTTATGTGTATCAGCGACATTTTTGTCTTCAGTCAGATGTCTGTGGTTCCTGCATATTTGATGTTACTATCATAAAAACCTGAAAGTCGCTAAAAATATTAAACAGCTTTCACAATAAAGATGTCACCAAATGCTTAGTTTTATGTGTATAGGGGACACTGATAGCATTTTTTCTTCACCATTCCAATTTCAGTAAGACATCTGTGGTTCTTGTAATTCCATTAAAACTAAGAGTTCATCGCAAGGGTTCTGAAATATTTGAAGCAGCTTTTGCGATGTAGAATACAGTTAAGAATTTCTATAACTGCAAGAACCACAAACATCTGAACTACAAATTGAATGGTGAAAATTGGTTTTATCAGTGTCCCCAATACACTTAAATTTTTAGAAAACCTCTTTACATTCTCTTCATAACAAATATTTAGATGACAATAATCAAATTCACTTACCAATAAGATGATAGCAGACGTCCTAGCAAACATGGCTCCTCCAATAATACACACAAGTAAACAAACAAATAGAACAACAGAAGAATATAAATACTTCCACCAACTAGAACCATCAGGTAGGCCTTGACCATCCGCTACAAACGTACCTTAAAAACAGAAACAAAATCTCCTGATATTTCTGCTCATACAGTGTGCAATAGAGGGAATTTTGATCAGCTACAAATGAAAAATGAAATGAAGTGTTATGTCCAACTCTTTTCAAAAATGGAAATTAAATGTTGGGACCTATATTTCTGCTTTTGATGGGTCAATGAAGACATGCAGTGTACAATGAGGGAAATTTTGAGAGAACAGAAGCATTATCTTAACCTTTTTAGAATTATTAGGAACTGTCAAGGGATCTTTAATGTACAAAGATTAAATTTCCAGTCTGCAGGTTTTCCGAAGGACCCCTCAGATCTGTGCAGTCAAACAGCCCAATACTAACGTTTAATTGTGGAAGTGGAAATAACTTACCTCCCGGACCAAAATTCTGCAGTATCCCCTCAACAAACCCACTGACATATAGAGCACAGGCTAATACATTGGCTACAAAAAACAGGAACCCAATACTTCCACCAAACTCTGGGCCTAGAGCTCGACTAATCATATCTTATATAGAGTTAAGGATCAAAGGCCTACTTCAGAATTCGTTTGAGTAAGATTTCAAACAGATGTTATTTGTTGCATGGGAAATTGAATGAAGTTAACACTATGCATCTGTACTTGATTGGGCTAACGAGGAAGAGCTATGCTGTGTGCAATGGAAGAAATTTGGAATTTTTTCAGGATGGATGTCAACAGACAAGATTCCCTCTCAGTTAGAAATGAAATAAAGAGCAGGCTTTTGTAACAATAGAAATTTCATCAAGTCTTTAGCTTTTTCATTTTCACTAGATCTCCAAGGTAAATAGATAACCTTATTAATAATCCACATTGGCAGACTTTGGAGCCTAGAAATTTTGACCATTAAAATAATATATTTTCTCACACAATCCCTCAAAGAAAATTATCAAAAGTTTCTGACATAAAGGAGCTTTAAATCAGATACAGGATGTTATAACACATTTGGTTAAGATACATAACATAGATATACTGGTGGTATATAAAAATCAATTGATATAATCATATCAGTTGACAGTATTCATTCACGTGAGGGCAATATTAACTTCATATTAATTATATCCAGATGTTCAATATCAATTCCAAATATATATACAGTTAAAGGGAATGTAAAGAGATTTTCTAAATAATCAGCAACCACAGATGTCTGATTGAAAATTAGAATGGGGCAAAATTTATGCTATCAGTGTCCCCAATACACATAAAAAGTTTCGAAAAACCGCTTTACAACTCTATGATTAATATTTGAAGGGTTAATATTGAGATATTTGCTTAATAGTCGATAGAGCTCAATTTAGCCATCTGTAACACTTTTTACAATTAAAATCTGGTGATGGGGTCTCTTGCAAAATACATTCCTATCTTATACCATAACCATTGGCAATAACTGCCTTGAATGTCAACAAAGGACATTCAAACCATCTTTGATCCATTTTTGCTGTATTAATGAAGAACTGGGCACAATATTTTACTTATGGAAAGTGATACAGTAAGCAGAAAGCAAAACTTTATCAGATGATAAGCAAAAAAATGATATATATAAATATATAACAGATTCATTATTATTATTCTCAATCTAACCTATTTATTAACCAACAGATGTTTTTAATCAATATGCTAATAGTTATTTCATTTAATATTATGGGCTAGATCCATATTTTTATCTAGTACAAAAAGTTAACGAGAGTTTTATTAAGTTCAAAGGTTTGACTATTAAAGAGGTTATAAAGAGGATTTCTAAATTTGTTATGTGTATCAAGGACACTGATATCATCAATTTGCACCATTAAATTTTCAGTCAGACGTCTGTTTGATGATGTCACTATCAAATAGTGACATAGTGATGGGCCTTAAGTGCGAATAGTGACATCATCAAACACTTCATTTTAGTTGAATTGCAGCAACCACAGACATCTGATTGAAAATTGGAAAGGTGCAAATTGATGCTATCAGTGTTCCTGATACACAAACAAATTAAGAAAACCTCTTTACAAATCTCTTTAAAGAAGTTAATGAGAGTTTTATTCAGTTCAGTGACTTGACTATCAACATTTGATTTTGAGAAATATTGATTATAAAGTTGAAACTGTGTAAGAGTTTTGAGCTGATTAGAATTTAACCTTGTTATAGTGATTACAATCTATTTAAAATCACTCACTGGAAAATTTCACATCAAAATATCTTTATTGGTCAGTAACAATTTAATAGGGAAAGAAAAAGAGCAAATCAAAGCCAATATCAGTAATATTTTTATAAAAATTCAAAAATTCCTATCTGATCAACAAATAAAATGGAGAATTCAATTTTAGTGTTCCAGATTGGGTTAAATAATGGTAACACCTTTCAGTGTGCAATAGGGACCTTTGCCAATGCATACTCTAAGTACTATTTTTGATTGACTGTAAAGGAATTTTTGTTGCATTATTCAGTAAAAATGGCCTCACTTTATTTCCTATCCGAACAACTGAATGCTTTTTCCATGTTATCCCTTCTGTCCTGCATTACTAAGTAATGCCTATGCTTATGTGATGCCTATGCTTATGTGATGCCAGTGCCTATGTGATGTGATGCCTTTGTTAATGTGATGCCTATGCCTAAGTAATGTCTATACCTTTGACAGCATTGAATCCAAGAACTTTGCCACCTTAGCTTTCAGTTTCAGGAAATATCAAAATTTCAGGAAAATTCAAACTTTTGAGTACTGATAAGTAATTAAAAAGGATACAATAGGCTCCACCTCCCTCCACAGCTCCATTGGTTGATATAGCACATATAGATAACACTGTTAAAACCAGGATGATATAGGCTATAAATAACTGAGCAATTGCTTCTAAAATCCCAGCTTGACCAACTACAAAACCTGGAATGAAACAAAAAAGATGCATAAATTGGTATCAAAGATGGATAAAAATACACACAAGTTGTTACATTTAGTTGATGACTTGAAATTTAAAATGTGAAAGGAACCAACCATCTTCACAAAGTCTAGCTATTACGAAATTTGTACTTATACCTTGACTGCAATAGTTAACTTTCTTGTATCATTGAAGTTTGTAATGAAGTAATTTTGTTTTGTACACTAGCCAATACAGCCAATCAGAGGCCTCGACAGAAAGCCCTAATGTTCAAAGCCTTTCTGTTGAGGGCTCTGATTGGCTGTATTCATTTGCATACAATCCAATCAAATCGCAACATTCAGTGATACAGAAATAGTTGCCATTACAGTCAATATACATGTAAAGTTAGTAATAGCTTGACATTGTAAAGATGGGATACAACATATGAAATGTCTAAAATTTTAAGTTAGAGGAAATGGTGTTATTGAAAATAGCAATTCTAAAAAGATGATAAAATAAGATTTTAAGTTGAATGAAGGCATCGGGGAACGTGAAATATCTGGCAAAATTAAGGCAACAGTTACGTGAAAATATGGTATATCAACATTTCTGGTAATATATAACATCATTATCTACAATTATACTTATAAAGTTTATGATATTATTACTTATTTCATACATGACATTTAAATATAATCTATTCAAGTGTGTGGGGGGGTCAGAAAAGGTCAAAGTTCGAATTCCTAGAAAACACTTACAATTAGGCCTATACCAAGCCAAAACAAGATTCTGTTTGTCACTTTGAACTTTATAACTTTATTATACAATGTTTTCAAGTATTAAGGAGCAGAAAAGGTCAAGGGTCATAGGTCAATACCAATTACTATAGAGGGTGATATTTGAAAAAATTCATCAAAAACAGCATTGTATAAATCATGCAAAACTCCATATCATTTCCTTTAACAACTATTACAAATGCAAGTAGGGTGTAAAACTCCATTTAAATTCCTTAAACAACTATGACAATTCTATGCCATTGAACTTTACTAATTAATAGCACTTAACAAAACAATCAGAACACTAATTAAAATCTCCTGATTAAAAATCAATATTTTTATAGGTCCAGTTGATAAAAACCCTGAATAACATAGTGAACATCTGTTAGAGTTCTCCATTGTTTAAGTATATTATATCACGTATATACCCATACGATGTCACTTCATTGTTTATTGTTTTATTTTTCTATACATGCAGTCAATTTGATTTATCGAACTTTGTTTTTCAAGTATGGTAACATCACCTGATATTAAAGACCATGGTTCGCCATTTTCAGGCCTGAATTGGTTCTTGAAAATGTTTAAGAATTTCAAAAGATGGTGAGCTGTGAAAACTTTTATTAAAAAAAATGGTGCACTTGTCCCTTTAAAGGCCATGGTTCGATATTCTCGGGGGTTGATTTGGGTCTTGAATATGTGTACAGTATTCAGAAGTACTAGAAATGTATGAAAATTGCATTATCTCTTAATATGGCAAAGTCCCAAGAAAAGAGTGTCAAACGCATATAACTTTGGACACAGATGGAATTAAGGGCTCACATTGTGAAATGTAAACACTAATACTAATTAGTTTAGCTAGAAAATTCCCATTGCTTCATACTTATACCTTGACTGCAATAGCCACAGAAAGGCTGTCAAGATTATGGCTTTGAGCTCACAGACTATCTGTCGAGGATTCTGATTGGCTGCATTTGCTAGTATACAATCCAATCAAATCATTCTATACTTCTGTGATACAATCTATATTGCAATCAAGGTATAAAAGTATGAAGTTGATAATAGCTTGACTTTGTGAAGATGATTGAAATATAACACTCAAAAAGTGTGATGCGTGCACTAAATTTAAGTTTTGAGTTTTCATTATAAGTGTTAAATTGAGCAAACACATCACAGTCTTATTGATTGGCTTTCAAATTGTGCAATGTAGAGGAAAACTAACAAGGAAAGATTTGTTGCTACCTAACCTCCTCTTCACAATGTCAAGCCATCACAAATAGATTCACAGTAAAATGCAATCAAAGCGCTATATTCCATGATACAAGAAAGCTGGCTATTACAGTCAAGGTATTAGACCATGTTCGTAAAAGCTTGACATTGTGAATATGATGATACTTGACAACTGTCGGTTATTAGCTGATCGAGGGTCAAAACCATTAAGGACTATTTCTGAGTACTTCCCATTTCCCCTTCAATTTAAGAGTCTCAAAACAATTTCCCTAATTTCTTTCCTTGTATAATTCAAATATATGAAAACAGTGGCATAGTGAGAATTTGAATGACGGGGAACACTCGGGTGTCGAAAAAACACTGCCTAAATAGGTCGCTAATTATGAGAAAAGATGGAAGTTTAACGGTCCAAATAGTATTATTTCTGTTATAATATCTGGTCAAGTATTCGACAAAGTATTTGACAAAGAATTGAAATTGCAGGAACTGGAATTTGACAGAAAATTGGAATGGTGCATCAAGAAACTATGCACAATACACATCCAGACACAAAGTCTAAAAAATTTGGTCTTTTATGACACATGTGAAGGTCCCATACAATTGTCTTTGAACATTTGAATAATTGAAAACACATCAACCTCAAAGAACAAAATAGTACTTTAAGAATTTTAAAAAAAAGTCATAAATAGATGCCTTTGTTGAAGTCACTAATTGCAAGCACATGGCTGTATTTCTGTAATGGTATAACAAAAACACAATCATTAAACCAAGAACATAACAGGCACACCCTTGCATTTTTCTAAATGATTAGAAACTTTTGGCAAACTCTATACTAATGGCTAACTAGTCAAATTAAGACTTTTCTTCCAAATTTGGTGGAGCCTCAAACATTTGAATATGCCCTTCCTTTCAGAACACCTGATGTCACTCTGTTTCCCATTAGTTTTTTGGCAAGACTAGAAGAAGCTTATACAATATACAATGGCCATTTTCATAATTTTCAGGGGTTGATTAAAGTCTTGAATATAGGTAAAAAATCTTCAGAAGTACTAGAAATGTATGAAAATTTGTATAAATGAAGGCTCGGTGAGATGTGTGTATTTTTTCTGATTAGCTTAGCTCAATAAATTCCTGCTTCTAAGACTAAGGTACGATTGCTCAAGTGTATGCGAATCTGTCCTTTGAGAGTAAGTGGTACAAAGCCTTCAAATCAAGTCATATCTTAATCTCATTCTTGCTCTTGACAAGTTTGACCAAGACTATACCTTTATCAGCTGATGAAACAAACAATTAGATGGCCACACCCCTCTAAGAAATCAAGAAGCAGTGACATTAAAAAAAGGCATAAAATCGTTCACATGACAATACCAACCCATGACCAAATATGATACTTTCATTCAAATTGAGCAGACGTGAAAAAGGGGAAATCGAAAGTAGACAACATACCTCCTCTCAAAAACAACAGAGTGCTGAACATGGACAGAGCAATCGGACAAAATACTCCAGGGAAAGTTCCAAGCGTCCTTCGAGATTTCTCCGCCTGTCGTGTTGAGTCCATGACAGAGGTGCTCAAACTACGGGGCAGCTTCCAAAGCATGTTCGTGCTCATGTTGTTCATCCCATGATCATGTTGGTGGTCGCCTCCATTCACTTCTGACAGATTATGCTCACTGAAGTCACCGGCACTCGTGCCATAATCATAATGATCCTGATCGTTAAGAATAGGCTGTCTGTCCTCCATATCCTGCACTGACAAGGCCCTCGCCATAAATGGTTTTAGTCAATTACGATAAGATAAAATTAGTCAGATATCAAATCAGTGAGTTTGTTTTTCTTCATGTTAGTTGCAACCGGAAATCACATGACAAATCATGCGCATACGTCAACTGCGCAATAATCAGCTGTCAAACGAGGGGCGTTCGATTCATTAATACATCGTTTTTTAAGCTTGAATTAACCTAAAACGATTAGAATTCAAACTCGATGCCAGATTTGTAAATTAATTCAACACTTATTAGAGTGTGAGACTCACAGTTTGTTCACAGTTTGGACTTTGTAGAATGTCGGGCGTGAGTCATAAATCCTATTCGTCATTCAATTAGTGTGATGAACTTATGTAACCTACTTTTATCACCAGCTGCTCGAGTTCATCATATTTTTATCACCCCAAAGACGTCAGTTAAGTCGATAGCCTACTATGATAGGTCACCAATATACTGCCATAACAGTAAAGAAATCAAAGAAAAATTTGAGGCCCGTCCAAGGAAAATCTATAAATTTACATGAAATTGCAGTCGAAAATGGCCACATAGATAGGCCTACATTTTGTTATCCACAATTATCAGATATAAACTATGTGGACTCTTCAAAGGGGATGCAACACAACTCACTTATCCAAAATTAGAATTATACCAAAGAAAAATGTTGATCACCCAGCTGAAATCTCCAATGACCTTTTAGAACGCCAGTGTTCTTTTTTCACGCTAAAGCCGAAATGTTGGTTCAGCCAATCAAATAGCGTCATTCAATCTCTAAACCAATCAAAACACAGAAATCAATTTGATGAGTTGTGAATATTCTTTTAGGTTTTTCGCGTCGCAAATCTCGTGCATTTATGTTTTTTTCCCTAGCAAATAGTCAACTAGTATCAATAAATAATTCAAATAAACGTTATTTCTCCGAAGCCACGTTTACACTGCCTTAGAAATAGGCGTTTGAAGTCAACCGGACTCGACCAGAACGATTTTTGGCCGTGCAAACGTGACTTATGTCTGACAGCCAACTGTAACACTTTTCAGAATGAAATTCTATTGAATTTTCTGTATCAAAATTCCAATGGTTATGTGTAAAGTGATAGATAAGAGATCAAATGAATTGGAGTTTCCTACAATAATATATGCGCCATCTATAAGTTTGACGAAATTTAAAATTGCATAATTATATACATAAACTGAGAATCTCATAGCATGATATTCTAAATAACACCATGTTTCAGATTCTGTTAATTAATATTCTCGCTTTTCAATTAACATATTCATTATGTCTTTACATTTATCATATTATATTAGGAGAAATAGAGTTTTACGACCTACTTTTCATAATATAACAATTATATTCATTATAGCCCTGTAAAACCATAAAGCCGTCCTTACAGCGCCGGAAAATTAGCCCAGAGCACGTTATGGTCGCCATAAGCGTGTAGGAAACGTTCGGTAGGCGACATCGCCGCCAGTTATCGCCGTTGAGATCGCAAAGAAATCGAGAATAGCGTCGTAACATGACCATAAACGCTTTAAAAATGAAGCGCACCAAGCCAATAGATTTTCATTAGAGATACGCATTGGGAATGCATTATACTCGCATATGTCGCAGGTTGATAGATTTATAATCTTACGATTTTTATACACGCGACCAAGTACATTTTTAGTTGACGTAAGATCGTAAATGGTCGCTGCCAGGCATGACGGGACTATTAATGTTTGTATAGATATGTGTCTGCTAAATTATCTTATATTTAAACACCAGCCTACACATTTATAAGATATATGGAAGATGAAATGAATAGCAAATTACATTATATATCAAAGCATCTATTCATTAACAAGGGTGGAGTACTTTACATCTTAAAATTAAAGTTACCTTCAATGTGAAAAAAACTCAGAAAACGCAATTCGCAGCTCTGTGAATGAGATAGTCTTATGACCTTGAATAAGTCATCTTTCCTCATATTTCCAGTCGACCCTGCTGTAAATGGATATGGATGATCTGGGAAATACATGTTTCTAAGCAACGGTATGCGCTACATGATCATTTTCATTTTCATATGACGATGCTTAAGAAATATGGGGAAAGATCAATGCCAAGATGATTGGCCAAGAATTAGCTGGAAGGGTCCTTGTCAAATCATAGCAAGGAGGTTTGCCCACGGACCAGCTGGCAGAAAAGTTCCTTTGTGAACCGTAATCGTTATCCTTAATGAAAAAATGAGGGTCTCTTTCTCTACCCCCTTACTAAATCAAGGGCAACATCGAGCTAACCAACCCCTTTGCAAACTTAAAGATAAAACGAATTCACAACGAATTTCCTTGTCAAATCATAGCAAGGAGGTTTGCCCACGGACCAGCTGGCAGAAAAGTTCCTTTGTGAACCGTAATCGTTATCCTTAATGAAAAAATGAGGGTCTCTTTCTCTACCCCCTTACTAAATCAAGGGCAACATCGAGCTAACCAACCCCCTTTGCAAAATTAAAGATAAAACGAATTAAAAAACATCTGCTTACCTGTACGCAGAAAAAGATTATTTCCAAACTGGCCAAGAGCAATAGGGGCAATAACTCCAGCAAAAGTTCCAAGTCGTCTTTTAAAATCTCCAGTGCTATCTGGATCGTACGATCTTTTCAAGGTTCCACAGAAGATGGACATGAGTCGCCGGAGCCATTTTTCGTGAGGCAGAAGCGGGAGTTTTTCATTCGAATTGGCACTTCCTAGCTGGAGATTTTCTAACTGTACGTAGCTGTCACCTTGAGATGAAATATCCCCCGTTTTCTTATTTGGTACACTTTCTATATTCACAGACGTGAAACTGCTGTAGCGATTCATTGTCGGAACGTTGCGTTGATGTTCTTCCTTGTATCCAAATTAGGCAATTCAACTAAGTTTTTTATCCTGTACCAGTTCCTTCTGTTGAATATTTACTTGTTAATTTCAATCGCCCTAAAGTCAGTTGCCAAAAATATCGTCTTATTGATCGTGCTTGAAGTTCTTAAAGTTTTTGAAGATTTCTCGGTTCTTGAATATCGTCACTTAAAAACGTTTTGCTGCTTTTGACGACTCTGAAATAGTCAAAAATAGATTAGTAAGCTTTTGGAATATATTATAATAAATAAGTGTCCTTGACACACACAGATTATCTTCACAATGTCAAGTTATTACGAACTTAGTCGTATGCCTTGACTGCAATAGCCACTATTCTTGTATCACGGGATGCAGTGATTGGCTTGTACGTCAGCGAATACAGCCAAACAGAGCCCTTGACAGAAAGACTGTTAACATTTTAGCTTATTGAACTTGTCAAGGTCTCTGGTTGGCTGTATTCGCTGTCGTACAAGCCAATTATCTGCATTCCGTGAATCCAGAAAGGTGGTTATTGCAGAATTGGCCCATACAGGATATGAAACACCGTTTTTCCGAGTACCACACATTTTTACTTAACCAAATCACTTGATCGCATACAAATTGTGCTCGCTAAGGAATTAAGCACAAAGCGATTGCGGTTTGTATTCTATGAACTTTAAGCTGTAAAATGACACTCATGTGAAATTTTGTCGATGAATCACTAAGTTTTAAAAATACACAACCGTCAGTACTGACAGCATTCATATCAAATTCTGTCATCAGATCGATCTATACAATCCAATCAATGGCAAGGTAAAAAACAACCTTATAAGTAAAGATATTTGATAAATCTATACAATAGGTGACCATAAAAAACAGCCACCTTGCTGGGGAGAGTTATTAACAAGTTTAATGAAATTAAAATGGAGTGTTCTGCTCTATTTTTCTGCGAAAGATTGGATGCATAAAGATTGGCAACTCTACATGCAGTGTGTAATGGCGGACTATCATGGTATTATACTAAACTCTTTTTAATATACAGCATGTAGTACATGGAGCAATGTTTTGGCCATTTTTACCATCGTCAAGGTATTACAAACTATGCTAATACCTTGTCTATTTGATTGAATTGTAGGCTACTCTAATTAAAACAGCCCTTGCTTTAGAAACTGGATGGGACAATAAACAGAGGCCCTGTGTGTTACAGGCTGTGCACGCTGGAAATCGAAAAATAGCAGGCTAATGCCACTGTCCTGACAAAATTTCTCTCATTGCACCCTGCACGGCGCTGCCTGTCTTCATTAGCTCACATGGTGCAGAAAAGCAAGACTTAAAACTCCATGCATTTCATTACTGTAGATTTTTTGGACCACTCTGTATTTAAAATAATTCGCCACAGATGTTGATATGAGTAAGGAAGTATAAAAGTAAACTGGTATTTTAACGGTAATTGTCGTGAAAAATAATATCTCTACATATAATATTACTTATAGTCACCATCATTTATTGATAGCTATAGGCTACAAAGGAAATGCAACGTCAAGTCGAATTCTAAATTTAAAGGCCGTGTTCACCACTTTCGCAGGTCAATCGTATCTAAGTCTCAGAAACGGTTCGGTTAAGTTAATCAGTAATAGTTTTAAGTATATTTGAAGGAATTATGCGATGTTCGTATATTTCTAGTACTTCTGAAGACTTATTATGTATAATTTATGTAATAGGCCTAAAATCAACCCCTGAAACACTTTTTAGAATGAGAATCCAACGTCAGTTTGTGTACAATAAAAATTAGCCATACTATTGATAACTGTTAATATCGTGCTGTGTTTTATAATGATAACTAATTTGCATATTAATGAAAGAAGTATATGACAGCATATGTAATCAACGTATCGTGTCAAACTAACTATGTAATTGGCACAATGTTTTTTTTTTCATACGTTCGTTTTCATAACAATTACGAATTTGCATAATACGTCCTATTATATCGAGATAGTGACTGTAATTAATGTCACAATGACAGTTTCCATAACGATTACAAATTTGCAAAATTTCGAGCAAATTTACAAAATTACATATACACAGTCTTTTTACATGCCCATTTTAATTTCAAATATTACGATTACCTATTGGCATTGAAAGATGCATTTTGCTACGTTCAAAACATTCGTGTCCAACCTGTGACAACATTCTTGGCTCGTAATCGTAACAATTACGAATTTGCATCTCAAGCAAAATGACTACTGAATATACATGATATACTTACATATGTTTGAATGATATATCACATGTATTTCGTGTTATTGGCCCGGCTCGCCTGTATACACAACGTATACACACCGTACTCAAACAGTAGTCAGTCCAATTCATCAAAACACTCAGATTTAAAGTGACACTATGTCATATTGTATTGATATATTCTATCAATCACGTGTCAGTCAAAATCTGATTTTACTATACTATACAGTAGTTGATTTATATACGTTCGGGGCGGAAGCTTTCCACGTTAGTTAGACCTGAAGCACTGGCGGTGGATTCAGAAAATTTAGTTTTCGTGAAAGAATGAGGACGGAGGCTAGAAGCCTATAATCACCTATGATATGTTACTATCTATATCATGTAAAGTGATATTCGTTGGGAACGGAAGCATTCCGCGTTAGATAGACCCAAGGAAATTCAGAGAATTTGGTTTTCGTGAATTGTTTGAGGAGGTGGGGGGCGAGAACAGAACGTTATTAGTGTGCCTTTCGTGAAAGAATGAAAGGGGGGGGGGGGGGGGGTGTGATTCGAATAACGATGACCAATTACCAAATATTCGATTAAACCTTGCTTCCAAAGAGCGTTCCCCTTGTTAAAATTAGTTTTTCTAAAATACCAGTCAGTATGATCAATGTAATCAACGGCGCCATGTCTCCAAGCAGACGCCAATCCGACTCACCTCCTCAATAGGGCATCCCATTGCATCCTATAGGCCTATAGAGGAGTGAGAAATATGGACGTCACGCAGTGTGCAATGGGGTATATTTTACAAGAGTTAGTGATATACACAATGTTAAATTCTACAATAATTCCATTCTTACCTGATATGATTCACTAATCCAATGCACTTTTTGCAATCAGTCTAAAAGGAATGGAGTTTTGCGCCAATGACCTCGGAGTTGTCTATAAAAATCTTATCAACATAGCACTGTACAAAAACATAAACATAATTCTCTCTAAAATTACTCTATGATCGGTCTGACATTTCCGTTTTTACATTCACTATGAACTCTGTTGAAATTAGTCATTCATTCACTCAGCCTGCAGTATTTAAAAGAGGAGAATTATCTCACGTGATACACGAAGTTGACTGACAGATTTGGCACGTTCAATGAATCGATTTTATATGTCCACCATCTTCCTTTTTAAACCAGACGATCTTCCTTATTGCACGAGCATTGACTCGCTGACGTCGCTCAAGATGATAAGACAATAAGTCTTGGCGTAAATTGTGTCATAAAGTTGTCAATCAAAACTTCCACGATATTGTCCTCGAGGCATTCTATAATATGACACTCAAACACGACCAATACTTTTGGTAAATTGGATAAAAAAAAAGACCAAGATTTAAAGGGACACGTTCGCTATCCGTTTGACCAATTGTACCTTAGTCTCAGAAAGGATTTTTTTAACAATAACAATAATTTAGATTCACGAGGATCCTTTCTATCAGATAGAATCTTTCTCAGGATTATCCAAACCAATTTGCAGTTGCGTTGACTGTAATAACGAGGAAAGATGACATATTCAAGGTCGATGGATAATTGGTGTTTCTTATCTGTATATTATTCACAAAATCTAAAATTAAAAAACTAAGGCAATTGGAAACGTTTATGAGGTCAAGGGCGATAACTCGTCTAACCCAATTGTGCCAGTAGAGTAGCTCAAGCAGTTGATAGCGAGTTTGATTGTCGTCTGCTAGGCGATAAGGTGCCGTGAGTTTAATCCTACATGGAAATTCAGAGTTAGGTTGACATTCTAATTTACGTAAATTTGGAGATAAGAATGAAAAGTTTAGGTATAGTCCAAAGGGATGCAGTCCTCTAAACCTTTACGGATATTTTAAGATGCAACATCCGTTTGCCAATAATGTTTCAGATACGGAAACGTCCTGTGTGTGTCCAAAATTACACGCGTTTGAAATTTTAATTGCACATAAAGACAAGAATCCTATTTTTACTCTGAGGTATAGGCAGTGGTGGAGCCAGGTTTACGTCGACTGCCCCCTCTGTCCCCCCCCCCCCCCTACGCGAAATACGAACAACGAATCTATCCCTNTAAGTCATTTAAAGTATATGGGAAAGTAACAGTTGATTCAGTAATCAGAAGATACTATATTTAAACAGGCGAGGTTATTCAAGTTTATGTAATTCAACTTTTAGTTCGAGTCCCACCTATCCATCAGATACATAGTGGCGGAGCCAACTCGCAGTCCCGTAAGTAAGTTTTTCGGGAAAAAATCTCATTACGGTTAGGGCAATCTCAGATATTTCTCATCCCATCTCCATGGGACGTAAACCTAGCTCCGTCACTGCACATACAAAGAATAATCAAATATGTGTTAGCCTATATAATTAATATTGTGAGATGAAATGGAGTTTTACGTCCTTCTTTTCTACGCCATACCAGACTAGAGTGAAATAATTGAACAATCAAATACCCCGCTAGTTATTATATTGTTATAAGAGCTATGATTTGTTTTAGTATTTAGATCTCGACTAAAGACAATAACCATAATTCTAACCTCGAGGCTATTATTATTTTGTATATAATTCTTTCTGATCGATTGATGACAATTTATTGTTATTTTAGAATATTATAAAAAATTGCATTTGGGGATGTTTTGCTTACTAAAAACATAGCCTTCGCTTACTCTTTTTCGATGGATTCTTAGGTAATGTGTACAGGGGATTAGACTAATGAGCAAATATGACTCGTGGCCATATATGATCATATAAGATCCAATGGTGTCTATTGATGGGGATCAGAAATGAATCAAAACCCAAATCTTAAATTCTTCGTTTCGATATGGGTTTCAAAACAATGCTTCGTTTCGTGTTAGTAGAAATCCAATATTTGTACTTTCAAAATGGCCGCGAAAAATTGAAAACAAGTCGAGACAAACACATTCTTGTTGTTTATTGGTAATTATTGTCGACTTTTCGACATTTTAGAATATATTTGAGAATTCCAGTACGTGTAGGTGAAAAATAGGTGATTGCCATCATTTTATTTCGCCATGTTTTTACATCTTGAGACTGATAGTCATATGTTTCTAGGGAAGCCATTCCTTCCTGTGTTGGGAAGCCATTCCTGTCGTCATTATTTATTTCGACAACATTCGTCTTCCAGACCGGTTTGTAAAATAGAAGGTCTTCTTTGTGTCTCAATGTAATTGACAATTTCAGTATCATCTCAAGTCCTACAATTCCTGATATCCTTTTGATTAAAGGTAAAAGCCTCTAAGTAAGACGTAAGTCACAAGAAAATACAATAAAATTCGTAATGGAGATCAGGCTTGTTTCTCATTGGAAATAAATCTTTATTTCAGATTTGGAGTTTGTTTGACTGACATTATGAAGTTGACAGGGCTAATACCGGCCAGATTCTTAACGATTATTGCTCATTTAGTTATAGTCATTGTTATATTCTTCTCCAAGGTAAGTAAATGTAGCCATCTTCTTAATATGGTATCCTTATGTAAATTGCCAACTGATGGGCACAATTTTAGCTATCTGTGTCACTTTCCAAAATGAAATCAGGCACTTTGTTCGTCTATAATTTAATATAAATTGAGGTCAGTAAGCTGATAAAGCTCATTTTAGACAATTCCATTTCTGTAATGTGCATAATCTGAGTTTTTGTTTATTAAAGATAATTTTGATAACTATTACTCTTTTTTGGCTTCACAAAAAAATTCATTCATTCATAAACAACAAAACGTATTTTTACACTATTCATTCATTTATTTCTTCATTTCCAGGGTGAGAATATAGTAATGAGTTTACCAGAAGATTATTCTTCAGACCAGTATACATCTAAGGATACACAGTAAGTACAAGCATACTCTGTCTGTCTAGCTACTTTTGAGTGCTATATATAAGGGAAATAGGGCCCTGGCCATTTGCAATCCTCCTCACTTTGATCAGAAGAATGCTTTTTATGAGGCTATTAAGCAGTGAGCAGTTTCAACAATCCCCATGCTTTTAAATATAGTTGAGATATCCATTAATATATTTAATCCTGATGATAATTTTTTGCCTGAAACTCTTTGGCTGCTGTAAGAACCATTTTGATTTAAATAATTGATAATTTTTGGTATACTTTTAGGATTACAGTAGCTTTATCAGTAACATTAGGATTATTTGTATTGGAATTAATAGGGTTTATTGGTGGAATTACCATGTTTATGCCTTTTCAAAGTTTATTATGTATCCTTTTTCAAAATCAGCATTGATTTCAAGCTTAGGTTGAGTAAGTATAAGAATTTCTGTGGCAGGATATCTAGGAGAGACAAGAATTCTTATGCTGTTAGAACACCTGATACCAATCTACAGTTGGGTTTGTCTATTCAGCAACACTATCAGAAGGCTTGGCTTGGTAAATATCTCAACATTAGGAAGCCAATAAGTTTGAATTTGCTTTGGATCTTGATGACTAGAGCATCAAAGGGAAATAACTTATTTTAAAAAATTTCAGACTACATTTAAATTCTCTCACTTGAAGAATCGATTTTCCCATCAAACAATCTAATATATATTCCTTAACTCTTATCAAGCTACGTGTGCCCACAGTTCTGCAGCTATAGTGTTGTCATATTTTTTGTTTGATGGTTGGCCGAGTGATTGGTATTGGTATGTGTTTGGATTCTGCAGTGCCTTCCCAGCAGTGACTGAACTTATTACTATTATTGGTGTGCTAGCTTTTAAAAAGGGATACTAATGCCTTGTGTTTTATTCATTTTGTAGACAAGGCTGTTTAATGAACTCTTCCAGGCATGCAATTTTAACCAATTTGAATGTATGTTGGAAGACTTTATTTCTTAAATGGGGGGATATTTTAATGCCTACCTAGACATGCCAACACATCTCTTCAATATTCTGAAATATAAAATGTTTCATTTGGCACATCGAAACAACCCAGAAATATTATAAGATTTCCTTTCTTTTTTTAATTATGTTTCCATCCATTCATTTCTTAATGGAGAAAATAAAAATATAATCCATTTAGAATCAGCTTTGTAAGCATGTATTTTTTATAATCTTAATACTCGTAGAAAATACTTGTTTGAATCCTGTTCTCTTTATTTGCCCTAAAGTTGTTACTTAAAATGAAATCCATCCAAACTGTTATTGTTTTTCTAAGCATAATGTTTGTCTAATAGCAACATGTTAAATAATTTTGTCACATATTATTATGTTTGATATATTGAATATTTAAATTAAATGTATTTTGTTATGTATATAAGTCCATGAACGCATATAGTCATCTAAATATTTACATCACAAGCAGATCAGAGCTTCAATTTTGGCCATCTGTATCTCTCTTCATAATTTAAATCTGACGTCTGGCTCATCTGCAATATTCAGATGACTGTATCTCTATCGATGCAAGCTTAATTGTATTCCATCCAATGTTATGTTAAAGGTACAGGTTGGCCACCCAAATCAACCTCCAAAAACAGCAAATCTGTCCCTTCAAAGCATAATAATTTATTATTTATATTTGTATATAGAAGGTTTTATAATTATTTGTATATTATGTATAGAGATTAAATAGTATTAAAATATATATGAGATTCTTTAACCACCTTGACTTAATAAGAGCTTAATAAATTAATTTTTGATCAAACTAAGACCTGAGTAAGCTTTGAGCTGGCATCAATGATTGAGAGCTGGTCAAGCTGAAAGCTAAGCTGCAACTGACTGATTCTCCTGATTTGGCTGAGATCTGAATACATTGATTTCTGATGAAAGGGGGAACTAACAAAGCTCTAAGCTGACAAAGAGCTGACTTGATTACTCTTAGAGCTGATAAAGCTTAATAAATGGTGGAGGAGGGGGTATTGTACATTCATTCAATTTTTTGTTTGTTCATTTATCTCGTCATTCGTTCTCTGTGAACATGTCCCAGCACTGCTATACCTGCATATCTAACCTGAACTTTACAGACTGGGTTCACTAAAGATCCTGAATAGACACAATTCAACCATAATAGATCTGAAAACAATAAAATATGTGGAAATGTACTTGATATAACTTTTAGTTATCCCTTTCACCTCGATATACTCCGGAGCTTATGTGAAGGGCGCCGTGCGGAGGGGTGGGCTAGAGGTAGGGGTGGAACAAGAGTTACCCCCTTCCTTTAATATACAGAATTCACATAATCTAAAGGGATTGTAAAGAGGATTTCTAAACAATATTATGTGTTTCAGGGACACTAATAGCATCAATTTACATTAGCCCCTATCTTTCTACCAACGTGATTTTATTCTGACGCATCATCGACACATAGAATGCCGAAAGCATCTGGGTATACCATTGGTTGTAAGAGTAGCACATGTTGCTACCTGCCTTCCCCATACAGGCATTGTGTTTGTAGTCGGCCGGCAAAAGTTTGGCTTATAATGAGTATTTTTCGGTGCCGTGTCATGTAAGATTGGTCAATTTTCAGGGTGGCATTCCGCATTTTACTTACATTTGGGAACTTAATCTTTGTTTCGGTTGCACTTTCAGTTGTCACCAAGACACTCTACTTCCCTGTCCTTGTATGTTGTCCTTTCAGGTGACAACTCCCCTCTCTGCCCCGAACTTGGTGTCGCGCACCGACCTTGAAAGAGCAAAAATTATGTTTTTATTGCAAATAACCGAAAATAATCGGTTTTTGGCTCCAATGAGTCGAATCGATGGCCTTGGTGAAATCATTGGCCGTATACTGGGTTTAGGGTTGCTTGGATGGTTTTCCTTATATTTAGTCTGTATTTAGTGGTCAGCCTTTTGTTAGAAATCACGACTGAAAAGGTATAAATATCCTGATCGGTGAGTTGTTGACAAACAAGCTGAATAGTTTTGTAGAGTCCACTAGCATCAGATCCTAAATACGGTATGATTTTTTACTTTTTTTCTTTTTATATCTGCAGATATTTCTTTATCTATCATTTTATTTTTATCTATTTTTATATTTTTTCAATTTATCTATTCATTCATTCATTTTTTTTATTTGTTTTTTGTTGTTGAGACATTTGTATACTCACTATTTGGGAACACGTTATATTCACCTTTTTAAAATTTTCTTTCATTTATTTTGTTCAATTTTATTTCATTTTACATGTAGGCCTATATCATTTTATTTTCGTTTATTCCATTAGATTTTTATTCAATTCTATTTCATTTAATTATACATGTAGGCCTATATCATTTTATTATCCTTTATTCCATTAGATTTTAATTCAATTCTATTTCATTTCATTTTTTTCGTACAGAAAATGAAGTTGTTGGTTGTAATCGCTGTGTGTGTTATGTCGACTATGGCTATGCCTAGGAATGAGTTATTGAAGGCTCTGAAACGAGTTCTTGAAGACGATGAGCCAACCACCAGCTCGCCTTTAGAAATTGACCCTGAAATCCCAGCCGGGATCGAAGGAGTTCGTAAGTCTATATTTTAATATTTTAAATCAAACGAAATAAAATTGTCATTTTGTCTGTATTTTAGCATAAAGACGGATATTTCACTAATTTCACACTGCATGGCTTTGCCCGTCTTTAGTAGCCCAATCAGGTGCAGAAAAATATGACGTAAAACATCATTAATTGCATTTCATTTCTTTTAATTTTGACAGGTATGTTGGACTGGACCGTCATGGAAATGCTAGAAGAAGGCTGTCTTCGTCGTCTGGAAAGAGGACCCCCACCACCACCAATGACAACCGAAGCACCAGAGGAGACCCCAGAAAGAAAACTCTTGAACGCTCTTAAGAGAATGGTCGGAGATGGCCCAAATTCACCCCATCCTAGAGCTAATAGATTAATGAGAGCTTTGGACCAGTTATGTGGAGCTTTAATGGAAAGGTTAGACGGAGAGGAAGGTGGAGAGGGAACTGACGTTGATATGAACACTGAACAACCTTAAATCAACCCTTTGCATCTCTAGGTAAGTAATATTTTACAAATATGGTTTTGTTCAAATATTGAAATCGATGTAAGGTATACGAGTCAACAAGGAAAGATCTTGCCTTTGATAACCAAAGGCGATATTTTGTCAAATGTTATTTCAGAGGCCATCCTGGTCGCTCTAAGGTGTTGGAGTCAGTCAGCAAAGATCATGCCTTTGATGAAAGTTGGCTTTAATACTTTTTCAAATGAACTATGAACATTTAGATCTTGCCATAGATAGAAGCAGGCGCATCTTTTATTCAAATTTAACATCAGTGGTGTTACTACAACGGAGGTTGGGGCATGTCTTCGTACACCTCTCCCGACCCCCAACCCCTCCACTCACAAATTTCTTATTATTCAGTCTTTTAGTACCCTGTGCTGTTCCCCCCCCCCCCCCCCCTTCCTTACAATCTATGATTGTGTGGTCCCTATTCGTTAGCCCAATTAGATGCAGAAAAGTAGGACGTTTAACTCCATTCATTATATTTCATTTATATTTCAGATAACTCAACCAACTGAAAAATATCAATTTTTTTTCTTACCACATCTTTCTACAATTATCCTAATTTATTTACACTATAAAGTTGTATTAGTCTATTTTTTCTCTGTGTTTTTAAAATTCTATGTTTTGTTTTGTTTTTAAAATAAAGTAATAAGAAAACCCCTTTTTTATTTAACAAGTACAAGTGGGAGTGGAACAAGCCAAGATACGGCGTGCGATGTTC